CAGAATTATTCTAATTTCTATGCTCTACTTTCTAATTCTACAGTCACAGTGAGTATGCTTTACACATACTGTGCTGACACTTACTCAAAGACATGTTAATCTCCATAAACGTGACAATTGGAGCTCAGATACCCCTTATGTGCAACAGACCCGATCAATCAATACTATATTTAATGAGTTGGTCAGTTAGAACATTGATGTGCAGCGTTGTTGGCCTGCTGCTAAGTGAATAGGAATGTGGATCAATGCGGCCAAGGTTGTATGGTTGGACCCCAGCACAGTAGACTTCTGTAGTGGTGACCTAGCTCTCACTATCACCGTCACAAGGACATTCATGACTGGCTTAGTACACATAGCAGACCAAAGAGAATGAGGAAATGTGGTTTAAGCTAGTCTCGCGATGCCATCCTTCCTAGTCTCATTTGTGATGAAGCCTGGGACTCAAGGCTAGATTTAATCGTGCAGAGTATCTACATACTTCTACATACATATTTTATTATTTAACCATCCCTATGGTGTGGTATTGTATCTACTGTTCCAATTTACTTTTCTCTATTTTGGCATGCATATACTTTTCTTACACACGTGTTAAACCCTGCTTTTGGCATAACAGCTTTGGAAGAACGTCCATTTGTAATGTATTACCTTGAATCCTCATCGCTTCTAACTGCTGCTGCCAGCGCCTCTGGTTTAGATTAAGTGTCAATGCGTGCTTTATCAGCCTATCAGAGCTGCCATCACCCCCCCCCCCCCCCCCCCCTCTCCCTCTTCTCTCTCTCACTTTCCATCTCTCTCTCTCACTTTCCATCTCTCTCTCTCTCTCTCTCTCTCTCTCTCTCTCTCTCTCAATCTCTCTTTATCATCTCTCTCTCTCTCTCTCTCTCTCTCTTCCCTCTCTATCCCTCTCTCCATCTCTCTCTCTTTCTCTCTCTTTCTTTCTGAAGTAATTAATCTCTCTCGTTCTCTCTCTTTTGGCTGATCGCAGTGCTCATTGTTCGAAAAGAAGAAAATCCTGTCAGGATTGAAGATAGAGCGCAGGTGAGTTGAATGAGTTGATCACCTTCAACACAGCGTTTCAAAACAATGGGAGACAGAAAATGCCTCGAGGTGAAGTCTGCTGTTTCATTGTCTTGTAGGTCCAGTGAAGAATGAAGGTGAAGTATTTTACTCCCAGCCCACTTAATCAACCCAGCCAGGGTTTACAGACAGCACAGCATCTCCAACACCCACCACTGTTATACAGGGTGTTGCCATTGCCCTGTAGTTCCTAACCGCATACATATTCCATAATAAAACGGTACATAAACTTCTTCAAGCTACTATTCATTCTACAGGTAAAAAATGCAGTTACCATGGTGAGCTTGTAAAAATGTGATCATAGAAAATAGTTTAAACCGTATACGTTATGTATGAGTGGTGCACACCAGTACTATAACAAAGTGCTGCTCCTGCATGTACAATAAATCATTGTTGCCCTATTGCTGAGTTTAAAAACAATGAGCTATAAACCATCCCATAAATTACACACAATGCATTTCTCATCCATAAGCACCTCCCTGAGATAACCCAGAGTATCATCTCTGCTTTTATTAGAGGGAGATGCTCAGTCAGTCTGGACCCTGGACTGTCCCCCTTACTGACAGGCTGTGTCTCTGGATTAGAATTTCCAGCATCTCAATATTGTGCATGCATCACAACAGATCATGCGTGTCCCCTAAGAGAGAGGGAGAGAGCAAGAAAGAGGAAAGAGCGAGAGAGAAGGGGGGGATGGAGAGAGAGGGGGGAGAGAAACAGAAAGAGAAAGGGAGAGACAGAGAGAAAGGTCCCCCTTTACAATCCAGAGCACATCATATTAGATTACATTGGAAATTACACTTCCATTTCAAGGACTTTTTACACATTAGAATAAACAGGAGCGTTCCTAATTCAATCTGCTAGTAATGCTTGTCCTTGTACATTGTGCCCGCTCACTACTCAACAAGCAAGGCACTCACTCACTCACAATCCACTCAGATAGCATTCTTGCTGTCTACATGTGTTTTGCCATCAATATTGCACACTATATGATTTGTAGTTACATGAAAGGTTCTAGTGTATAGTGTATTGGATAAGAAAAAAACAATAGAAATACTACAGTAAGTATACTGTATGCATGTTGTCAACTGTATCGTGCCACAATGAATTCCTTGGTAAAGCCTTATGTTAGGCTATGTTATGTTATGTTACCCCATAATGTAATGTTATCACAACCAGCCAACAGATCCAATGGTAGAGGACCATGCTGTTGTCCTGAACAAGGGAGGAGAGAGGCAGCCTCCATCCTCCTCCTCTCACACTTCAGGCCTAGCGAGTCCCTAACAGATGTTGCATTCTCTCAAAAGAGCAATTTTTAATAATGAAAGGAATGAATGCCTCTCTCTGTAACAAACATAACGGGAACATAAAGCATTCCTCTCCGGGCACCATGCTGCTCTCAGCCAATCCTAACCCAACAGCTCAGCGAGGTGTCAGATCATTCAGACTCATTTCAACATACATTTCACATGGGTCATTAAAAAACATGCAATAGCTGCTTTGAAGTTGACTCTGAGGAGTTGGTTTGAAAAAAATCCTCTAAACCACACAAGATTTTGTGTTTGGGAAAACAGCCTCCGTTAACACGTTAATATACAGGTAACTGCCCAAATAAAGGAAACACCAACATAAAGTGTCTTAATAGGGCGTTGGGCCACCACAAGCCAGAACAGCTTCACTGCACCTTGGCATATATTCTACAAGTGTCTGGAACTCTATGAGGGATGTGACACCATTCTTCTACGCAAAATTCCATAATTTGGTGTTTTGTTGATGGGTTGGAAAACGCTGTCTAAGGTGCCACTCCAGAATCACCCATAAGTGTTCAATTGGGTTGAGATCTGGTGACTGAGACAGCCATGGTATATGGTTTACTTCGTTTTCATGTTCATCAAACCATTTAGTTACCACTCGTGCCCTGTGGATGGGGGCATTGCCATCCTATGGGGGCATAGCCATGGTACCCACAATAATTGACAAAATAATGGCCTGCCCATCATTTTAATACATGACCCTAAGCATGATGGCATGTTAATTGCTTAGTTAACTCAGGAACTACACCTGTGTGGAAGCACCTGCTTTCTATATGATTTGTATCCCTCATTTACTCACGTGTTTCCATTATTTTGGCAGTTACCAGTATAACATGAATATATACAGTAACATAAGCTTGAAATATCGACATTGGATATTTCCTCAGTCACGAAGATGACCTTGTAGAATGATAAAGAATGATTCTGAAGTTAGTTGCTAGAAGAGTTAAAGAAATATGTGAAAAATATTTTAATATTTTAACCATGCTGTCTAAACTTTCATATACATCCCATATGTTTTCCTTCCTTCCTTCCTTCCTTCCTTCCTTCCTTCCTTCCTTCCTTCCTTCCTTCCTTCCTTCCTTCCTTCCTTCCTTCCTTCCTTCCTTCCTTCCTTCCTTCCTTCCTCCTCTCTTTCTCCATCTCTCCATCTATGTTTCTGCCTCATCTCTCTTGCTCTCCCTCTGCCATTACATGCCATAGACAGCTAATTATATCAGCAGTTCATGCTGCAAGAGCTCTGATAGGTTGGAGGACATCTTCCAGAAGTTGTCATGATTACTGTGCAAGTCTATGGAAGGGGGTGAGAACCACAAGCCTCCTAGGTTTTGTATTGAAGTTAATGTACCCAGAGGAGGATGGAAACTAGCTGTCCTCCAGCTACACCATGGCGCTACCCTATAGAGTGCTGTTGGGGGTACTGTAGACCTTCATTGCAAAACAGTGTGTTTTAATCAATTATTTGGTGACATTAATATATTTAGTATAGTGTTATCTAAAAATGAGAACTTTTTTAAATGTTTCACTATGTTTGTATTTCTGAAATTCACTGAGGAGGATGGTCCTCCCCTTCCTCCTCTGAGGAGCCTCCACTGACAGCAATGATATTCACTAAGTTGATGGTTTATATTTAGGATAATATTTACAGCGTAGTCATTATATATATATATATATATTTTTTTTAATCATCTCATTTGATTATTTTAAATATTTTACATGTGCTGAGGCCACACAGAGGGTCGGAGATAATTACAGACACCTGTGATAATCTGAAGTACCCAAAAGGGCTACTAGATGTCTTGTGATAAATTACATAAAATCCTTGAAAGTTACCAAAATTCTGGTATTTTGCTGGTAAACATTGAAAGTTTTCCAGTAATAAACCCTCTCTTTGCAAGCCTACTAACCCCACAGCTCAATGTGGTGTCAGATCATTCTGACTCACTGAAACATACATTTCACATGGGTCATTTTAAAAAAAACATACAAGACCCGCTTTTAAGTTGACTCTTAGGAGTTGGTTTGCATAAATTCTTCTAAACCACACAAGATTTTATGTGTTTTGGAAAACAGCCTCCCTTAACACATTACTCAACAGAGCCGTTGGGCTTTAAGCTTGACATATAATGATGGACTATTTCCTCAGTTAGGAGGAGATCCTTGTAGAATGATAATGAAAGATTTGTTCATATTCTGAATATGAAAATTCCAAATGAGGTTACACATTCATGTCATGGTAGTAAAAACATTGGACAAAGGTGGAGGTATCATTTATTTTGTATTTATTACAATGGTTTAGCAGGGACAATGCACAACAAAAACATAAGTCTCAGAGCACTGAGAAATGATGTGTTTCAACCAGATTTAGCTAATAGCTACTTTCCATCTGTAGTTCCTTCATCATCAGGTGAGGGAAGGTCATAACGCTGAAAATATGTATTTTGAAGTTAGTTAGTAGCTAGGATCTTGAAGTTTGTTGCTAGGTGCCAAAAGAGTCAAAGAAATATGTGAAATATATTTGTATATTTTAACCATGCCTTCTAAACTCTTTTGATATATATCCCATATGTTCTCTCTTTTTCCTCCATCCTCCTCGCTCTCTCCCTCTGTCTACATCATTTCTCTCTCGCTCTCTCTCTCCCTCCCTAGGGAAGGTCATAAACATGAGGGACCATACTCTTGAACCAGGATGGAGCTGGATAGAGGTGGTTATGTTCGCAGCAAGGCCTTTCAGGACTCCCAGTACAGTGTATACTAGAGCATTCAGCCGTTCACTGTTCATACAAGTGTTTTACACCGTTACCTGTCATAAGCTAGGTTTCCATCCAATTTGGCAAAAGATTTTCATGTGAATATTCTCAAATCTGCATTAAAAAAATATGCGCATTTTCCCACAAGTTGTTTCCATCAAACTGACTTGTTGCAGATAATAATTAGTGCGTGATGACGTAGTGCACACACACTTAAGTTTTCATGTACAGAATAGAAATCTAATGTTCAATGTGTTTCCATCGCATTTCAACTCTACCGATAGTTCTGTCACAAAATCTGTTGCATTAAATAGTAAATGTGCCTATACTCTGGTCTTGGCATGTGAGCTCTAGCCAACAGCTCGCAGATACAGTAATTATGGATAAGTGTGAGAATGTTTTTATTTGTCAAAACAGCTGTCAAGCATCGATCATCATGTCACCAGCATAAGACCCTCAACATTTATTGGAAAGGAGCATCAAGCTCATACCATGCACTTTCACCACCCTGTGAAGTTCATCATAACTTATTTCATCTGTAGCCTCATTTAAACTGCCAGGTTTCCTGAGTTGTAGTGGGAGGACCACACACCATGTCATTGTGTGACTCCAAGTTTACTTCCAAATGATGGTTATTATATCAATATTTGTGCATAAAGGCATTTCGTTTCAAAGGCATTTTTCATATAATAAATTTGACTAAAAAAAGATCCCTCCATAAAAAGAAAAAGTTAAAGGAACCCAAAGACATAAAATATATATATAGAGAGATAGAGAGACCATAGCAGAGTCATATTCAGATGCATGTGCACACATACTGTAGTTAGACAGGCAGAAACACAGAGACCCAGTTGGTTGGGTTGAATGGGAATAAGTGTGACGCCATGCACCATGGGTATAGAACACTGACAGACTGCGTTGCCTGGTGGTGTGTTTGCATTTCCACACGTCCCCAGGAGACCTGTGTTTTACTAGCTAACCTTTTGTTTGCACACCAAACAAAATATAATGTAAATAGAAACACAATGGTCGTCCATTTTCTCTGGTTTATAACTATGGACTTTTGAACCATACATGATAAAATATGCACAGACAGGATGCTTTTTGACATGGAATTTACTTTTACTTAAAACATCTCTATACAGGGTATGTCAGTTTACAAAAGGGTGATCTGGAAAGAACATACACAGTCAAATGTAACACAAAGACAACGGTGTACAGTAATACATACAAATAAACCACTGTAGACAAATAAATTATAGACAAACTATATGTACAGCATTTACAGTACATGAGAGTTGGGACACAATATTACATCTTCAGCCTATTAAAACGTAAAATAATATCACTTTTATATTGAAAAAAGTAATGATTTAACAGTGACAAGTCATTGTCTATTTGTCGGAGAGAAGGAGATTGTAATACAAATAATTTCATGCCGGAAACACTAGGATTTTACATGCAAAGCCAAGGTCTCTAAGGAATCTTTATCTACTGTATATAGACTCATATCCAAATGCAAAATTCAGAAGCATTTCCTCATTGAAGGGTTGGGTGAACTGTTTATCGGTGGGCTACTTGTTAGCATTTTCTTTGTTTGGTAGGGTGCACATACAACAGTAGAGACATGACTGAGTTATGTCCGAAGGAGGACCCTTCTCCCTTCTGTTGGTGGCTGTTCTCCAGTGTCCTGAGTCTGGGAGGTTAGTTCTGGTCAGCTGATCTCTCAGTGCCTCTCTATGGTGGGCTGGTGCTGGTGATGATTCCTGAGTCTGGGTCCTGAATGGTCACATTGAGATAGGCCAAGCAGGTCAATGATAAGGTCAGAGTTAGGGTTGCAAACCTACTGGTAATTTACCAGATTATTCAGTAATAATGGTAATTAACAGGTAATCTATTGCAATCCATGATAACTTGGGTCATTTATACTTAAATACAATGTATTTATTTATTCATATATAAAGTATACATTTGTTATGTCTGTGTCCATATTGTCCATGAGTTTCTAGTGGATAGACCATATGGTTCAAGAGGAAATAGCCTATTAATGCAAAAATTGCCTTATTTTCAATTAACTCTGTTACTCTTCCAACTATTGTCTTTTTTTCACAACTGCAACCAGTCTGTACCCAAAACATTTACAACAAAGACATATTGATATAGTCAAATAAATAAGTGTGTAAAAAATATATAAAGGATCTTTTCATGCTGAAATCCTCATATTAAAACACATATTTAATACACTAAATTGGTTTATATTTAGGATAATGTTTTACAGCTTTGTCATTCTATTATTTATTTTTTTATCATCATATTGGATTTTTTGTAATCTATTTTACTTGATAAGGTCACAGAGGGCCAGAGATAATTACAGACGCCTATGATAATCAGCAGTACCCAAAAAGGCCACTAGATGTCATCTGGTAAAATTCCATACATTCCTTGAAAGTTACCATTGTAAATCTCTTTTAGCATCTGGAAAAGAGAAAGATAATCCAATCAATGATCTTACTGTGCTGTAGGACTGGCGAGGTGTTGGGAGTGTAAAAGGTCTTGGTGGTGGCAGGACCCTCCCCTCCTGCTCCAATCACCTGGATCTCCAGCCTGTAGGGGGTAGCTAGCTGCAGACCTGACACTACCAGGACATTACGCTCCTGAGAGAACAGGGAAGACAGCAATGCAGGGGCTCATTAATTGTTAAAAGGGGGAACTGGTTGGCTTTTTCCTATATGGATGTTTTGGTCACCTTCCTCTACTACACTACCACCCTATTCCGTGAAGCTACTTATTTAAATCACAACAAATCATGGGAATTTGTGAAAATGAAAATGGATTACTTAGACATTTGTTGGTTATTACAGGGTTTTGATTTACTGAGACAAATGGTTAGATTTGTTGCATAAAGGTGGGCTAATTCGTTGAGTTGATATGGGGTTCCAGTATATGGTGGCACCCCACTGAGCACACACTGGTTGAATCAACGTTGTTTCCACGTCATTTCAACGATATTATGTTGAACCAACGTGGAATAGACGTTGAATTGACGTCTGTGCCCACTGGGACAGCACTATTCGGGTTTATACTGGTGGACTTACTGGTGGTAGTATCTGGGACTGTGAGATTAGGCTGTTGGGAAGGTTGTTATGGCTACTGGCTGAGGTCACTTCCGCCCATGTGACCTGGAACCCGTGGAGCTGTTGGGGTGGGAGTGGCGTAGACACCTCCCATGTAAACACAGCTGTGATGTTACCCTTGTCGGCCATGAAGGAGGCGGTCAGGTTTTCTGCCTTGGACAGCACCTTGGGAGGAGGAGTAGGAGAGGGTCCTATGGGACAAACATAGTGTTTGAGGGGATCAGTTTGAGCAAAGCGAAGCGCAGAATCTCTAATCTTGATCACATAATTACTAGTTATTTAGGATGCAAGGTGATATGTAGATCAGTGATTCTACACAGTCCAACTTCAATGTAGTTGATCTTAAACATAGAGCGTTACACCAATGGAAATGTGAAGGTTCACTAGGTCAATGACAAAGTGACAAAGTCATCTTTGGGTGGTCAGTGGTGTCTCACCTTCCTGCCCTGGACAGGCGATGTGTTTGGGGCTCTTGGCGCTGATGGTGGCACAGGAGGGGGTGAAGAAGAAGGTGGTTTCTGCCTGGGCACGTCCCTTAGTACCAAGTGGCTGGAGGTTCACGCTGTACTTACAGGAGAAGAGCAGGCCAGGGAGGCTGGCAAAGCCCTCCTATAAGAGGTTAAAGACAGCGGACACATATGATGAGAGCACCCTATACTGTAACTCCAATAGAGATAGATACCCTTTATATTACTTGAAGTTTCACCATAAATCGGCTGAATGAAACTGGTTACCTGTGTGATGATCTTGTCCACTCCTTTGGTCTGGTTGTGTCCACAGTAATCTGGTACCCACTGGACACGATACCGAACTACAGTGGGATCTGAGAGAGATGGAAAGTAGTATCAATCAATTCATCATCAATCAACTGCTGATTTGTCTCATAACACTGGTGACAAAGCACACATTGGCCTTTCAAAATAAGAGTCAATGGTTCACTTCTATAAAGCTCAACTTGTTTAGACAGAACAGATTCTTTGACGCAAAATGTAAGAGAAGCTGTTCCTCAGTTGGCTCTGTGGGTAGCCCAGTGTGTGTGCTGTGGGTAGCCCAGTGTGTGTGCTGTGGGTAGCCCAGTGTGTGTGCTGTGGGTAGCCCAGTGTGTGTGCTGTGGGTAGCCCAGTGTGTGTGCTGTGGGTAGCCCAGTGAGTCAGCGATGCTAGCTTACTGTGCTCATGTTCCTGCATGAACAGGATTCAGGATGTACATCTGTGCATCTTATCAGCTTGTAACAAAGCAGCCTTTTGTTTCATGTTTAATTACCCACAAGCATCCTGTACATTTACGATAATCTCTCTGTTTACATTACGATAGGGAGGTGGTGGTTAGAGGATTATTTCCTCAGCCACACTGCTTTTGTCAAAGGCCAAATCAAATGTGTGTGTGTGTGTGGGTGTTGCATGCGTGGGTTAATGCACATGTGTGTGTGTGTGTGTGCGCGTGCAAGCATGCTTGCGTGTGTGTGTGTGCGCCTATGCGTGCGTGCGTTCATTAACGCGTGTGTGCATGTTTGTGTGTGTGGCTGTGTCTGGGTCTCCACCTGCATACCTGTGCTCCTCTGCCAGTAGACCCGGACCTGCAGCTGGCCATCCTGGTAGAAGGGGGTGCCCACATCCAACACATCAGGGATAAAGCCCCCGGGGACGGGGACCGGGCGCGCGCCAGACGTCTGCTCCTCCCCTGATTGTGCAACAATGGAAATGGGAAGAAAGCGATGTTATATCAGATGCAAACATATCACGCATCCAACCTCGATATACTGGGTAAATATTCTGTAAAAATCCTCCAACCGGGATTTCTGGAAAAACCTGAGAACTTTGAGAACGTTTCCAGAATATGGCGAGCCTAATTATCAAATATTTTCCTTAACAAATGACAGTTGATAAGCTTTGACTGTTGTTGACGTACTGGGTCGTGTGGTGAAGTGCAGGCTGGCCTTTGGACTTTTCAGTGGGTTCTGTCCCCAGTAGGACACGGCCTGTAGCTCCACACTGTAACTCCTGTTAGCTCGCAGACTCTCCAGCTCCACATACCTCTGCCCCTGGATACATATACAGGACAGAGGGGTTATAGGGTCAGAAAGACCGTTCTGTATCCTCTATATCCACACAACAAAAGGTACAAAGTAGGTCCAATAACCACAGTAATAACTTGCCGGGAAAATGTCATTTTCCCAAAACAGACGTGAGCTCATAAGATAATGCAGATTTTGGCTATTTAATAGCATCAATCTGTGATTAATTTGCCAGAGGCGACAACTATACAATTGCTTGGTTTGGTGTGTAAGCACTAAGCACCATCAGATTGGAGGGTTTATGTCATCAAAGCCACACACACTCCCATTGTGTATCCTTCCATTACATTTGTTGTGGCTTGAGGAAAGAAACTGGCTCTGAAACAACAGGCTTCCACTGTACATTGTCCCAGGGAATGTCCCATGTTAATGAGTGCCTACATGTCAGGGTAGGTACACTCTTAGAAAAAAGGGTTCTATGGCTGTCCCCATAGGATAACCCTTTTTGGTTCCAGATAGAACCCTTTTTGGTTCCACATAGAACCTTCTGTTCAAAGGGTCCTACGTGGAACCCAAAAGGGTTCTACCTGGAACCAAAAAGGGTTCTTCAAAGGGTTCTCCTATGGGGACAGCCGAAGAACCCTTTTAGGTTCTAGATAGCGCCTTTTTTTCTAAAAGGCTTTGACCATGGAAATAGAATGACTAGACCGCCAAAGCCCCTTAGACCACGTCATTCCATTTATATGGGTATGACTGACCTAACCCATGGGCCCAACATGTCAGTGTAGGGGACTTACTCTATGACTTACCCCATTGACCATCTTCCTCCTCTTGGTCTTAGGTCGTGCTGTGGCCCCTGTGCTGCCTGTGGCCCAGCTCCAGGACACCTTGTAGTGGTGTACAGGGACATCCAGGTCTGAGGGGATGGACCAGTGCAGCCGGACCGACACCGCCCTGCCGCCGGGGCCAAAGGTCACATTGGACACCCTCAGCTCAGATGGGGTGGGGGGACTGGAGGGGTCTGGTGAATACATTATTAATCAATCAGGTGTCATTGGTCTGATGTAGACATCAGTAGCCCTTTCCTGCAGTCAAATGACTTTGTTGCATCATGGGTAGAATGTTATTAATATTTTTCATAATTTCATAATTAATAAACATTATTTCAGAAACCCGCCGAAAATCCGGTGTTTCTTGTCAAAATGTGTTTAAGACTCCCAGGAATCACTCTGTGTGACCCTGATTTAGCCCACTGCAGTAAAAAGGTTAATCAATCATGGAGGCATTCTCACTGACAAATGCAGCACAGCTAACCCACACCGCACATTACAGCTGCCAAATACATTAAGGTTAAGTAACTGTCTATTAAAGCTATTCATATATTGACTGGAAGGTATTACAGCTCTAGGGGGCTAAAGCCACAATACAGCACTTCAGAAATGGCCAAAAGCCACAATACAGCACTTCAGAAATGGCCAAAAGCCACAATACAGCACTTCAGAAATGGCCAAAAGCCAATGTATTCATCTTCATTACAGTCAGTGCAATATCACCCCAGGGTGTTTAAGCCAGCCAGCTCACACACACAAACAAACAAACTCACAGACACTCTGCCTGACCTTTCTTGGTGTGGATGTGGCGACTGGGAGTGGTGAACCCTCTGGTCCCGTGGACGTTCACTGCTGCCACTCTGAACTGGTACCACCGGCCTGCCCGGATATCAGCAAGCCGCGCTTTCACCTCCGTGGTCTGGGGGGAGGGGGGGGAGAGAGAGAGCAAAACAGAGACAGAGAGTTGTTCAACTTCATGAACAATCAATACATTGCCACACATTGAATTCTAAGTAGATTACATACATTTGTCCCCTTATAATCAACTACATACAGTATCAATAAGTAAGCATCAAAAAGTCTGACTAACCTGTGCTACCACCTCCCACTGTGTAGCAGCATCCTCACTGGGTTGGATTCCGTAGTTCCACCTCCTCTGGACCACGTAGATGACCGGCTCGGCCGACACGTTGAATCGGGAGGACCAGCTCACCTCCATCTGACCAGACCTCAGCTCCTCAAAACTCAGTTCCTTCCTGGGCTTCAGAGGGGCTCCTGGAAGGGTGAAGTGGGTCATTTCAAGGTCAAAGGTTACATGAAATCATTATTTTTTTGTCATTTAGCAGCCGCTCTTATTCAGAGCAATTAGTTAGATGCCTTGCTCAAGGGCACATCAGCAGATTTTTCACCTAGTCGGCTCAGGGATTCGAACCAGCAAACGTTCAGTTACTAGCCCAATGCTCTTAACCGCTAGGCTACCTGCCGCCCACATGCGTATTAGGTTAATTCTGAACTCTGCACGCTTAATTCTAAATTCCATGTCTTCCATTGACATCAGTGAATTATCTAAGCAAAAGTTTGAGTTTCTTATCTCATCTTTGAATTGGCCCGCAAATTGGTTGCAGATAGTATATTGGTTGTAACCAACAAACAAAAAAAGGACCTACTGTAGTTTCCTGTCTATTTTCCTAAACATACTGTGTGTACTGGAGGTTGCTGTACCTTTGTAAAGGTTCTTGGGAGGTTGGCAGGTATGCCCACAGCCGTTGGAACAGCACTTCTTCTTGGCAGGGCACTCGCTGTCCTCCTCGCATCCCTCCACGCACGCCGCCGCGAATCCGCTGGCCTTCTCAGGGGCAGGGCAGTCACCCTGCTTCACTGCCACCACCGAGCGCAGGAACTCACAACTCGTCACACACTCCCAGTGCTTCTTGGGAATTGAGCGCTGGCGTGGAGGATTGGGGGGAGAGAGAGAGAGAAGTGTTAGAAAGCACAGATGCTTTACTACTAAAATAACAGAACCAAAACTGTGTAGAAATCGTAGGAAAAAGTTGTTTCTGATTACTTTCGACTGAGTGAGGAAATTGAGGAAGCACTGAGGTAAAAGATGCCTGTGTCTGACTACTTGTGCACAACAAAATTATGTGGAGGAGAATCTGAACTGAACTCTACTAATTTAGCCTCTCCACATGAAGCCTCTCCTCAGTGCATTCCTCCCCCCCTAACTTAACGTAGTACGAGGCTGTCATAAGTCATCATACCGCACAGAGCTCCCGGCACTGGCTCCTCTTCAGGTCCCAAGAGGCCTTGCATGGTTCCAGGCACTTTGAAGGTGAGAGAAACAGAGATGGAGGTGAGGGCTCATCACACATTCCATGCCACCACAGGAGATTTTATTATTACAGTAAAGACGTGTCACCAAGGTATTCAGAAAAATACAGTAGTAATCACTTCTATGTCCTTCACAGACTATACAGGATCATCAAAGGTTGAAACGGAACACTTTCCCTTGCATACTTCTTCTCCCCTCAATCGCCCTCAATATAACAGCAAAAAGTGCTGCCACAAACTTTAGCAGTTTGGCGTTTATTGGGATGAATCTTTGTATGCATCTGACATCTGTGGCCTTGTCGTTGTTCCTGACTCTCGAGAAGAGAACGGCTAAAGAACTGGACAGCAGGCTGCTGGACCCACATTTACTTTGGAAAACATCAGTATAAGGGAAATAAATAGGATGTTTGAAAATCAAAGAGCACCACTCTTCCACAGTGTGTTTGTTATCTATGCGCTCCCTGTAGCGGCTTGTAGATCTGTACTGCTGTCCTTGTCCCTGAGAGACACTCTTTCTGCATGAGTAACCCAGGCTAGGCTGCCCAGGGGAATATTCACATTTCCAATTTCATGCTGTTATGAAACACAGTGGTTGGTAGCCATGGAGGAAAGGCAGTGGGGAATGTTGATTCGCAATGTACAGTAAGGCTGGTGGCTCTAGGGGTAATTTGAAAGTTACCATATTACAGTAACAATTTCCATCTGATATGTGCTGTCACTCTTTATCCAGGTTTAACTATACTGAACAAAAATATAAACGCAACATGCAACAATTTCAACGATTTTACTGAGTTACAGTTCATAGAAGGCAATCAGTCAATTTAAAATTCATTACGCACTAATCTATGGATTTCACATGGGGCGCAGCCATGCGTGGGCCTGGGAGGGCATAGGCCCACCCACTTGGGAGCCAGGCCCAGCCAATCAGAATGAGTTTTTCCCACAAAAGGGCTTTATTACAGACAGAAATACTCCTCAGTGTTATCAGCTATCTGGGGGGCTGGTCTCAGACGATCCCACAGGTGAAGAAGCCGGATGTGGAGGTCCTGGGCTAGCGTGGTTACATGTTGTCTGCGGTTGTGACGCCAGTTGGACGTACTGCCAAATTCTCTAAAACAACGTTGGAGGCGGATTATGGTAGATAAATGAACATTCAATTATCTGGCAACAACTCTGGTGGACATTCCTGCAGCCAGCATGCCAATTACATGCTCCCTCAAAACTTGAGACATCTGTGGCATTGGGTTGTGTGACAAAACTGCACATTTTAGAGTGGCCTAAGCACAAGGTGCACCTTTGTAATTATCATGCTGTTTAATCAGTTTCTTGATATGCCACACCTGTCAGGTGGATAGATTATCTTGGCAAAGGAGAAATGCTCACCAACAGGGATATAAACACGTGTGCACAAAAGTTGAGCGAAATAAGCTTTTTGTGCGTATGGAAAATTTCGGGGGATCTTTTATTTCAGCTCATGAAACATGGGACCAACACTACATGTTGCGTTTATATTTGTGTTCAGTATATAAACTCAGTATGCTTATTATTTCTTACTTACTTATGCCTTGACACAAGTATAACAGCATGTTCAATTCACTCCTACAACCTTGTAGAGAAAGCCTCAACCATGCAATCTGTTGTTGAAAGTTTTCAAGGCGTGGAGTGAAGATTGGAGTTATCCTGGGGCAACGTTTTGGTCTGAATGAGTTTGGGAAACACATTTATCTTCAGCTGCTGTGAAAACATGAGCAAGTGTGTGTGTGTGTGTGTGTGTGTGTGTGTGTGTGAGCAAATGTGTGAAGGGTGGAATGGGGTGGAGGGTATGGTAGTTGTCGGAAACTCTGAATAATGTGAAGGAAGGAGGCACACATTTAAATGCAGCTGAGGTGCCCACTTTATGGTGAGGGAAACGCGGATACCCTGCCGAGCTCGCCCCAGGCCCACTGCTACTTGTATGGAAGGAAAATCCTGAAACTGCTAAAGCCTGACGTTGTACCCTTTCCCATTCAGTAACATGCTCATACATTGCTCAAACATTCAACTAGCTCTCTTAACCCCTCTACTCTCCTGTAGTACCCTGTCCTCGCTTTATCTCTCCTACAGTCCCTCCATACTACAATGTACTGCATGTCTAAAGCTCTCACATCGTGTCTAGGTCCTCGTCTCCCTGACATAGCCTAGTACCATTCTGTATTACGAGTGTCCCTGTTTGTCCTGTCATCTCTTATCTCCCTTCTCTGGTCTCCAACGGGAGATTCTTCCTCTAATCCCAACTGACGCTCAGACTCTCTCGTCTCCTCGTTCTTATCGTGCCGGCTACGCTTCGTTTTCCGCCCCATTTCAAACTCAAACCAAGCATTCCTTTCCACTAGGGACCGACCGCAAATAAAGCAGAGTTCTAGGACTCTGATAGGTGTTCTGTCAATTCCTAGACATTCTAAGGATTCTCTTTCACTGATTGCAAAAGACAAAGGAGTATTACCCCTCGATGGCCGACATTTGATAGACATTTGAAAGTCGATAATGCTTACTCTTGATTTTGAACACAGGAAAACCTGCCCTGTTTTACAAAGGAACAAGGGAAACCACGAAAAGCACCAGCAGAGTGCACATGGCCATTTCTGTACGTAGTAGGACGAGATTGAACCGTCTCCTCTGTGAATGTCAGTAGATAATGGCCTCAGTGACTTCTCTGCTGACCGTGCATAAAGCTGCTGTTCTTTTTGGGTGGTGTAGACTGAGCCTGCGTCCCAAATGGTACGCTATTCTCTATATATAGTGCACTACTTTTGACCAGCGCCATATGGGCCCTGGTCAAAATAAATGCACTAAATAGGGAAAAGGGTGCCATTTGGGATGCAGCCTGGCTATACTGTAGCACACAACAGTGTTTGATACCATGCCCAGATGAGACCCTGCCTTTGTCTCTCCCTTCCTGTTTCTACAAATTGAACAGGCTTTGAGGGGGTTCCAGAGTCTTTCTCAAGAGGACAAGCGCATGCAGCTCTCCACCTCTCTGTAGTCCTAACACTGTTTATTATATCATACGGTCATGTCTGTGGTGGAAGGAAGAAGATGCATTAATGTGCCGTGTTAAAAATGGCACCCTATTGCCTGCATAGGGCTCTGGTCAAAAGTAGTGCACTATATATGGAATAGGGTGCCATTTCAGCCTTATTTTTTGTCCTTAGGGCACATCATCCCAACTGCTAGACCAGTAAGTGTTAGTTAGTACACTAATGACTCCAAAGTGCTGCCTAAACGCCAATCTGAAGGGGCCTTGGCTTGTCGTGAGGTGATAAAAAATAATGACTTCAACTAAGCATTCATATCAGCAGAGCTGAGAGGCTGACAGGCAGTCCAGTGTAATAGCATGGCAATTATGACCATCCACGGCTCTCCTAAATGAGGCACTGAAGCCATCCTGTCATCCCCTGCTAAGCCTTTAAATGAAGATGTGACCGGACTCTATTTTGACAGACTATGGTAATCATCTATAGTAGCCTTAATTGACTGGCTGCCTCGAGGAGATAGTGACAGGCGGATTAACAGTCACTCATCATTACCAGGGAGGTCCATAGAGACAACATGAGGCTGAGTATGCATGGGCAAAGTACAGGATGATCTGACAATTGTGACCAAACATTATCATAGCTCTACTGGATGTAATCATTGAGGGCTTTAAAATGGCAGCACTGTTTTTGTCTCCGATAAGTTGTGGGTGGACTTTCAGTGTGGCCGTAAACACTGCTGCAAGCAATAACCAAATGAGCCACTTGCTTGATGCAGACATGCGATGGCTTATGCAGCGAAACAAATAATCTCCTGTAATCAAATATTGCAAAACATGAGGGTCTGACTTCTAATTTTGTGGTTGAGCTGGAACTACTGCTTACATAGTAGGTAGTGACATTTCCGGAACACCTTAAATCAGACTGAAATCCTTGGGCAGCCTATCAAATCTAATGTTGAGTTGTAGTGATATACCAAACCATTGGTGACACATAACTGCACTGAAAGCAAAGCAAGTTTACTTTTAAAGTGAGACTGCAGAGACATTAAGATCTCCTTAGTTAGAATAAATGTATTCTTCATCTCCACTTCAGAGCCTCTAATTTGGCAATTAGCTGCCGTGTAATGAACATTCTACAACGAAGAGGATTCTAATTGGCTGTGTTCTTTCTTAACGAGAATAAAATATTATTATTACTTTCTTAACGAGAATAAAATAGCATTATCACTCTTCAAGAAAACAAGGAAAGCGCTGACATCTTATTCTCTGTAGCCTGGTATCCAAACTGATATAAAAACATAGCATATCTGTTTTGGTTCCAGGCTATTTTACATGGACCTAGTGTAGAGGATGCTATCATGCTACAAGGATTGACCTGGTTTAAAGTTTGAGTGAAAACGCTCTCTGGAGTTCTGGAGAAATCTGCTGAGCAGTTGGCCAAATGTTTTCATGGACCCACCAAGAGAGGTCAGCGCCTGGCTGACTGTGTTTCTGCTGCAAGCCTACCCTGGGGTGTGTCTGTCTGTCACAGAGAGAGACGTGTGTGGTTGTGCTCATCTCCCATATGGTGACACAAACACACAACTAGCCAGAGTATTATACTGTAGTAAACAAAGTAACAATACAGTCACAAAGACAATTCCAAACTAATTAGGAATGTGGCTTCAGAATAAATAGCTACGAGTGTGAATGTGTTATTGAAAAAACAGCATTCAGTTGATCAAAAACATGAGATAATATTGTTCATGATGGTATTTGACTGCTGTTTGCGTCATGAGATATGACAACTGTGCAACCATTCTATTTTTGTATACTACAGTATACTGAAGCTTGTGGAATAATCACAAAGGCAACATGTCAGCTTCACTTCTGTACACTGTGGGGATACTATACTGAAGGGCTGTTAGAGAATGTTACTGTGCTCATTACCAAAAATGAGTGCAGCTCTTTACCTAAAGACAATTATGACTTCCAGAGAGGGATATGCAGAATAAAAAGTGGAGAGACTAAGAGCTTAACAGCCAAGCATCCATCTAAAGCACCTGTCGCTATACTTTGTGATTGTATATTATTTAGGCTCTATGATCTACAGAGGTACAGTACATAGCTAGCTGCAGTATATTAGCTGATATAGTGATATATGGTATTGAATGGTACATAGAGTACTGGGTAGGAACCACTATGACTAAGACTATGGCAATGATTTATCATGCTATTTGTTCAGCTGCTGACTTTCCCTGAAAGCTTTTCCTGTCTGAAAATAGATTATTCCGTTTGTGTGATTTCTATCATGTTAGGTAATAGGTATGCATGTAAACATCAGTACGTTACCTTGGCACACTGCTTATGATTTTGACACCAGCCCAGGGATCCATTGTTCTGTAGGGAGGGAAGAGAGTAGAGGACAGTCAGTAGTATAATTACTAGGGAGAGTAGAGGACAGTCAGTAGTATAATTACTAGGGAGAGTAGAGGACAGTCAGTAGTATAATTACTAGGGAGAGTAGAGAGTAGAGGACAGTCAGTAGTATAATTACTAGGGAGAGTAGAGGACAGTCAGTAGTATAATTACTAGGGAGAGTAGAGGACAGTCAGTAGTATAATTACTAGGGAGAATAGAGAGTAGAGGACAGTCAGTAGTATAATTACTAGGGAGAGTAGAGGACAGTCAGTAGTATAATTACTAGGGAGAGTAGAGAGTAGGACAGTCAATAGAATAATTCCTAGGGAGAGTAGAGGACAGTCAGTAGTATAATTACTAGGGAGAATAGAGAGTAGAGGACAGTCAGTAGTATAATTACTAGGGAGAGTAGAGGACAGTCAGTAGTATAATTACTAGGGAGAGTAGAGGACAGTCAGTAGTATAATTACTAGGGAGAGTAGAGAGTAGAGGACAGTCAGTAGAATAATTACTAGGGAGAGTAGAGGACAGTCAGTAGTATAATTACTAGGGAGAGTAGAGAGTAGAGGACAGTCAGTAGTATAATTACTAGGGAGAGTAGAGGACAGTCAGTAGTATAATTACTAGTGAGAGTAGAGAGTAGAGGACAGTTTAGTAGTATAATTACTAGGGAGAGTAGAGGACAGTCAGTAGTATAATTACTAGGGAGAGTAGAGGACAGTCAGTAGTATAATTACTAGGGAGAGTAGAGAGTAGAGGACAGTCAGTAGAATAATTACTAGGGAGAGTAGAGGACAGTCAGTAGTATAATTACTAGTGAGAGTAGAGGACAGTCAGTAGTATAATTACTAGGGAGAGTAGAGGACAGTCAGTAGTATAATTACTAGGGAGAGTAGAGGACAGTCAGTAGTATAATTACTAGGGAGAGTAGAGAACAGTCAGTAGTATAATTACTAGGGAGAGTAGAGAGTAGAGGACAGTCAGTAGAATAATTACTAGGGAGAGTAGAGGACAGTCAGTAGTATAATTACTAGGGAGAGTAGAGGACAGTCAGTAGTATAATTACTAGGGAGAGTAGAGAGAACAGTCAGTAGTATAATTACTAGGGAGAGTAGAGGACAGTCAGTAGTATAACTACTAGGGAGAGTAGAGAGTAGAGGACAGTCAGTATTATAGTCAGTAGTATAATTACTAGGGAGAGTAGAGGACAGTCGGTAGTATAATTACTAGGGAGAATAGAGTAGAGGACAGTCAGTAGTATAATTACTAGGGAGATAGAGAGTAGAGGACAGTCAGTAGTATAATTACTAGGGAGAGTAGAGGACAGTCAGTAGTATAATTACTAGGGAGAGTAGAGAGTAGAGGACAGTCAGTAGTATAATTATAGGGAGAGTAGAGGACAGTCAGTAGTATAATTACTAGGGAGAGTAGAGGACAGTCAGTAGTATAATTACTAGTGAGAGAAGAGAGTAGAGGACAGTCAGTAGGATATTATTACTAGGGAGAGTAGAGGGACAGTCAGTAGTATAATTACTAGGGAGAGTAGAGGACAGTCAGTAGTATAATTACTAGGGAGAATAGAGAGTAGAGGACAGTCAGTAGTATAATTACTAGGGAGAGTAGAGGACAGTCAGTAGTATAATTACTAGGGAGAGTAGAGGACAGTCAGTAGTATAATTACTAGGGAGAGTAGAGAGTAGAGGACAGTCAGTAGAATAATTACTAGGGAGAGTAGAGGACAGTCAGTAGTATAATTACTAGTGAGCGTAGAGGACAGTCAGTAGTATAATTACTAGGGAGAGTAGAGGACAGTCAGTAGTATAATTACTAGGGAGAGTAGAAGACAGTCAGTAGTATAATTACTAGGGAGAGTAGAGAGACAGTCAGTAGTATAATACTAGGGAGAGTAGAGAGTAGAGGACAGTCAGTAGAATAATTACTAGGGAGAGTAGAGGACAGTCAGTAGTATAATTACTAGGGAGAGTAGAGAACAGTCAGTAGTATAATTACTAGGGAGAGTAGAGGACAGTCAGTAGTATAACTACTAGGGAGAGTAGAGAGTAGAGGACAGTCAGTAGTATAATTACTAGGGAGAGTAGAGGACAGTCAGTAGTATAACTACTAGGGAGAGTAGAGAGTAGAGGACAGTCAGTAGTATAATTACTAGGGAGAGTAGAGGACAGTCAGTAGTATAATTACTAGGGAGAGTAGAGGACAGTCAGTAGTATAATTACTAGGGAGAGTAGAGGACAGTCGGTAGTATAATTACTAGGGAGAATAGAGTAGAGGACAGTCAGTAGTATAATTACTAGGGAGAATAGAGAGTAGAGGACAGTCAGTAGTATAATTACTAGGGAGAGTAGAGGACAGTCAGTTGTATAATTACTAGGGAGAGTAGAGAGTAGAGGACAGTCAGTAGTATAATTACTAGGGAGAGTAGAGGACAGTCAGTAGTATAATTACTAGGGAGAGTAGAGGACAGTCAGTAGTATAATTACTAGTGAGAGAAGAGAGTAGAGGACAGTCAGTAGTATAATTACTAGGGAGAGTAGAGGACAGTCAGTAGTATAATTACTAGGGAGAGTAGAGGACAGTCAGTAGATAATACTAGTGGAGAATAGAGAGTAGAGGACAGTCAGTAGTATAATACTAGGGAGAGTAGAGGACAGTCAGTAGTATAATTACTAGGGAGAGTAGAGGACAGTCAGTAGTATAATTACTAGGGAGAGTAGAGAGTAGGACAGTCAATAGAATAATTACTAGGGAGAGTAGAGGACAGTCAGTAGTATAATTACTAGGGAGAATAGAGAGTAGAGGACAGCAGTAGTATAATTACTAGGGAGAGTAGAGGACAGTCAGTAGTATAATTACTAGGGAGAGTAGAGGACAGTCAGTAGTATAATTACTAGGGAGAGTAGAGAGTAGAGGACAGTCAGTAGAATAATTACTAGGGAGAGTAGAGGACAGTCAGTAGTATAATTACTAGGGAGAGTAGAGGACAGTCAGTAGTATAATTACTAGGGAGAGTAGAGGACAGTCAGTAGTATAATACTAGGGAGAGTAGAGGACAGTCAGTAGTATAATTACTAGGGAGAGTAGAGACAGTCAGTAGTATAATTACTAGGGAGAGTAGAGGGTAGAGGACAGTCAGTAGAATAATTACTAGGGAGAGTAGAGGACAGTCAGTAGTATAATTACTAGGGAGAGTAGAGGACAGTCAGTAGTATAATTACTAGGGAGAGTAAAAGAGAACAGTCAGTAGTATAATTATAGGGAGAGTAGAGGACAGTCAGTAGTATAACTTTCTAGGGAGAGTAGAGAGTAGAGGACAGTCAGTAGTTTATTTCTAGGGAGAGTAGAGGACAGTCAGTAGTATAATACTAGGGAGAGTAGAGGACAGTCAGTAGTATAATTTACTAGGGAGAGTAGAGGACAGTCGTAGTATAATTACTAGGGAGAATAGAGTAGAGGACAGTCAGTAGTATAATTACTAGGAGAGAATAGAGAGTAGAGGACAGTCAGTAGTATAATTACTAGGGAGAGGTAGAGGACAGTCAGTAGTATAATTACTAGGGAGAGTAGGAGTAGAGGACAGTCAGTAGTATAATTACTAGGGAGAGTAGGGACAGTCAGTAGTATAATTACTAGGGAGAGTAGAGGACAGTCAGTAGTATAATTACTAGTGAGAGAAGAGAGTAGAGGACAGTCAGTAGTATAATTACTAGGGAGAGTAGAGGACAGTCAGTAGTATAATTACTAGGGAGAGTAGAGGACAGTCAGTAGTATAATTACTAGGGAGAGTAGAGGACAGTCAGTAGTATAATTACTAGGGGAGAGTAGAGGACAGTCAGTAGTTTTAATACTAGGGAGAGTAGGGGACAGTGGTAGTATAATTACTAGGGAGAAGAGTAGAGGACAGTCAGTAGTATAATTACTAGGGAGAAAGAGAGTAGAGGCAGTCAGTAGTATAATTACTAGGGAGAGTAGAGGACAGTCAGTAGTATAATTACTAAGGGAGAGTAGAGAGTAGAGGACATCAGTAGTATAATTACTAGGGAGAGTAGAGGACAGTCAGTAGTATAATTACTAGGGAGAGTAGAGGACAGTCTGTAGTATAATTACTAGGGAGAGTAGAGGACAGTCAGTAGTATAATTACTAGGGAGAGTAGAGGACAGTCAGTAGTATAAATTACTAGGGAGAGTAGAGGACAGTCAGTAGAATAATTACTAGGGAGAGTAGAGGACAGTCAGTAGTATAATTACTAGGGAGGAGAGTAGAGGACAGTCAGTAGTATAATTACTAGGGAGAGTAGAGGACAGTCAGTAGTATAATTACTAGGGAGAGTAGAGAGTAGAGGACAGTCAGTAGTATAATTACTAGGGAGAGTAGAGGACAGTCAGTAGTATAATTACTAGGGAGAGTAGAGGACAGTCAGTAGTATAATTACTAGGGGGAGTAGAGGACAGTCAGTAGTATAACTACTAGGGAGAGTAGAGGACAGTCAGTAGTATAATTACTAGGGAGAGTAGAGCGTAGAGGACAGTCAGTAGTATAATTATAGGGAGAGTAGAGGACAGTCAGTAGTATAATACTAGGGAGATAGAGAGTAGAGGACAGTCAGTAGTATAATTACTAGGGAGAGTAGCGGACGTCAGTAGTTATTACTAGTGGAGTAAGGACAGTCAGTAGTATAATTACTAGGGAGAGTAGAGAGTAGAGGACAGTCAGTAGTATAATTACTAGGGAGAGTAGAGGACAGTCAGTAGTATAACTACTAGGGAGAGTAGAGGACAGTCAGTAGTATAATTACTAGGGAGAGAAGAGGACAGTCAGTATTTCAGTTTCTATTATGAAGTATAATTACATAACACAAAACATGTAGTGCAGTGGAAAAAAGTCTTAACTATTATCTTAACTACAATGTAACAAAAGTCCAAAGTGTACAAACACGCTTTTTACCAATTAATGTTAGCAACACAACTTTTGGAGTGGTAAAGAAAGTGACCTAACGTCTGAGAAGACCGCGCAGGCCAGTCAAAGGCACCCTGGCCTTCCTCTGTCCAGTGCAGGCGCAAGGGTCTGGGAGGGGTGGTTGTGGGCAGAAAAGACCACTGTATCCAGTGCCGGCTAAAGACAGATAGTCACCTGACCTCTGTCATTATCAGGTCAATGAATGTCTGCATCATATTCCTATTATAGTGCACTACCTTTGAACAGGGCCTATAGGGCTCTGGTCAAAAGTAGCGCACTAGGAAGGGAATAGAGTACCATTTGGGACTCAGACAATGAGTCATACCCATGTTATGAAGGCTACTATGGCAGCCCAAGGGACATGAAAGTCAGGACAGATAAGGGCATTTTTGTTATGTCACTGACTAAATGAATGGAGCACAATATAACCTCTGACGCAAGTCAGAACTAATCTCACAAGTCAGACAATTGTTTCAGAAATATTGAATGTGAAAGACTGGAAATCAAGGGCAAGGCTACGTCCCAAATGGCACGCTATTCCTTATATAGTGCACTACCTTTGACCAGAGCCCTATGGGCCCTGGTAAAAAGTAGTGCACTACATAGGGAATGGGTGTCATTTGGGATGCAGCCCTAAGTTTTAACCACCTCAAAGCAGACTAATGGTCCTGTCCAACAACTACAACCCAGACTGATGGTGACATTAACATCATTTTAATTCACTGTCTGGAGTAGATTGTCATATTAAAAAGTTTCCATCAAATCTCAGAAAGGGACTTTCCAATATGGAAAGTTTACGATAGATTCAACAATCTGTACCAAGATGTAATTCCATGGCTGCTTCCAGCACATTGCCAACAGAGACCTTCCAAACAATATGCTTCATGTCCATTACTGTGTCGAATTGATGCACATGTGCCAAAAAGGTGAAAACGTATAGCTGAAGCGTAGGTATACCCAAGTCTGGCAATGATAATTTGCCATTATATAGGCTAACATGACATAGTATCCTACCCACTCCTACAATGGATAGATTTGATCTATGACAGGAATTCCACCACAGAGAGAATAGCTGGACTGCCCCTGCAATCTAAAATCGACCCTGCTACATGATCTGTGGGAAGTAGTGATTAAACAGGTTAAAGGTCACATCCTGACCCTTAGAGAGGTCACGAGTGCATGACAGTGTGGCTAATGATGTGATGTCAGTGCAGTTCCAGACCCGTGATAATAAACCATAGCTATGTGTCTCACTAGTTTACCATTCCATATTCCCTATGGATCAATTCATTCAGTAAACTATATAGGACTACTATGTGGGAGTATACTAGTGGGTATTCTCGCGGGGCCATCCTTCCAAATCCTGAGGCTGAATAGTGGGTAACTGGGCATGTTCACTGCTAAGGATTAGTTATCTCCATGTACTGTATGTCATCCAAGGAGGACGAGGACATGAACTTGATCATGTGAACTGGTTGGCTCAGTCACAGTGTCATAGGCTTGGGACTGGAGGGGTAGTGAAGGGCTTGGTATGGACCTAATTAGGATAACAAGCCTCTCTCTCTCCCCTTCTCCATCAGCCAGTAGGTTGCTCCACTTCTCAATGCAGAGTCAGATTTTAAAAATGGGACATGGTAAAGAGAACATTCTAATGAGGAGTACAGTGTCTAGTCAGTTTCCTCTGTCAGAACATGATACTGAATTGTCTCCAAATATTGTCTAGTTTGCACACATACCAAATCTAAAGTAGTTATTGTGAGGCCAAAAACAAAACATCAGTTATCAGATAATAATCAACAAAATTAGAAAAACAAGAAAAACAAACATGTCCTCATCATTAATGCGATGGTCTATTTCAAGCACATTCTTGTTTATTAATTCATTTACGCATAAAAAGTAAAGGGAATATTATATAATGCAGTAGAACAAATCGGATTGCCTGCGTTTGATCCAACTTTCACTTTATTCCATGAAGACAGTAGCATGCTCGCGCGCTTGTTTTGGCCTTACCTCAACCTGAGATTGTTTGGAGAGCGTCGCTATGCGAGTGCTGTGCAAGCTGAGGCACCTAGAAGCGCATCTCCCTCGGTAGATGTCGTTCATCGACTGGGTCTCGTCTTTCTTCTTCGTCTTCGCATTGACACTCAAGAATAAGATACTCCACAAACAAAGACTCGCAAATACACCTCTATTTTTGGATAATAACATTGTCTAGGCCTTTTCTCTTTCTCTTGCTTCCCCTCTTAGCGACAGGACAGGTTTATGACAGTTTGTGGATGCAGCCCGGGAAACTGATGAAACTTCTATGTCGAAGGGAGGAGCCAGGATCTGAGCTCAGTCTGCCAATGGAAGAAATCTACGATAAACACCTAATTATCTCAGGTATGATGTGTGTGATAAGTTTGGACTGATGCCATCTAATTGTTTAATTGCTGAAATTGTTTAAGTTATCATTGCCAAATAACCTCCAAAATTACAATCTAAATGTAAGGGCTAATCTACCTCACATTATAAAACCAGGTCTAGTAGTATCTTTATCTTGAATGATAATGTCCTGCTTCAAATGAAGAATGCATTTTGATAAAGGGTAATAACACATAAACAAAATCTACAGAAACCACCCCTCAGCACTCCTGTTCACCTGCAACTCACTACACCTGTTTATGGTCTTGCCCAATACTTTTAATGGAGACAAAAAAAAAACATAGAACTGCAACAATCACTTCAGAATCTCTTAAATGTTATCATTGACTGTACTGAAAAATCATTTTCTACATATTCATTGTGTCTTATTTGGGATTCATCGCTTAATTTTAATTAATTAATTAATTAATTAATTAATTAATTAATCCATTCATTCGTTCATGCATTGAAACTTACCTGACTAACAAGCTTCTTAGTGTAGTAGTTATTTAGTAGAACAGTTTGTTGCCCCATGGAAACCTATCTGGGGGGGCGGGAAGTCACACAGCTTCCAGGGAACCCCACCATTTTCACCGGTAGCAGAGAACAACATTTTTATGGGCAAAAACTATAAAAACTAACCACTAACATATCTCACAAAGTATCTCTCCATGTTTTGGCACCGTTTTCTTGCCCACGGAAAGGAGAGAATATGACGTGTAGGAAATATTGAAGAAATCCTCACGTAGTTGGTATTTTTCGCTCATGCTCATTGAAAAATAGTCTCTGCTTGGTGCGGTAGCCTCCTGGGGTGATAATGACTGGCCCATACCTCTTCTATGTTAGCTTTTAAAGAGTGGTGCTGAGCTGTGTGGAATCACAGCAGCTGTGCTGTCTTTTAACTACAGTGTTATAATTAGTCTACAGGTGAGGAGTGTTTCTGACACTGGCTGCAGTTCAGAGTCAGGTTCAATCTGTCCATTTACAGTAGCTTTAGTTTACACCGAGTGAGATTGCGTAGAGTGAATGATGAAGTGTTTGGTAACTCAGTCCCTGTCTTCTGTCATTTGGACCGCAACTGCATGTTTAAATGTAATCATGTATTTAGTAGAAATTGCATGGGACCCCTATTAAGTCCTTGGTCATGCAACGCTGAGTGACAGTGTGTGACTATATCTTAAAGGGGCAATCCGCAGCTGCTACATCCATTTTTGGCCTTATAAAATAAGAATATAACTTATAAATGCCTCATGAGCTTAGTTCAATTTTCGTACCCCATCAGAACCCCAAAATATAAGCTTGTTCTACTTCAATGTGTATAAACATTGTAAATGTAAATAAACACTAAAAATATGCTTAAAACTATATTTTTTCTGTCCTTGCATCAAGAGCTCTGCATTTTTACCAAAACAGAGGTGGGGTAACCACTTTGTTATTGTTTCAACTGCGGATTGCCACTTTAAGCTCTAAGGCTATATCTCAGTTAATACCAGAGTTACTCAATCAATTACGCATGTACATTGTGTTCACCTGGTGGTCCAACCACACTGCAACTTTCCGGAGGAGGAATACCCTCTGCTCCTTTTAAAAAATGGTTAAAGAATGTGTACTTATATGCGTGCGTGTGTACAGAGGGGGGATCCTTGCAAGCATGTGGTGGAGGAAGTAGCTAGTTGGTGTGGGGTCCTGTAGTCTCCTGCAGGCTGCTAAATTGTATTTTCCACAACCCTGGTGGTTTACTTTCCTGACTGGGGGAAGCCTCTGCCAATGGGGTGTCCCCTACAGTATGGGTCATAAAACAAGGGTCAGGGAACCCCTGTGTCTATGTGGGAAGAGAGGAATGGATGTGATACGAGCTGCCTACGTCAGCCATCAACGTTTGTATGTGTGTGTGTTTGTGTGTGTGTGTGATTGTGTGTGTGTGTGTGTGTGTGTGTGCATGCGTGTGTGCGTGCCTGCGTGAGTGTGTGAGTGGGGGGATTTCCGCTGGCAACCTTTGTTTACAAATACAAATATTCCCTCGACTGTGTTAGTCTTTAGAAAACAACAATCACATGTGGAGCGTGAGCATACAACTCCCTAGGAGGTGTAACGATCGGTTATTGTAGTGTAATGAATTAAATAATTAACTATTGCACAGACGGAGCTTGTCTCTCAGCATGGGTGTTTTAGTCAATACAGAACTGCTATACAGTCTCTTGACACTAGGTTGAGTCCCAAATGGCACCATATGCCCTACATAGTGCACTACGTTTCACCTTATGGGTCCTGGTCAGAGTAGTGCACTATATAGGGAATAGGGTGCCATTTGGGACACAATCAAATAATCATTATCTGTATAGAGTTTGAATTATTAATACATTTAGGTTTTATTAATCTCAAATGCATGATCATAGTGTATTGTAGGAAACGGATAAATGTAGTTTCATTCAGCGTATTAATAATATATGTCTGTCACTATGGAGTGATCTTTATGCTGTGCCCAGCTAAACCATAAACTCTCATTTTATTGGACTATGCTGTAAGTAGGAGCTCTGTTGACATCTAGTGGAAGAATTATGTATCAGTTATTTTTCATTGTTGACAAATCGGCCCTGAAATCATGTTGTAATTATGTTGTAATATTTTCTGAGTTGAAGTGTGAAACTGCAACCTAAAAAAGATCTGTAACCTAAGACTATAACTAAAAAAATATCTGTAACCTAAGACTATAACCTAAAAAGATCAACAAACTGTATAAACATGCAGATATTATTATTTATTTTTTTAGGCTGCATGTGATATAATTTATGGAAGACTAGAGAAGACATTTTAAATGCACTGTCCCGTTAGTGGTTACAGAGATCATATTTGCAGCAGTAGGTGTGGAGGAGTCCTCCCTCGATGCCCTGGAGATGTTCACACTCCTTGCTGCTGATGCATCCTCGGAAATATGACACAAGGAGAGAGATGTGGACCGTGGGACACACAACGGATGCAATCACAACATCAACAAACATACACAAACAATATAAAAACAAGATTTCACTGATCCTAATGTAGTAGATGATGAGATATTGGGGAAGATGAGGAATTAGAGTGAGTGGAACCATGATTTGTGGCTCTCTCACCTTTGTTCTGAAATAGTTCATTCCAATAACCAAGTCATACAGTGGGGAAAAAAAGTATTTAGTCAGCCACCAATTGTGCAAGTTCTCCCACTTAAAAAGATGAGAGAGGCCTGTAATTTTCATCATAGGTACACGTCAACTATGACAGACAAATTGAGGAAAAAAAATCCAGAAAATCACATTGTAGGATTTTTATTGAATTTATTTGCAAATTATGGTGGAAAATAAGTATTTGGTCACCTACAAACAAGCAAGATTTCTGGCTCTCACAGACCTGTAACTTCTTCTTTAAGAGGCTCCTCTGTCCTCCACTCGTTACCTGTATTAATGGCACCTGTTTGAACTTGTTATCAGTATAAAAGACACCTGTCCACAACCTCAAACAGTCACACTCCAAACTCCACTATGGCCAAGACCAAAGAGCTGTCAAAGGACACCAGAAACAAAATTGTAGACCTGCACCAGGCTGGGAAGACTGAATCTGCAATAGTTAAGCAGCTTGGTTTGAAGAAATCAACTGTGGGAGCAATTATTAGGAAATGGAAGACATACAAGACCACTGATAATCTCCCTCAATCTGGGGCTCCACGCAAGATCTCACCCCGTGGGGTCAAAATTATCACAAGAACGGTGAGCAAAAATCCCAGAACCACACGGGGGGGACCTAGTGAATGACCTGCAGAGAGCTGGGACCAAAGTAACAAAGCCTACCATCAGTAACACACTACGCCGCCAGGGACTCAAATCCTGCAGTGGCAGACGTGTCCCCCTGCTTAAGCCAGTACATGTCCAGGCCCGTCTGAAGTTTGCTAGAGTGCATTTGGATTATCCAGAAGAGGATTGGGAGAATGTCATATGGTCAGATGAAACCAAAATATAACTTTTTGGTAAAAACTCAACTCGTCTTGTTTGGAGGACAAAGAATGCTGAGTTGCATCCAAAGAACACCATACCTACTGTGAAGCATGGGGGTGGAAACATCATGCTTTGGGGCTGTTTTTCTGCAAAGGGACCAGGACGACTGATCCGTGTAAAGGAAAGAATGAATGGGGCCATGCATCGTGAGATTTTGAGTGAAAACCTCCTTCCATCAGCAAGGGCATTGAAGATGAAACGTGGCTGGGTCTTTCAGCATGACAATGATCCCAAACACACCGCCCGGGTAACGAAGGAGTGGCTTCGTAAGAAGCATTTCAAGGTCCTGGAGTGGCCTAGCCAGTCTCCAGGTCTCAACCCCATAGAAAATCTTTGTAGGGAGTTGAAAGTCTGTGTTGCCCAGCGACAGCCCCAAAACGTCATTGCTCTAGAGGAGATCTGCATGGAGGAATGGGCCAAAATACCAGCAACAGTGTGTGAAAACCTTGTGAAGACTTACAGAAAACGTTTGACCTGTGTCATTGCCAACAAAGGGTATATAACAAAGTATTGAGAAACTTTTGTTATTGACCAAATACTTATTTTCCACCATAATTTGCAAATAAATTCATAAAAAATCCTACAATGTGATTTTCTGGATTATTTTCCCTCATTTTGTCTGTCATAGTTGACGTGCACCTATGATGAAAATTACAGGCCTCTCTCATCTTTTTAAGTGGGAGAACTTGCACAATTGGTGGCTGACTAAATACTTTTTTTCCCCACTGTAACTGAGACTTGGAAGTGTGGCAATGTAAGACTAGAGTTAGTGTAACCCTGGCGTATTTAGCTCACGGAGAGGGGCCAGGTGCCATGGCCCTGTCAGCACATCTCCACACACGTCTTCATTAGGAGTGTCTGGGAGACACCGCTAACACTGGAGGGCCTCTCCTACACCTAGACAATACAGTACCACAAACTCAGTTTTAATTATTATAATGTTTTGTAAAACTTTAATATTGTGTTCTTATATATCACTATATTGTATATTCACTGAATCAATTAGGTTCTTAATACAGTTCACAAACACTATACAGCATGTTATTATCATGAACACAGCGGCAGGTAGCTTAGTGGTTAAGAGCGTTGTGCCAGTAACCGAAAGGTCGCTGGTTCTAATCCCCGAGCCGACTAGGTGAAAAATCTGTCGATGTGCCCTTGAGCAAGGCACTTAACCCAAATTGCTCCTGTAAGTCGCTCTGGATAAGAGCGTCTGCTGAATGACTAAAAATGTAAAATGTAAACACAGAGTGGAAGAGTTTCAGTGTTGTTTTGAAGTTATTTCCGGAACATTCTATTCACTTACATACCGCAAATAGAACTCATCAGAAGGAAAGATATAGCCACGACTCTCATCTACAATGCTTCACCCAACACAGGACAGTCAGGGATATATCCATTACAAGGTATTTTAGAATGGTTATGTAAATGTCACTTACAGAATGTAATAATCTCACCTGAGTTCTGGTGCCTCACAGGTATATGTGTGACTCTAGTCTAAACACAGCGCTGTCCTCATATAGACCGTATTTTCACTGTTACATAAATACAACGTTATCATTGAAGTTCCTGATAAAGATGGTGTTGTGTTCTGGGAATTGTGACTCGGCAGGCTGCCATGGGAAGTGTTCTAGGAATGCCACCTGGATTCTTTCCCACTTGGTCACTATAGTAACGGCAGAGCAGCTCAAGCCTTGGGTAGAGGCAAATAGTGCTGCTCAGTGCTCATGTTTTATGCCATCAACTTACCTGACCAATCACATGCTAAAGAGTCACATGATATCTGTATAGGCCCATCTATTTTATCAAACTGAATCATGCTTTCAAGTTAAAGCTGACATCAATAAACAAATGCAAACTGTTGGGGAACGAAGCAACTTTTATTTTGTAACTGCTTCACAACAACAGTAATAGATGGTAAATGGACTACATATGTGGTACTCTTGCAGTGCCAGACATCACACCAAATTCTAGAATCTATGGTAGTCAAGGGTTATGTCTCAGTTGCATAGGTCAGAGAAACAGCACCAGACATGAATGTTCTCACTCTCGTCTCCAAACATCCGGCATTCTGACATCTGCATGCATTTCTTGAATGTTGAGGGAGCTATGGAGAGAGGGTTGAACATACCAGATACAGAAGAGACATAACCTGCGCCTGTATTTATAAAGCATTTCAGAGTTCTGATCTAGGAATAGGTCCTCCGTGTCCATACAATCGTATTAATGATGATCTAAAAGGCTAAACTGATCCTAGATCAGCACTCCTACTCCAAAATGTGTGTGTTTTACTGATCATTTAACCTTGGTAGGTCGCACAGATGAAGCACAAGGTAAATAAGGCCAAGTGAAGGAGGGAGCTGCCTATGAAGTGGGTGTTTGAACGTGATTCTTGCGTAGGCCTTTTCCTCGCTTTGGCAGGTCTCCACTGTGTCGCAGCTATGGTCTCTACAGCCACTGTCAAGACATTTGTTGCACCTTAGGCCCTTCTTCTGGAAATACAGTAGACCAGCATTATCTCTGGTGTAGTTTAGTTGCTTGGTTAAACCTGACTGATCGCTCCACGTTAAACAATGGTGAAATGATTTGTTTAGTAGCTTGGTTAAACCTGACTGAACTCTCCACGTTACACAATGGTGAAAAAATGATGGTTAATAACCAGGCAAGTATTCAGTGAGACAGGTTATCAAACCTAGTAAGACCTAGAGTACTCTTTTTGGGCAGACTCACCATAGCTTAAGCCAGCAGCAGGAGAAGGAGAGAAACACACACAACTTTCATCTTTCCTTCTCTTAACGTGTCTTTTGAGCTGTCGTTTCAACTATAGAAAATATGTCATCAAAGTCACCTTAGTGTGACTAACATATACAGTTGGTCCTGTCCTGGTGCTTTACATGGAGGCTTGTGTATAATGATAGACATGGTGAAACCCAAGTAGCAAAGTAGACAAATATTTGTGACATTTTACCACTTTTTAAGCATTTTAGTGTTTGTGTTTGTTCTCGTAGCGATTTATTAGCTTTCTTATAGTGTGTTGTTATGAGCAATAAATAGTGAAGTAGTTGCAGGTAGGCTACAACTCAAACAGAATCTCTGACCTGGTTATATTTACTATAGTTATCCCAGGTCTGCTCTGTTCCTCATCGGGACAGAATGTGTAATGACAATCTTAAGATATCAAACCCTCAACAGAGCAGCTGAATGGAGTCTATATTTTATGTGGTGGTACTGGGTAATACATCAAAGAGGCTATTAACTAGTCCTGTATATGATTTATCATATATAAACTAAACTTGCTCACTGCAGTGCTCATGTTCCAGGCCATCACCTGGCTAATCACAGGTTAATTATGTCAAACATAAATAATATATAAATGCAAACTGTTTGGAACAAAGACGCAAAAGTACAACTTTATTTGTGTAACTTCTTGACAGTTCCAATCATGTGCATTGATTCATGATATTCAGCTTAGTACAATTAATGGACTGTATAGTATACAGTATGTTAGACAGAGGATGTGTCTCTCAGTTGCATTGGTTGGAGGTGCAGCAATAGGCATCAATGTCCTTGTTGCTTCCCAGCAACATGCATTCTGACATCTTCATGCATCTCTTGAAATATGAGATAGCTGTGGAGAGAGAGAAGCGAGACATAAGGTAAAACACCAGATACAGAAGACACAAACCAGCACATTTTCTTGATTGGCTCAAGCAAATATTTTCATTAGATGTCAATCAAAAGGATCCGATATTTGGTGTTTTACCGATTGGTTATTGATCCTAGGGTAACACACATAGTAAAGTGCCTAGTGAAGGGATATATACAGATGAAACAGGGTATACTGCCTAGTGAAGAGGATAATAGATACGCACGGAGTGGGCGCTTGAATATGACCGTGCCGCAGGTGTCATGGTCAATACGGCAGGTCTCCACTGTGTTACTGCAGCCAATGCCAATACAACGGTTGCATCTCAGGCCCTCTCCTGGAAAAACAGAAGAACAGCTTCATCTCTGTTGTATTGGAGTGAATCTGGTTATTCATTGAAAAATGAGAGAATGGAGAATAACCAATCTAGCTTTAATCTGGTACATGTGTTTATTTGGCATTGTCCCTGTCAAATAAATAAATTAATCTAGATCGTAATTGTACATTAAGTTTAATTGGTGGGAGTCCAATGACTAACTGTCACGCCCTGGCTCTGGGGACTCTTGAAAGTTGAGCCAGGGTGTGTAGTGTCTATCTTGTTTGTTCTATTTTCATGTTCTAGTTCATGTGTTTCTATGTTGGCCGGGGTGGTTCCCAATCAGAGGCAGCTGTTGCTTGTTGTCTCTGATTGGGAACCATACTTAGGCAGCCTGTTGGCACCTGCTATTTGTGGGATCTTGTTCTGTATGGGTTTGTGTTGGTGAACCTTTTGACTTCACGTATCGTTTTGTTGTTTTGTTGTTGGTGGAAAGTACTAATTAAAAGATGTACGCCTATCACGCTGCGCCTTGGTCCCCTAATTATAACGATCGTGACAGAAGATCCCACCAAAACAGGACCAAGCAGCGTGTTCAGGAGCAAACACCGGGAAAGGAACTGGAGAAGTTGGCGATGTCCCAGGTGGGCGAATGGTGGTCTTGGGAGGACATGTTCGCGGGCAAAGGGCCATGGGCAAAAGTTAAAGCCCTGGCGAGAGAGGAGGTACGGCGCCAACCGTGCCGTCGTCGGACAGGCGAGAGGCAACCCCAATAAAAAAAATTTGGGGGGCACACGGCATGGACGACGGGGATGCTGGAGGCAGCTACAGGACGTATCGGCAGATTAGGAGAGGAGGCCACCAGGTTACGGGGGCTATTGGTCATGAGGGAGCAGGAGTTAGTTGGTCAGAGGGAGGAGCTACTGGAGGCGATAAGGGAGAAGGAGAGTGTAGAGGCACGGTGAGAGGAACTGGTTAGGCAGCAGAGGGAGCTGAGGTTTATGAGGAAACCCAGTCCCGCTCCTCGCACCAAGCAAGTGGTGTGTGTCACCAGTCCGGTCCGGCCCGTTCCTGATCCCCGCACTAAGAAAGTGGTGCGTGTTCCCTGTACGGCCCGACCCGTTCCTGCTTCCCGCACAAGGCCAGTGGTGCGTGTTCCCAGTACGGCCCAACCCTTTACTGCTCCCCGCACTAAGTTAGTGGTGCGTGTTCCCAGTCCGGCCCGTTCCTGCTCCCCGCACTAAGTTAGTGGTGCTTGTTCCCAGTACGGCCCGACCCGTTCCTGCCCCCCGCACTAAGCCAATGGTGCGGGTCGCCAGCCCGGTCCGGCCTGTTCCTGCTCCCTGCACCAAGCCAATGGTGCGCGTCGTCAGCCCGGTCCGGCCCGTTCCTGCTCCCCGCACCAAGCCAATGGTGCGCATCGCCAGCCCGGTCCGGCCTGTTCCTGCTCCCCGCACCAAGCCAATGGTGCGCGTCGTCAGCCCGGTCCGGCCCGTTCCTGCTCCCCGCACCAAGCCAGTGGTGCGCGTCGTCAGTCCGGCACGGTCCGTGCTTGTTCCACCGTTGCCTGGTCCGGCACCGGTCAGCTGCTCCACACCGGAGCCAGAGCAATCCGCTCCACCGATGTCCAGTCCAGCTCCGGCCAGTGGGGCCAGACCAGACCAGACCAGGGGCGCTACGGGGGGGTAGAGAGAGAGTGGTGGTCACGCCCGGAGCCGGATCCGCCTCCAAGGCGGAATGCCCACCCGGCCCCTACCCTCTTGTGTTTGGTTGGCGCGGTCGCAGTCCGCGCCTTTGGGGGGGGGGGGGGGGGGGGGGGGGGTACTGTCACGCCCTGGCTCTGGGGACTCTTGAAAGTTGAGCCAGGGTGTGTAGTGTCTATGTTGTTTGTTCTATGTTCATGTTCTAGTTCATGTGTTTCTATGTTGGCCAGGGTGGTTCCCAATCAGAGGCAGCTGTTGCTTGTTGTCTCTGATTGGGAACCATACTTAGGCAGCCTGTTGGCACCTGTGATTTGTGGGATCTTGTTCTGTATAGGTTTGTGTTGGTGAACCTTTTGACTTCACGTATCGTTTTGTTGTTGGTGGAAAGTACTAATTAAAAGATGTACGCCTATCACGCTGCGCCTTGGTCTGCTAATTATAACGATCGTGACAGTAACACAACAATTAACAGTGAAAAGATAGAAGCCTGTACAGAATAAAAATATTCCAAAACATGCATCCTGTTTGCAATAAGGCACTAAATTAAAACAGCAAAAAATGTGGCAAAGAAATTAACTTTATGTCCTGAATACAAAGCATTATGTTTGGGGCAAATCCAACACAACACATCACTGAGTACCACTCTTTATATTTTCAAGCATGGTGGTGGATGCATCATGTTATAGGTATGCTTGTCTTCGGCAAGGACTGAGGAGTTTTTAAGCGTAAAAATAAACGGAATAGAGCTAAGCACAGGCAAAATCCTAGAGGAAACCCTGGTTCAGTTTGCTTTCCAACAGACCCTGGGAGACAAATTCACCTTTCAGCAGGACAATAAACTAAAATACAAGGCCAAATATACACTGGAGTTGCTTACCAAGACAACATTGAATGTTCCTGAGTGGCCTAGTTAAAGGCCTTAAATTGGCTTAAAAATGTATGGCAAGACTTGAAAATGGCTGTCTAGCAATGATCAACAACCAACCTGACAGAGCTTGAAGATTTTTTCAAAGAATAATGTGCAAATATTGTACAGTCCAGGTGTCCAAAGCTCTTAGAGACTTACCCAGAAAGACTCACAGCCGTAATCGCTGCCAAAGATGATTCTAACATGTATTGACTCAGCGGTTTGAATACTTATGTCAATGAGATATTTCTGTATTCATTCTCAATACATGTGTTATTTTCTAAAAATATGTTTTCACTTTGTCATTATGGTGTATTGTGTGTAGATGGGTGAGAAAAAAATAATATTTTGGCAGTAACACAACAAAATGTGGAATAAGTCAAGGGATATGAATACTTTCTGAAGGCACTGTAGTAAAATTATTGGTTTGATTACTTTGATAGACTACTATATCAACCAAATGACTTTAGATTGTTGGGCAGCTAAATCACAAACATGTCTAAACTACAGTTGTTGCGTGTGAAAACTAAAAGAACAAAGACAAAGTGATCTTCTGTCAGAAGATGGGGATAAAAAGCAGGATCATCATCAACACTTAGGAAAGTAAAGCAACCTGAATCATTCATGCTGTGGGTTTCAGATAAATAGATGCACGATTTACATTTGTAAAACTTTCACTGTGAATTAAGTTTGATTTTAGTTGATTGATTATATAATGATTAGAAAGTTTTAAGCTATAATTTGGAGAGAGAAATATGATGGTGCCTCTAGTGATGACAGCTCTTTGAAATTATTTTTGTGGTCGTAGAATAGGTTTGTATTCAGACCTACTGATAGCTCGCTGTAGTTCTATCTAGTAAATAAACTCTTTAGGCTAACAGGGATCACTGAAAATTACATATCCTGAAGAAAATATGGTGTGTTTGCTAGCTTGTTTTAAAGTATGTATGGTTTTGAAATACATTATAGTAGTGGTAATGCAGCTCTTTCAGGGTTATCTTTGGTCTCTTTGTTGCCTCTGATTAATGCCCTCCTTGCCTAGTCCGTGAGTTTTGGTGCCGGCCCTCTCTTGGCAGGTTTGTTGTGGTGCCATATTCTTTCAATTTTTTTAATAATGGATTTAATGGTGCTCCGTGGGATGTTCAAAGTTTCGGATATTTTTTTATAACCCAACCCTGATCTGTACTTCTCCACAACTTTGTCCCTGACCGGTTTGGAGAGCTCCTTGGTCTTCATGGTGCCGCTTGCTTGGTGGTGCCGCTTGCTTAGTAGTGTTGCAGACTATGGGGCCTTTCAGAACAGGTGTATATATACTGAGATCATGTGACACTTAGATTGCACACAGGTGGACTTTATTTTACTAATTATGAGACTTCTGAAGGTAATTGGTTGCACCAGATCTTATTTAGGGGCTTCATAGCAAAAGGGGTGAATACATATGCATGCACCACTTTTCCGTTATTTATTTTTTAGAAACAAGTTATTTTTTTAATTTCACTTCACCAATTTGGACTATTTTGTGTATGTCCAGTACATGAAATCCAAATAAAAATCCATTTAAGTTACAGGTTGTAATGCAACAAAATAGGAAAAATGCCAAGGGGGATGAATAGTTTTGCAAGGCACTGTAGACATGGAATCACTGGTCACTTTAATAATGGAACACTAGTCACTTTAATAATGTTTACATACTGTTTTACTCATTTCATATGTGTATACTGTATCCTACTGTATTTTGGTCAATGCCACTCCGACATTGCTCATCCTAATATTTATATATTTCTTAATTCCATTCTTTTACTTTTAGATTTGTGTGTATTGTTGTGAATTTTTAGATACTACTGCACTGTTGGAGCTAGGAAAAACAAACATTTCGCTACACCTGCAATAACATCTGCTAAATATGTGTATGTGACCAATAACATTTTACTTTATTTGATATGCTAAAATAAGACCTTGTTGGGCAGACTCACCAAAGCTACATGCCAGCAGCAGGAGAAGGAGAGAAAAACATACAGCTTTCATCTTTCCTCTTTCTTTCTTCAGGAGTCTTTAGATCTGTCATTCCAACAACAGAAAATAAGGATTCATCAAAGACTCCCTTTATATGGTGGGATTATGCTATGTTCCACAATTACAACATGTACTGAAGGTCTACAAACTGTAGGTCTACCTCTGATTTATTTTAAATGTGCAGAAACATTCTGAAACCAACCATTTCACAACCCCAGTAGCACAATATCATGAGACAACGTTATTAGGAGCTATAGATTGTGGAGTAGTTGATCACCTGGTTGTATTTCCTTTAGATGTGTGTTGAGCTGCTGTTTACTTCACTTTCCCCTCTTTCTTCTTCTCCTTTTATACAGTATAATATGCAAATAAAGGTGCTATCTATGAGTAACTTGTGTGAGATATTGGCTATATTTACTCAGCTTTAGCACAAGTAGTTCCCCTAGCCTACTCTATACATCACAGGAGGTTGGTGGCACCTTCATTAGGGAGAACGGGCTCGTGGTAATGACTGGAGCGGAATTTGTGGAATGGTATCAAATACATCAAACATGGTTTCCAGATATTTAATGCCATTCCATTAACTCCGTTCCGGACATTATTATGAGCCGTTCTAGAGCTATCCATACTCTAAAGGTAGGCCTAGCTACTCACAGCTGTGTGGGATTTATGATGAAAATGTAATTTGTTGTAAAAATTGAAATTCAAACTTGGAATATGGTTCTGCAGCAATAATAAAAATGTATCTCAAAATCAATGGAAGTTCCCGGTTTTCCCAACATTTTTGCTGAAACAGGGCGTGCCACAAAACAGTAACTGGGTTCCACATTGGGACATTCCACATTGGGACAGGGTGTAAAGAACCTTTTGAAATATCGAACCTCAACAAAACAACTGACTGGAGTGCATAGTTTATGTAAAAGGTGGTATTGATGATGAATCATTCATATCATATGTAAACAAGTTCTTATTATGACATTTAGACATATGTTGAAATCAGAAACAAAAGTTCCTGTCACGCCCTGACTCAGAGGACGCTTATATGTTGAGTCAGGGTGTGTATATTCCTTGTTGTGATTTTCTATGTTGTATTTTCTATGTTTAGATCTAGTAGGTATAGATCTATGTTGGCCGGTGTGGTTCCCAATCAGAGGCAGCTGTCGCTCGTTGTCTCTGATTGGGGACCATACTTTGGCAGCCTATTGGCACTAGTGGGTTGTGGGATCTTGTTCTGTGTGAGTTATGTTGTTTGTGTACCTTGGACTTCACGTTTTGTCGTTGTTTATTCGGTTCAAATAAACATGTATGCATATCACGCTGCGCCTTGGTCTGACCCGTCTATGAACGAGCGTGACAGTTCCAAATACAGCCCTGCCATTAGTTGAAGGCAGCCAATCCAATCGTTTCAGAAAAGTAGTCACTTTCTGAGATCTGTATTCAAATAGTTTTGAAAAGTTGTCAATTTATGAGAGCTGTATTCAAATAGTTTAAAAAAGTATTCATTTTGGGGATCTGTATTAAAATAGTTGTTTGTTCCCCCGGAAAAAATAGCTACTTTCCGCAACGCAGAGATAAAACTATAGTTATCCCAGGTCTGCTCTGTTCCACATCGGGACAGAGTGTGTAATAATAATTTTAAGATATCAAACCCTCAACAGAACAGCTGAATGGAGTCTATATTTTATGTGTTGGTACTGGGTAATACATCATAGAGGCTATAAACTAGTGCTGTATATGACTTGTATATGATTTATCATATACTGTATAAACTAAACTTTCTCAGTGCAGTGCTCATGTTCCAGGCCATCACCTGGCTAATCACAGGTTAATTATGTCAAACATAAATAATAAATAAATGCAAACTGTTTGGAACAAAGACGCAAACATACAACTTTATTTGTGTAACTTCTTGACAGTTTCAGTCATGTGGATTGATTAGTGATATTCAGCTTAGTACAATGAATGGACTGTATAGTATACAGTATGTTAGACAGAGGATGTGTCTCTCAGTTGCATTGGTTGGAGGTGCAGCAATAGGCATCAATGTCCTTGTTGCTTCCCAGCAACCTGCATTCTGACATCTTCATGCATCTCTTGAAATATGAGATAGCTGTGGAGAGAGAGAAACGAGACATAGGGTAAAACACCAGATACAGAAGACACAAACCAGCACATTTTCTTGATTGGCTCAAGCAAATGTTTTCCTTAGATGTCAATCAAAAGGATCCGATATTTTGGTGTTTTACCGATTGGTTATTGATCCTAGGGTTACACACATAGTAAAGTGCCTAGTGAAGGGATATATACAGATGAAACTCAGGGTATACTGCCTAGTGAAGAGGATAATAGATACGCACGGAGTGGGGGCTTGAATATGACCGTGCCGCAGGTGTCATGGTCAATACGGCAGGTCTCCACTGTGTTTCTGCAGCCTTTGCCAATACAACGGTTGCATTTCAGGCCCTCTCCTGGAGAAAACAGAAGAAGAGTATTATCTCTGTTGTTTTGGAGTGCATCTGGTTATCCATTGTGTAAACTGAGAGACTGGAGATTAAAGAATGGAGATAAGAATATAAGAAATGAAGCTTTAATCTGGTACATGTGTTTATTTGGCATTGTCCCTGTCAAATATTGAAATTAAATAATATAAAGAAGACCTTGATGGGCAGACTCACCAAAGCTACATGCCAGCAGGAGAAGGAGAGAAAAACATACGGCTTTCATCTTTCCTCTGTCTTTCTTCGGGAGTGTTTTGATCTATCGTTCCAACAATAGAAAAAGGATTCACCAAAGACTCCCTCTATGTGGTGGGATTATGCCATGTTCAACAATTGCAACATGTAGGTCCATGTTAGTCTGATTCATTTTAAATGTGCAGGAACATTCTGAAACCAACCATTTCACAACCCCAGTAGCACAATATCATGAGGCAAAGTTATTAGGAGCTATAGATTGTGGAGTAGTTGCTTACCTGCTTGTATTTCCTGTAGGTGTGTTGAGCTCCCTTTACTTCCCTCTACTTTTATACAGCATAATATGCTAATAAACCTGCTATCTATGAGTCCTTTGTGTGAGATATTTGGAAATGTATTTACTCAGGTTTAGCACAAGTAGTTCCCTATGTCTCTGTAAATGAACAGATTTCACAAGACACAAAGGTTTGCAGTGTCGTGTTCCACGCTGGGACATTCCACATTGGGACAGGGTGTTAAGAGAATTTTGAAATATCAAACTTCAACAGAACAACTGACTGGTGTACATAGTTTATGTAAGAGGTGGTATTGATGATTAATCATTCATATCATATGTAAACAAGTTCTTATTATGACATTTAGACATATGTTGAAATCAGAAACAAAAGTTCCTGTCACGCCCTGACTCAGAGGACGCTTATATGTTGAGTCAGGGTGTGTATATTCCTTGTTGTGATTTTCTATGTTGTATTTTCTATGTTTAGATCTAGTAGGTATAGATCTATGTTGGCCGGTGTGGTTCCCATCCGAGGCAGCTGTCGCTCGTTGTCTCTGATTGGGGGACCATACTTTGGCAGCCTATTGGCACTAGTGGGTTGTGGGATCTGTTCTGTGTGAGTTATGTTGTTTGTGTACCTTGGACTTCTTTAGCAGGAGAGGAGAAACGGTGCCAACCGTGCCGACGACGGAGACCCGAGAGGCAACCCCAAGAAAATGTTGGGGGGGGTACACGGGGTGGATGACGAGGCTACAGGAGGCTAAAATGGAGAAGGAAAGTGTAGAGGCACGGCGAGAGGAGCTGGTTAGGCAGCAGAAGGAGCGGGGGTTAATAAAGGAACCCAGTCCCGCTCCTCGCACCAAGCAAGTGGTGCGTGTCGCCAGTCCGGTCCGGCCCGTTCCTGCTCCTATGGTAATGTTTTATGTATCATTAAGGAAAATGTTGGGAAATGTCAAAGATAAAATATAGTAAACATGATTGACATTTTATAAGTCCAGATGCATGTCTAAATAAGGAATATAGTCAATACAATGTGTAAACATGCTTTGATGAATGTATGTATTTTATTTTTAAAAAGTGTCTGAGCCATGCCACCAATATAATGAGATAAGGGAAAGAGGCAAAAGCGCCCATGGCCTTTTGGAGTAAACAACATGTGTTATTGGACTTTCAAAGATAATAGTGGCGTGGCAGTTAAAGATGTTAATCAGTGATCTTAACGGGAGTAGCTTTGTAAGCTATGTAAACATGACTGTGCATTTGTGTGTGTATATAAGAGATCTCTAAGCCAAAGAGAGACAGCCGTTCCATGGAGTGGCTCGGCTTTGTTACGCAATAATAAAGTCTAATTTCTGGATTCACAAGCTCCAGTCTCTTGAGAGATATTTTTGAGTTGACTATTTTTTTGTCAAATATTTCTACGACACTCCCCGCACTAAGCTAGTGGTGCGCTTCGCCAGCCCGGTCCGGCCTGTTCCTGCCCCTCGCACCAAGATAGTGGTGCGCTTCGCCAGCCCGGCCCGGCCTGTTCCTTCCCTCGCACCAAGCCAGTGGTGCGCGTCGCCAGCCCGGCCCGGCCTGTTCCTGCCCCTCGCACCAAGCCAGTGGTGCGCGTCGCCAGCCCGGCCCGGCCTGTTCCTGCCCCTCGCACCAAGCCAGTGGTGCGCGTCGCCAGCCCGGCCCGGCCTGTTCCTGCCCCTCGCACGAAGCCAGTGGTGCGCGTCGCCAGCCCGGCCCGGCCTGTTCCTGCCCCTCGCACCAAGCCAGTGGTGCGCGTCGCCAGCCCGGCCCGGCCTGTTCCTGCCCCTCGCACCAAGCCAGTGGTGCGCGTCGCCAGCCCGGCCCGGCCTGTTCCTGCCCCTCGCACCAAGCCAGTGGTGCGCGTCGCCAACCCGGCCCGGCCTGTTCCTGTTCCTCGCACCAAGCCAGTCCGGAGCCTGAGCAGTCCGCTCCACCGGTGCCCGGTCCAGCTCCGGTCAGCGGCTCCAGTCCAGACCCAGACGTCAGCCCCTCTCCAGGTTCGGGGTCTCCCACACCAGGGTCCAGACAGGGCTTGGAGTATAGTGGGAGGAAGGAGAGGGGAAGCAACGCGCCGAGGTCTAGACCAGACCAGGGGCGCAACAGGGAGGCGAAGAGTGAGAGGTCGTCACGCGTGTTCGTTGTTTATTCGGTTCAAATAAACATGTATGCATATCACGCTGCGCCTTGGTCTGACCCGTCTATGAACGAGCGTGACAGTTTCCAAATACAGCCCTGCCATTAGTTTGAAGGCAGGCCAATCCAATCGTTTCAGAAAAGTAGTCACTTTCTGAGATCTGTATTCAAATAGTTTTGAAAAGTTGTCAATTTATGAGAGCTGTATTCAAATAGTTTAAAAAAGTATTCATTTTGGGGATCTGTATTAAAATAGTTGTTTGTTCCCCCGGAAAAAATAGCTACTTTCCGCAACGCAGAGATAAAACTATAGTTATCCCAGGTCTGCTCTGTTCCACATCGGGACAGAGTGTGTAATAATAATTTTAAGATATCAAACCCTCAACAGAACAGCTGAATGGAGTCTATATTTTATGTGTTGGTACTGGGTAATACATCATAGAGGCTATAAACTAGTGCTGTATATGACTTGTATATGATTTATCATATACTGTATAAACTAAACTTTCTCAGTGCAGTGCTCATGTTCCAGGCCATCACCTGGCTAATCACAGGTTAATTATGTCAAACATAAATAATAAATAAATGCAAACTGTTTGGAACAAAGACGCAAAAGTACAACTTTATTTGTGTAACTTCTTGACAGTTCCAATCATCTGCATTGATTCATGATATTCAGCTTAGTACAATGAATGGACTGTATGGTATACAGTATGTTAGACAGAGGATGTGTCTCTCAGTTGCATTGGTTGGAGGTGCAGCAATAGGCATCAATGTCCTTGTTGCTTCCCAGCAACCTGCATTCTGACATCTTCATGCATCTCTTGAAATATGAGATAGCTGTGGAGAGAGAGAAGCGAGACATAGGGTAAAACACCAGATACAGAAGACACAAACCAGCACATTTTCTTGATTGGCTCAAGCAAATGTTTTCCTTAGATGTCAATCAAAAGGATCCGATATTTGGTGTTTTACCGATTGGTTATTGATCCTAGGGTTACACACATAGTAAAGTGCCTAGTGAAGGGATATATACAGATGAAACTCAGGGTATACTGCCTAGTGAAGAGGATAATAGATACGCACGGAGTGGGGGCTTGAATATGACCGTGCCGCAGGTGTCATGGTCAATACGGCAGGTCTCCACTGTGTTTCTGCAGCCTTTGCCTACACAACGGTTGCATTTCAGGCCCTCTCCTGGAGAAAACAGAAGAACAGTATTATCTCTGTTGTTTTGGAGTGCATCTGGTTATCCATTGTGTAAACTGAGAGACTGGAGGTTAAAGAATGGAGAGAAGAATATAAGAAATCAAGCTTTAATCTGGTACATGTGTTTATTTGGCATTGTCCCTGTCAAATATAGAAATTAAATAATATAAAGAAGACCTTGATGGGCAGACTCACCAAAGCTACATGCCAGCAGCAGGAGAAGGAGAGAAAAACATACGGCTTTCATCTTTCCTCTGTCTTTCTTCGGGAGTCTTTTGATCTGTCGTTCCAACAATAGAAAAAGGATTCACCAAAGACTCCCTCTATGTGGTGGGATTATGCCATGTTCAACAATTGCAACATGTAGGTCCATGTATGTCTGATTCATTTTAAATGTGCAGGAACATTCTGAAACCAACCATTTCACAACCCCAGTAGCACAATATCATGAGGCAAATTTATTAGGAGCTATAGATTGTGGAGTAGTTGCTTACCTGATTGTATTTCCTGTAGGTGTGTTGAGCTCCCTTTACTTCCCTCTACTTTTATACAGCATAATATGCTAATACACCTGCTATCTATGAGTCCTTTGTGTGAGATATTGGGCAATGTATTTACTCAGGTTTAGCACAAGTAGTTCCCTATATCTCTGTAAATGAACAGATTTCACAAGACACAAAGGTTTGCAGTGTCGTGTTCCACGCTGGGAAATTCCACATTGGGAAAGGGTGTTAAGAGAATTTTGAAATATCAAACATCAACAGAACAACTGACTGGTGTACATAGTTTATGTAAGAGGTGGTATTGGATGATGAATCATTTGTAAACAAGTTCTTATTATGACATTTAGACATACAATATGTTGAAATCAGGAACAAAATATTAAAATAACATTTTGCAATACTGAATGTATTTTATTGCCATTTGAACTGGGCTCCAGCCACATGCATACCAATGATACAGAAGGTGAGTAGAGGCCTGGCTCTTATACGTTGTAGTTGTCCCAGTTGCAGCAGGTGACTCTCAGACCCTCGGTCACACCAAGCTTCAGGCACTCCATCATCTTGAAGCAGGACTTGTGGAAGGTGTTCTCTGGAGAAATAGAGAGAGAAAGATAGAGAGGGGGGGGGAGAGATGATGATGACGAAACCCACTGGGCCCAGACGTCAGTGCAACAGAGAGAGAGAGAGAGAGAGAGAGAGAAGAAGAAAAAATAGAAACATTAAGGAAAGCACGACTAAACTTTGAAAGTCACTGGCCATAGTCATAGTGTGTAGTCTAGTACAGACTACTGAACTACTATCAAGGTTTTTTATCCGAACTTTTGAAAATAAAAATGTTATGACGGCCACCAGGAGCAGGAGAGCAAAAGCAACGACTTTCATGTTTGGATGTGGTTCTAAGAGATAGAGAGACATATCAATAGTGTAACCTATATAGACATTAAAAATAACATATTGTTCAAAACCTTAAAGTCGGTGTGTCCTAGGCTCAGACAGACATTACAAACAGGTTCAAAAAGTGTGAAGTCAGTGCCCTTTAGCCCAGCTTACCTTCTGGACCTCTGCTGGTTTCAGTGTAACTCTCCTTCCTCCGGACCCTCCTTTTATACAGCAATATGAGAATGATAAAGACAGTGCTGCGGGAAAATAACCAGATAAAAAAACATGTTATTTTTAAAGCAAGGACACAGGTACAGTGTCAGACGTGAATACGTACAGTACTGGAATGGGTAGCCTATCACTCAAATGAAAGGATCATTGGGTTAAGTTTATATATGAAAAATCATATACAAGGCTAGTTAATAGGCTATATGCTTTGCTGCCTCAGGACCTGGACGACTTGCCTTAATAGAAGGAACCATGAATTCTGCCCTGTATCAGAGAATTCTACAGGAGAATGTCAGGACATCCGTCTGTGAGCTGAAGCTGAAGCGCAGCTGGGTCATGCAGCAAGACAATGATCCAAAACATACAATCAAGTTACAAGAAAATGGCTAAAAAGCAACAAATTTGAAGTTTTGGAATGACCTAGTCAAAGTCCAGACCTAATCCCAATTGAGATGTTGTGGCAGGACTTGAAACGAGCAATTCTTGCTTGAAAACCCACAAATGTCACTGAGTTACAGCAGTTCTGCATGGAAAAGTGGGCCAAAATTCTTTCACAGTGACGTGAGAGACTGATCAACGACTACAGGAAGCATTTGGTTGGAGTCATTGCAGCTAAAAGTGGCAAAACCAGTTTATGAGTGTAAGGGGGTAATTACTTTTTCACACAGGGGCATTGAGTGTTGTATAATTTTGTTTATTAAATAAAAGAAATAAGTATATAATTGTTGTGTTATTTGTTCATTCAGGTTCCCTTTATCTAATATTAGGTTTTGGTTGAAGATCTGATAACATTCAGTATCAAAGATATGCAAAAATAGAGAAGATTAGAAAGGGGGCAAATAATTTATTACAGCGCTGTACTGACAATGTGCCAAATGAAATGGTAGTATACTGTATGTTTAAAACAGGTTAAAACAATAATGTTCTCACTTTATTCGCTTCCAGAAAACTAGAATATAGAATAGAATAAAATAAAAATATATAGAAAATATAGAATAAAATGGATATGTAAGCCTAGCAAGCAAATATGAAAAATCTGATATATTCTCAAGAACTCATTGACATTATGTTGGCCTATTGAAATAAGCATGTTCATTCTCTATGATGCTGTTGGTCTTTGTACTGTAGGTTATGCTCTGTGTGATCCATTGTACTACTCCCTGAGCTAGACCATTTTCCATAAATTACACTTTTAGAGGTTGATCACAAAGGATCACATTGTTCATCATCAACCCTCTTCCCTGTGAAGTACACTTAGTCACAACACTAATTTGACTATGAAGTACACTTAGTCACAACACTAATTTGACTATGAAGTACACTTAGTCACAAGCCTAATTTGGATACTCATGAATTGAACATCACTGGCTAAAATGCAGCATGCTTAGAAAAATGGCTATATTAATCTAATTTGATATATTCAGAAGATGTTCAGTCTCTAAATCTAAGAAACAACAAATTGATTCATTACATAAACTAGATTTGGTTATTTCAGTGCTTAGCTTTCTGTGGGATACAGTGCCTTCAGAAATTATTCATACCCCTTGACTTATTCCACATTTTGTTGTTACAGCCGGAATTGAAAATGGATTAAATAGATTTTTTTTTCTCACCCATCTACACACAATACCCCATAATGACAAAGTGCAAACACGTTTTTGGACATTTTTGCACATTTATTGAAAATGAAATACAGAAATGTCTCATTTACATAAGTATTCACAGCCCTGATTCAATACATTTTAGAATAACTGTTGGCAGCGATTACAGCTGTGAGGCTTTCTAGGTAAGTCTCTAAGAGCTTTGCACACCTGGATTGTACAATGTTTGCACATTATTCTTAAAAAATTATTCAAGCTCTGTCAGGTTAGTTGTTGATCATCGCTAGACAGCCATTTTCAAGTCTTGACATAGATTTTCAAATTGATTTAAGTCAAAACTGTAACTAGGCCACTCAGGAGCATTCAATGTTGTCTTGGTAAGCAACTGCAGTGTATATTTGGCCTTGTGTTTAAGGTTATTGTTCTGCTGAAAGGTGAATTTGTCCCACCATGGTCTGGTGGGACAAATTCAGACCATGGTGGGACAAATTCACCAGACCATGGTGGGACAAATTCAACTCCCTTGCCGATGACAAGCATACACATAACATGATGCATCCACCATCATGCTTGAAAATATGAAGAGTGGCACTCAATTATGTGTTGTGTTGGATTTGCCCCAAACATATTCAGGACATAAAGTTAATTTCTTAGCCAAATGTTTTGTTGTTTTACTTTAGTGCCTTATTCTTTTCACTCTGTCATTAGTTAGTATTGAGTTAGGAAGGACACCTGTGTCTTTGTAGTGACCAGGGCCGGCTCTAGCCTTTTCGGGGCCCTATGCGAGATTTGGTTGGGGGGCCACATCACCAAGAGGGCAAAATGTTATAGCAGCCCCCCTCTTGACGGCAGAGAGAAAAATTTACATTTTAAAACACGTTTTCTGCAGTTCTACACATTTTGCCATGGGGTGGAGAGAAAATTTGGCAATTTTATAACACATTTCATGCAATTCTACTCATGTTGCCAGTTGGAAAAGCTAATTTCCTTAAATTCTACACATTTTGCCATGGGGTGGATAATTTTAAAGGGCAATTCTGCCACTTTTCAACCTCGTATTCATCATCTTCAGCGCCAAACCAGTGTCTACATATGTGAAAACAGCGCGCTTCTATGATCTGTGGTTAAAAAGATAAGGTCTTTAAAAAATGCTTCTCTCTGACATCACATGGTAGGATTAGAAGTAAAAAATTGTGATTTTCAAAAACTGGAACGAGTTTCTAGCCCAAGGTAGGGTATTTTCTATCACCTTGATTCTCATATTGTTTGAAAATCACTGTTTTTAACTTTTGATGATGTCATCGGGTAGACCATTTAAACTTTATATTTAATTCTACAAAACTTAGAAATTAGCCATTTTCACATTTGTTGACACTGGTATTGTGCTGGAGATAATGCAAATGAGGTTGAAAAGTGGTGGAGTTGCAAATTACCTGCAATTCTACTCATTTTGCCATGGGGCAGAGATAAAAAAGAAATCTCAAATGTTATAACAAATTTCATGTCATTGTACTCATTTTGCCATGAGGCACCTATAAATATTTGTAGTTTTAAATATATTTTTCTGCAATTCTACTCATTTTGCCATGTGGCACACATAACTTTTTGCAGTTTTGAAGCTCATTTCCTGCATTTCTACACATTTTGCCATGACTTACAGTATAATAATTAATTAATATGCCATTTAGCAGACGCTTTTATCCAAAGCGACTTACAGTCATGCGTGCATACATTTTTGTGTATGTGTGGTCCCGGGGATCAGTATGCCTTGATACTGATATCTGAGTGAGAGTGACTAACAAATTCAGTAGGGGCCCCCTGGCAATCAGGGCCCCTGGGCACATGCCCCAAGTTTAGATAACTGGCCAGACAAACTTATCAATCCAAAAATTGTTAGCTGACATGGCTAATTGAGTGACTGTCAGTGACTGACAAAACAAGAGAAAAACTGCTGATGCACAACCAAATTGTATATTCTACTACTAAGTTCAGACCCCAACTGGGTTCCAAAAAAAAACACACATAAGCAACGCTTATGTCGTTTATAGCTGGAGCCGGCCCTGGTAGTGACTGTGTGTATTGATACACCATCCAAAGTGTAATTAATAACTTCACCATGCTCAAAGGGATATTCAATGTCTGATTTACTTTTCTTTTTTTAACCCATCTACCAATAGGTGCCCTTCTTTGCGAGGCATTGGAAAACCTCCCTGGTCTTTGTGGTTGAATCTGTGTTTGAAACTCATTGCTCGACTGAGGGACCTTACAGATAATACTATGTGTGGGGTACAGAGATGTTTTTATTTATTTATTTATTTAACCAGGCAAGTCAGTTAAGAGCAAATTCTTATTTACGATGACGGCCTACCCCGGCCAAACCCAGACGACGCTGGGCCAAATGTGCGCCGCCCTATGGGACTCCCAATCACGGCCAGATTGTGATACAACCTGGAATCGAACCAGGGTCTGTAGTGACGCCTCTAGCACTGAGATGTAAAGAATAATTTGTTCTTAACTGACTTGCCTAGTTAAATAAAAATGAAATAATGTACAACCAATTCTTGCAATTACATTTATATCCGCTAGAGGGCACCATCAACAAACTAATATTCACTGAGATTGACAGAGACAGAGTCTTCTGTGCCATTATAATTATGCTTTCATCCTAACAAACCAGTTTACCTAAGATGTGTGTACACATATAATAGAACACAAAATGTATTAACACACATTTATTACTTTGCTTACAAATCTTTTGTTCCTTCATTTTCTTAGTTAAGCTCTGTGCTTTGTGCTTCTCTGGAGTAGCCTTGTACTAATGATAACATAGCAATACATTACTTATATAAAATAAATAGTGAAATAGTAGCAAAGCAAACTAATATTCACATGTGAAAATTTGATTTCATCGTCTCGGCCACAACATATCCGGCGCACGCACGCACGCACACACACACAAACACATACACACACACCACAATAGTGTGTTTAAAGCGTTTTGAGAAGTACACAACTACATCCAGTGAGCACTGATACATCAAAATGGTCATGGTTCACAAGTGTACGTTCAAATAAGACATTTGGTGTGTTCAATAAGCTACAATACAGTTAAATAACAGTCTTGTTCAGAGATTATAAAGACATTCGCCCTGTATAAATCATGGGGCTACACATTGGCTGCCTCCCAGGCTTTGACACAATGTCTGAAGTCCCTTTGCCAGCTGCTATCCATTTGGAATCTGTCTTTCTCTCTCTGTATCTCTTTCCTCACTTACCCTTCTTCTCTCTGCTGTCTGACAAGCCCACTGATTCCAACACAAACAGACACATCCTCTCCCCTCCTCTCACTCCCCTCTCTACTATAGTCCCCCTCGCTGGGGAAAGCTCTCTGTTTCCTCCCTCCTTACAGTGCTTTACTCAATCGCCTCCATCTTAATTTAAAACATGTATCACAGATGAGGGACAATCACAAGAAAATACTTTTTAAAAACATGGACCAAGTTTTAAAGGCCTACCTCTTAGTAAAACAACGTTTGTGGGACCCTGCTACAGTATGTCCTAATTATTTACCGATGATCTCTTTGTGAGTCCATATATCCAGTATCTCTCTCAAAGAGCTTCAGCGGTAGACAATGGCAGTATTGATGCCACTTTATCTCCATGTAGTCAAGTTAGTTAGTGCACATCCCCAGAAGAGGTGTAATACTTCCGCTGGTCCTTTTAGGGTGAGTCACTCACATCCCATGTCTGGGCAACTACTGTGCTGTTGGACCTGACCCTTCTACCTAACTCATGTGCCAGGGTAGAGGGTACAAACTGCATCCTGGCACTTTGTGTAGAGAGTAAACACTCCTAAATATAATAATCTTCCCCCCTTGTCCTGTAGGGAGCCGCTGTACAACGAAAGCCATCATAGGACGACACAGTGCAGTCTGTGGGAGACAGTGGACCTGTCGGCCCGCCACTTGGTTATCCTCTTCTTCTTCTGGCTCCTCTCTGGAATCTGTTGCCTGGGTGACCGCGAGAGAGAGAGAGAGAGAGAGAGAGAGAGAGAGAGAGAGAGAGAGAGAGAGAGAGAGAGAGAGAGAGAGAGAGAGAGAGAGAGAGAGAGAGAGAGAGAGAGAGAGAGAGAGAGAGAGAGAGAGAGAGAGAGAGAGCTTAAAATGGCTTTCATAGCTTTTGTATCAAACAGACCTTCTCTAAATAATCAGTTGTGGTAACATACCTGATTACTCTAACTAACTCATGGAATGCCTTGTCAACATTCATGGCTGGGTCCTTAGCACTTGTTTCAATGTAAGCTATCTGTAAATTTAAAAAATCAGAATTGAGTAAGGAGATCAAACAATATCTGTAAATTATATATATGTAAAGTTCACACATTCACTCACACTGTGTTTACTAGCCATCTCCCTCCCCTGATCACTGGGTATTTTACGTAAGTGCAGCAGGTCCACTTTGTTGGCCACAAGAACCATAGGAAAGGATTCCCTAAAAAATAAGGAAAATAATAATGAACGAATGAACAAATGAACGAATGGATGAACGAATGGATGGATGGACGGACTAATAAATGCATGAATGCATGAATAACTGAATGAATGACTGTTGTCCTGGCCAAGGTCACCAGTGGGAGGTAAAGTAGTAAATCCCACCGGTCCTTCACCCTGAGGATGAGCTGATGGAAGCGGTCCACATGTTCAAAGCTGGCCTTGTCTGTGACAGAGAACACGATGAGGAACCCATCCCCAGTCCTCATGTACTGTTCCCTCATAGCACTGAACTCCTCTTGGCCTGCTGTATCCAGAACTGCAGAGACAGACACATGCACGATCAGACGGGTCACACACATAACATCTACACTGAGAACAGTATTATGAATGATCCTGGTTATTCATAAATATGTGTAACTGTGTGCTGATCCCTCACATCTAACAATGGTAGCACAATAATGTGTTCACTTTTTCTCCTTATAACAGAACATTCAATCTTGTTCTTCAGTACATTACAAAGGTTCTTTCTGGGAAAACGATATAGTACTTTGGCCAGGTTAACAGGTTGGGCTTTTTATTTGTAATGTACACTACCAGTCAAAAGTTTGGACACACCTACTCATTCAAGGGTTTTTCTTTATTTTTACTATTTCTTACATTGTAGAATAATAGTGAAGACATCAAAACTATGAAATAACACATATGGAATCATGTAGTAACCAAATCAGTGTTAAACAAATCAAAATATATTTTATATTTGAGATTCTTCAAATAGCCACACTTTGCCTTGATGACAGCTTTGCACAATCTTGGCATTCTCTCAACCAGCTGCATGAGGTAGTCACCTGGAATTCATTTCAATTAACAGGTGTGCCTTCTTAAAAGTTAATTTGTGGAATTTCTTTCCTTCTTAATGCATTTGAGCCAATCAGTTGTGTTTTGACAAGGTGGGGGGGTATACAGAAGATAGCCCAATTTGGTAAAAGACCAAGTCCATATTATGTCAAGAACAGCTCAAATAACAAACGACAGTCCATCATTACTTTAAGACATGAAGGTCAGTCAATATGGAACATTTCCATATAATACGGAAAATTTCAAGTGCAGTCGCAAAAACCATCAAGCACTATGATGAAACTGGCTCTCATGAGGACCACCACAGGAATGGAAGACCCAGAGTTACCTCTGCTGCAGAGGATAGGTTCATTAGAGTTACCAGCCTTAGAAATTACAGCCCAAATGAAAGCTTCACAGAGTTCAAGTCCCAGACACATCTCAACATCAACTATTCAGAGGGGACTGTGTGAATCAGGCCTTCATGGTCGAATTGCTGCAAAGAAACCACTACTAAAGAACACTAATAAGAAGAAGAGACCTGCTTGGGCCAAGAAACATGAGCAATGGACATTAGACCGGTGGAAATGTGTCCTTTGGTCTGGAGTCCAAATTTGAGATTTTTGGTTCCAACTGCCGGTCGTCGTCACCGGCTTTCTAGCTGCCACCGGTCTACGTTTCTGTTTTCCATTTGTTTTGTCTGTATTGTACACACCTGGTTCCCATCACGTTAATTTGTTTTCCTATTTAACCCTCTGGTTCCCTCATGGTGTTGTGCGTGATTGTTCTTTGTTTGGTGTTTATACTGCTGTGGAAATTAGATTTGTTGTTTTTCGAGTAAAGTTCGTCTATTACTCAGTTCTGTGTCCTGCGCCTGACTCCGTCCTACCGCTGCACACTGACACCTGACAGAATCACGCACCCCATATGGAGTCAGCAGGTACACCCAGTCCTCCGTTACCGGTGGAGTAGCGCGTCCAGCAGCACGCGACGATGCTCCACAATCTGGGCACAGCCATGGATCGCGTGCTGCACACCATGGAGCGATGGGAGAGAGAGGGTTTTTCCACAACCCCATCAACTTCACCTCAACCCACACCGCTGTCCACCCCTCCGTCACCTGGACCCAGTGGGATTCGGCTCTCGCTCCCGCAGGCCTATGATGGGACGGCTGCCGGGTGCCAGGGGTTCCTGCTCCAGGTGGAGCTCTACCTGGCGACCGTCCACCTGGCCCTCTCGGGAGACGAGAGAGTGTCCGCCCTCATCTCCTGTTTGTCGGGGAAAGCGCTGGAGTGGGCCAACGCCGAATGGGGAGGGATAAACGCTACGTTGGTTCGCTATGAGGATTTCACCCGCCTGAGGGGAGAGCGGCGGGGGAACGCTTGTTCCATCTCAGACAGGGGAAGAGGAGCGCAAAGGACTTCACTCTGGACTTCAGGACCCTGGCTGCCAGCACGGGATGGAATGAGAGGGCCCTGATCGACCATTACCGGTGTAGTCTACGGGAGGACGTTCGTCGGGAGCTGGCCTGCAGGGACACCACCCTTACACTCGACCAGCTGGTGGATTTATCCGTCCGGCTGGATAACCTGTTGGCCACCCGCGGACGTCCGGATCAGGGTCCGTCCATTCCATCCCCCAGCACCTCCGACCCTACCCCTATGGAGCTCGGAGGTGCTGCTCTAAGGGTGACCGGAGGGGGGGCTGTTTCCTGCACCAAGTGTGGCCGCAGAGGGCACACTGCTGGTCGGTGCTGGGGAGGTTCCCCAGGGAGTCGAGGCAGCAGGCAGGGCACTGGTGGATCATCCCAGGTGAGTTGGCACCCGACTCACCCAGAGCTCCCTGTTGCGCACATGTATGTCTGTATAAAGTTTCCTGAGTTTTCCCTGCATTCCCAGCATAAGGAGCGAGTAGATTCAGGCGCAGCTGGGAACTTTATTGACCGTGCATTTGCACTTAGATTAGGGATCCCTATTGTTCCTGTTGATGTGCCCTTTCCTGTACATGCCTTACATAGTCGTCCTTTAGGATCGGGCCTGATTAGGGAGGTCACAGCTCCACTATATATGATAACGCAGGAGGGTCATGAGGAGAGTATTAGTCTCTTCCTGATTGATTCTGCTGCGTTTCCTGTGGTGTTGGGGCTTCCCTGGTTGGCCCTTCATGACCCCACTATTTTGTGGCAACAGAGGGCTCTGAAGGGATGGTCACGTCAGTGCTCAGGGAGGTGTGTAGGTGTTTCCGTAGGTGCAACTTCGGTGGAAAGTCCAAATCAAGTCTCCCCCATGCACATTCCCTCCCGAATATGCCGATTTGGCTCTCGCCTTCTGTAAAAAGAAGGCGACTCAATTACCACCCCATCGACGGGGGGATTGTGCGATAAATCTCCAGCTAGACGCAGCACCTCCCAGGAGTCACGTGTATCCTCTGTCACAGGAGGAACAGCGGCTATGGAAACATATGTCTCCGAATCTCTGGGACAGGGATACATTCGGCCTTCCACTTTACATGCCTCCTCAAGTTTCTTTTTTGTGAAGAAGAAGGATGGAAGTTTACGCCCGTGCATTGACTATCGGGGTATAAATCAGATCACGGTGAAGTACAGTTACCCGTTGCCTCTCATAGCCAGTGTAACCGAGTCATTGCACAGGGCGCGCTTCTTCACAAAACTGGATCTCAGGAGCGCGTACAACCTGGTGCGTATCCGGGAGGGGGATGAGTGGAAGACGGCATTTAGTACCACCTCTGGGCACTATGAGTACCTCGTCATGCCGTACGGGTTGATGAATGCTCCATCAGTCTTCCAATCCTTTGTAGACGAGATCTTCAGGGACCTGCACGGGCAGGGTGTAGTGGTGTATATAGATGACATTCTCATATACTCCGCTACACGCGCGAAGCATGTGTCCCTGGTGCGCAAGGTTCTTGGTCGACTGTTGAAGCATGACCTGTAAGTCAAGGCTGAGAATTGTCTGTTCTTCCAACAGTCCGTCTCCTTCCTAGGGTACCGCCTGTCCGCGTCATGGGTGGAGATGGAGAATGACCGCATTTCAGCCGTGCGTAATTGGTCGACTCCAACCACGGTAAAGGAAGTGCAGCGACTCTTAGGGTTTGCCAACTACTACCGGAGGTTTATCCGGGGCATTGGTCAGGTAGCGGCTCCCATTACCTCCTTGCTGAAAGGGGGGGCCGGTGCGACTGCAGTGGTCAGCTGGGGCGGACAGGACTTTTGGTCACCTGAAGGCTCTGTTTACCTCAGCTCCCGTGCTGGCTCATCCGGATCCTTCCTTAGCATTCATAATAGAGGTGGACGCGTCCGAGGCTGAGATAGGAGCTGTGCTGTCTCAGCGCTCGGGTACGCCACCAAAGCTCCGCCCCTGTGCTTTCTTTTCGAAGAAGCTCAGCCCGGCGGAGCGAAACTATGATGTGGGGGACCGGGAGCTGTTAGCTGTTGTCAAGGCTCTGAAGGCGTGGAGACATTGGCTTGAGGGGGCTAAACACCCTTTCCTCATTTGGACTGACCACCGCAATCTGGAGTACATCCGGGCGGCGAGGAGACTGAACCCTCGCCAGGCAAGGTGGGCCATGTTTTTCACCCATTTAGTTTTCACCCTATCCTACAGACCAGGTTCCCAGAATGCTAAGGCAGACGCTCTGTCCCGGATGTATGACTCAGAGGAGCGGTCCACGGATCCCACTCCCATACTTCCAGCTTCTTGCCTGGTGGCACCGGTGGTATGGGAGGTTGACGCGGACATCAAGTGGGCGTTACATACGGAGCCCACTCCCACCCAGTGTCTGGTTGGGCATCTATACATTCCGTTTGATGTCCGCGATCGATTGATCTGTTGGGCCCACACGTCACCCTCCTCTGGTCATCCTGGCATCAGTCGGACAGTGTGCTGTCTTAGTGGGAAGTACTGGTGGCCCACTTTAGCTAAGGACGTGAGGGTTTATGTTTCCTCCTGCTCGGTGTGCGCCCAGTGCAAGGCACCTAGACACCTGCCCAGAGGGAAATTACAACCCCTACCCGTTCCACAATGGCCGTGGTCACACCTATCGGTGGACTTCGTGATGGATCTTCCTCCGTCACGAGGTAACACCACGATCCTGGTCGTTGTGGATCGGTTTTCTAAGTCCTGCCGTCTCCTTCCTTTGCCCGGTCTCCCTACGGCCCTACAGACTGCGGAGGCTCTGTTTACCCACGTCTTCCGGCACTACAGGGTGCCTAAGGATATAGTGTCTGATCGGGGTCCCCAGTTCACATCGAGGGTCTGGAGGGCGTTCATGGAACGTCTGGGGGCCTTGGTCAGCCTGACCTCAGGTTTTCACCCTGAGAGTAATGGGCAGGTGGAGAGAGTTAACCAGGATGTGGGTAGGTTTCTGCGGTCCTATTGTCAGGACCGGCCGGGGGAGTGGGCGGCTTACATCCCCTGGGCAGAGATGGCCCAAAACTCCGTCTGCCACTCCTCCACTAACATGTCTCCATTTCAGTGTGTACTAGGGTATCAGCCGGTCCTGGCACCGTGGCATCAGAGCCAGATGAATGGTTTCGGCACTCGGAGGAGACCTGGGACGCTGCCCATGTACGCCTGCAACGGGCCATCAGGCGACAGAAGGCGAGCGCCGACCGCCACCGCAGTGAGGCCCCGGTGTATGCACCGGGGGACCAGGTCTGGCTCTCGACCCGAAACCTGCCCCTTCGCCTGCCCTGCCGAAAGCTGGGTCCGCGGTTTGTGGGGCCATTTAAAGTCCTGAGGAGACTGAACAAGGTTTGTTATAGGTTACAGCTCCCCCCTGATTACCGTATTAACCCCTCGTTCCATGTGTCTCTCCTCAGGCCGGTGGTGGCTTGTCCGCTCCAGCAGTCTGAGGTACGGGAGGTTCCTCCGCCCCCGCTGGACATCCAGGGGGCCCCGGTGTATACTGTGCGAGCCATCATGGACTCAAGGTGTCGGGCAAGGGGCCTTCAGTACCTCGTGGAGTGGGAGGGGTACGGTCCGGAGGAGAGATGCTGGGTGCCGGTGGAGGAAATCCTGGACCCTTCCTTACTACAGGAATTTCACCATCTCCACCCGGATCGTCCTGTGCCTCGTCCTTCGGGTCGTCCCCGAGGTCGGTGTCGGCGCGCTGCTGGAGCCGCGCGTCAAGGGAGGGGTACTGTCACGACTTCCACCGAAGTGGCTCTCCTTGTGTGGGCGGCTATCGGCGGTCGTTGTCACCGGCTTTCTAGCTGCCACCGATCTACATTTCTGTTTTCCATTTGTTTTGTCTGTATTGTACACACCTGGTTTCCCATCACGTTAATTTGTTTCCCTATTTAACCCTCTGGTTCCCTCATGGTGTTGTGCGTGATTGTTCTTTGTTTGGTGTTTATACTGCTGTGAGCTGATGTATTTCCCTGCTTGGAAATTAGATTTGTTGTTTTTCAAGTAAAGTTAATCTATTCCTCAGTTCTGTGTCCTGCGCCTGATTCCGTCCTACCGCTGCACACTGACACCTGACACGCCGTGTCTTTGTGAGACATGGTGTGGGTGAACGGATGATCTCTGCATGTGTAGTTCCCACCGTAAAGCAGGAGGAGGAGGTGTAATGGTGTGGGGTGCTTTGCTGGTGACACTGTCTGTGATTTATTTAGAATTCAAGGCACACTTAACCAGCATGGCTACCACAGCATTCTGCAGCGATACGCCATCCCATCTGGTTTGGGCTTAGTGGGACTCTCATTTGTTTTTCAACAGGACAATGACCCAACACACCTCCAGGCTGTGTAAGGGCTATTTTACCAAGCAGGAGAGTGATGGAGTGCTGCATCAGATGACCTGGCCTCCACAATCCCCCGACCTCAACCCAATTGAGATGGTTTGGGATGAGTCGGACGGCAGAGTGAAGGAAAAGCAGCCAACAAGTGCTAAGCATATATGGGAACTCCTTCAAGACTGTTGGAAAAGCATTCCAGGTGAAGCTAGTTGAGAGAATTCCAAGAGTGTGCAAAGCTGTCATCAAGACAAAGGTGGCTATTTCAAGCATCTCAAATATAAAATATATTTGAATTTGTTTAACACTTTTTTGGTTACTACATGATTCCGTATGTGTTATTTCATAGTGTTGATGTCTTCACCATTATTATACAATGCTGAAAATAGTAAAAATAAAGAAAAACCCTTGAATGAGTAGGTGTGTCCAAACTTTTGACTGGTACTGTATGTGCTATCTATAAATCCATTTACCGTCCAATATGGCCCACTGGGCATCAATCTCAGTGTGTTTGAGGTAGGAGTCTTCGATGGTGGGGTCATAATCAGGGACAAAGATCTTCTGAAAGAACTGAATGGTGAGAGCACTCTTCCCCACTCCCCCATCCCCCACCACTACCAGTTTATACGTGGGGAGATTGTCGCTGGGAACAGCGCTCGTTGCCATAGTGACAGCTATGCTATACCTGGAACACAGAGGGAAGAGGGAAGAGGGAAGATGGTGTATGTCTGACTGATGCTGTTTAGAATGGGCTTTTTGCCCCTCTCTTGTTCTGGACAAAAATACCTGACAAAAATCACAAATGAAATGGCAGAGGTAATAGTGTGGTAATAGATCAATATACATCTTAAATAATATTATAAAAGCAGAAATCCTTATTTTTCACTGCAATGTATAGTAAACATGATCATCATAATGTTTAATTCCATCCCTTATATAGTCGCTTACTCACTGGGCCAAAACAGTATAATTCTTATGTTGGAATACCCACACCTTTTCACTGAAAACATCAAACACTCAAACAAGGCTGAGGTCTGTACTGTAGCTGTCTATTCCTTGTCTGCTGGATCTTCACTGACGTACTTAAGTCAGGGAATCACCCACCCACACCCACGCCATGAGTAAGCAAACCCAGCCTGCAGCTCCATACAATGGCACGGGTCTAACAGGATGAGGTCACACAGAGAGTTCTTCCTTCCTGCAGTCATCAATGGCGGGAAGTGGCGAGTTTCCTTTCTCAGTGGATACTGTAGCCTGTGTCCCTGGCCAGAGCAGGAAAGGGACCCAGCTGCCTGTGGAACTTACAGGCCCTCCAAAACAATGTTGTAGCCAGAGAATGGGCCAAGGGCCAACCAACTTAAACAATTCTCAGTCAAACCTGGGGGCTGGGGATACCCTATTCTGAGGGGTAGTTCTCTGGGTTCCAAGGGGTACCATATTCTCTAGGGCAGTGTTCCCCAAAATCAGCTCCAAGTTATTTTAATTTAAGAAATCTGTTCCCAAGTATTCCCACGCACAATAGAGAGACACGTGATCTTATACAAACCGTAGCAAGGTTTTAATTGATTGTTTTAGGCAAACATTATATCTGTTTGGGCTTCATGTGGTCAATTTGCAGTCTACAAATTATTTGTAATTATGTTCCAGACCCCCGACTATTCGCTCAAGAAAAAAATCAGCCCGCGGCTGAATCTAGTTTATTTTTTCAAAGTATGCAAGATAGGCCTTTAAGTTCTTTTCAGTTATATGTCATCAATGGCTGTTCTAATCTCATATTATGTAGACCTGCCTGCCCAGCATAACCTGTTGATCAAACGGACTATGTAGTCTGACATGGGTACACGTGATTCCTTATTTCTCAGACACACTTCGCGCACACATACACCTCATTTGTGATCAGTCAGAACTGTGATTCATAAATCCCCATTCATCTCTGATTCACAAATCCCATATCCCCAATTAACACTTTTGTTTTCATAGTGCCAAATTCGACCCCATAACAAAATTTGACAATTCTTTGCTTCAGCATAACCAGATAAAGTGGGATTCCGTATTGTAAAATGCTTCGCCATAGCATATTATTCCATGGTATAATTTGACTTCCACACTAATTTCAGTAGGATACTAGCCGTGACTTTACATCTGAAAACACCAGACATCCCAAAGCATCGCAATCTGTAGTAGCCGATTAAATAAAATAACTTACCCCAATATATTTACGGTAAAGTCGCTTGCATGAAGTCACATTTCCTGCCTTCTCATGTTGTAAAACTGACTTCATTCAGATCTGTACATTTCTATCTAATCCATTTCATATCACAGCAGCTGGTAAAGCCAGCATCTGCCACAAAAATGTAACAGTTACTTTGCGTTGCAACAGCTGATACGATAGGTTTGCTTCACGCTGAAGAAGGGGGGTCAATGTGTATTATTTTTGAGCAAATAAGCCATTATTTTAATGATTATAGGTCCCATTTAGAGTTTGTCAGGCTTAATTTAAGTGCTTAAATTATTGACTTTCAATGTGTTATGTTTTTAATCTGCCATTTCTGGAGGGAAAGTATAACAATATTTGAACAGCCTCCCCCTGATGTCGAAATGGAGCATTCCATAATGACTCAAATCCAGATGTGACCATAGAAAAATAATGTAAGTAATTTTCAACCAATAAGCCTAATGCTTATTTACAACGTATCTATAAACTATCTACAAAAACGAATAAAGAACCATTTATTAACAACTTACAAACTCTCCATAAATAATTGTAAGTAGGCTAATGTTACTTACGTGTTACCTAAAAGCGGGCAGTTCTAAATGGAGGTGTACAATAATGGGGATCACTATCAGAGTTCCTGCATTTTCATTTTGAAACTAGATACAATATACCAGTTATTACTATTTCATCTCAAAAAGAAGTGGCATGAACATAGAATTGGCCACTAGATGGGAGTATAGGATATTTATTTGCAAAGGTAGCTAAATGTTTAGCAAGCTTTTAATATATCACACACAAACTACCTTTATGGAAAAATATGTGAAGTTACGTACAATCTAATAACAATAATAATAATATAATAATAATATTTATATTTTATATTTTACCAACTTCTCACAATGTAAACTGCGCGCGTGCGTGGTGTGAAATCTGCGCCTCCGACACAAATGCTACGCCTACTAGGTTGACAGACACCACCCCCGTTCAAAAAATGTGTTGTGGAGTTTACGCCATATTTCGTTGGTGCCCCATGGTTTATGCTGCAGCGATATAAATGATCAACGTCTTCAAACGGGATTGTTTTTTAATTGAACTACAGTTTGGAGACTGCGGAAAGGAAGTTCTGTTTTTGTGTGATCATACCTACCTGCTCGTGTATGCCTTGCTCGCATTACAATGGTTGCGTCCTGTATTGACGTTTGCATGGGTCCATCATCGCTGTGGTGCTGAAAAGAAACGAACCCTTGCGGCCGTAGCGAGTGTATGCTGCTGCGAACGATGAGGAGATTTCTGTGGATCTGCAGCGGTTGAATTGCACCACCTCGCCCACTTATTGCTGTGTTCTTGATTTTATCCCTCAAAACCTGGACTCAACCGGAGCAGTTTATGAAGGTAAGCAGCCTGCATAATAATAACGTCATGCCATGGTTCGTTTGCTAGCTGCATAGCACAGCTGATGTAGCAAGCTAGCTAACTAGATGCTCATCTATCCAGAGACAGTATAGCTACACCTCTACGTTAGTGACATCTATTTGATGGCCTGGTGGCTGGCTTTCTAGCTAGCTAACATCACCTCTTTTTTTTCTGTCCCTGTCAAATGCCAACTGACAGCCATATAGGCTACAGTTAACTAGAATAGAATAGAACAGAACAGAATAGAGTGTGCACTTCTAACCTATGTCTGGTTTTGGGAGAGGGAGGGAGTGTAGGCCAGGGGAGAAGGTAGAGCCTAAATATATGTCTGGGTCAATAGATGGATAAACCTCTTTCTTGAATAAGTACACAGAGAGACCCCACTGATTCTGATTACAGGTAGGCTACAAAGTGGTTTAGCTGGTTGACATAATAAACTCCACTCAGATTACATACAAGTCTTGTTTGTCTGTAATAATGCAGTTATGACACGTATTCATGTTGTATTTATGCTGCTGGATGCAAGACCCTGTGCTCGGTACTATCACAAGAAATATGGACGCTCTAGTCTAGTGCACTGACTGACTTCATAGAAACACTAGGATTCTAATCTACCTGCTACTACAAAGAAAGACTGAGCGAATAGAGCTTCACAGAAATGGCATCATCCCTAGAATCTATAGAATCCCCACTGATGTCCTCCTAATATTCCCTTCTCTGCCTCCTTGCTGACTATAGTGGAATATAGAGATAGAGGAGCAGCCATTTGCTATCAGACAATCTCAACGGTCTCTATCTCTCTGATAAAGAGCTGCAGGGCTATAGTGGAGAATGAAGAGAGAGAGTAGAAATAAGAGGATGATTGTATCCTACACACACGGCTCCATCTCTCCATCCCTCCCCATCTGTCTAAAGCATCCCCACGTTTTTAGACTGGGTCAGTTATTGTCAAGTGCAAGGCTTTTGACAGTGCAATGAATGAGAGTGATGGGGTACATGGGCTGTGATGGGGGAGGAGGGGGAATGTGCTGAAACAGATGAAACCGAGCAACGTAGTGTGTGCTGCAGACAGCGGAAAACGGTGGTAAATGACATAAAACACATATGTGCTCATTAAGCTCTAAAACAGGATGAATCACTAGGGGGTCTACATTGTAGTGCCCCCACCTCCACAGTTGGGGGTGGTGAGTTAATCACTATGCTGCTGGGGCTAAATATCTGAATGAATGAGATCGGTAGCAACAAACGCCTCTGGAGCTTTAAGAATGGGAGGGAGAGGCGGAAGGAAGGAATCGGGGAGAATGAGAATGAGAATGGCCGCAAAGTTTTTTTTTGAAATCAATGGCAACGCTCTCTAACCTCTAGCTCACAGTCATCGATAACCTAATTGTGTTTGTTAGGCTGTTCATCATTATGCTCAATTCTATGTGGACATAATTGATAGCCTATGTTGCACAGGAGTGCAAGTGATTTCATTTGCGACCCAGAAGCCTTTTCAGAGTGAATCTCTTCTGCCGTGAACAATGTTGTTTAGATTTGTGCCCAGGGTTAAATGGCTTGTTAGCTACTGTTGGCTTTAGCCTCACAGAGCTAAGAAGGCTTACTAGACCACGCATGGAAAAACACAGTAGTGGAAAGTTAGAAAAAAAGAGTGCATACGCTCTCTAGTATCACGCATGAGTGTGTGATCTGTGATGCATGTGTTGCACTCCACAGTTGATCTAATGATGGCAGCCCTCCAAATGGCATCCTATTCCCTACATAGTGCACTACTTTTGACCAGAGCTCTATGGTGAATAGGGTGCCATTTGGGATGTGTCTGTGGTGACTGAGGTCTGCAGAGTGGAAGATCTGAGAGGATGGGGAACTCCCTTTGTGTGTGGAACATAACCCACCTGGGTTGTGTTCAGTAGGGCACACTGTAGGGAAACGTTTTGAAACGAAAATGAGTGTTTGTTATTGGGCAAGTACAAGTAGTCCCTCCTTGTTTTAGTCACTTGTCTTCCGTTTCATGCCTAATGAACATGACCCTGGTTGTTTGTACTGTAGTATCTTGGGGGACAGATGTATCTGAGCTGTACACACAGCATGTTAATCCAGTGCTGGAGTGGGTGGGAGTGTTTCAGGAGCCACGGTTTGATAAAACGATTATGTCCCTTAGCTGTCATAACAGCTTATTGTACACAGATGCTTTGAAGAATGAATGTAGCCTAAGTACATTAAGGGATTTCTGTTTTATAACCCATAGTGATTACTGTATCAGATAGGTAATGCTGCCCTGTCGTACTTGGTGTGAAAATACTTAGACAATGGTAGGCCAACATATCACCTGATGGAAATGTAAAACAATGTTTAGCCTAATTTATTTAGGGGTTAGGCTACTAGCTTCGGTCTAGGGCCTAGGGGTTGCATTGGGATTCAAGGTAGGCTAGCTCCTCTGCATTTGGCGTGGTATCTGTCTGGTCTCTCCATCCAGCTCCAGTAATCCAGAGCTGTGGCTCTATTACTGAAAGGTCACTCAGCCCCTGAGACTCAGCCTATGATTTGGACTCTGTTATGGTGGGTGGGTGGTGGTGTTGGCAGGCGAGCTAGGTTGGAAGTGGGTTGCTCAGCTCTTTTAGGTTACACTGACACACAGTCTATCTGCTCCCATCCCTCAAGTTCATGGGTATTAGATGGACCCACCCCCCCACTCAAGGCAAGCTGCCATGGCCATTCACTGCCAACTCCTGTGTGGTTGTCCTGCATGCTATAGGGACAGAAAGTGCAGGAAACAAACACAGTGACAGACAGTAAAGGTCAAAGTAAGTATTTATGGATCAGTATGTTTATAGGGATTCTACTGTGACTGTTCCTTGTGTTGACATTTGCATACTGTTTGTGATTATTTTGGGACTGCAACTTTGTTTAAAGGAGGGCTCTACGTTGTAAATAACCTTAGTCTTAACCTGAGACTCATTGGGACATTTGCCTTTTTTCTGTATGGTAAGCGATAGTAAACCAAAACAGTCATGTCCTGAATAGACGAATAGATAATAAGGTATGGTTCAGGCCAGGACAGCTCCACTCCCTAGATATTGATTATTTCATTCAAGAATTCAAGACAATTTATAACACGGAAAACATAGACAAAGCGCATGTGAACTGTTAAAAACAAGTTAAAAATAATGGCAATGATAAACATTATAGAATAATAGCCTAGTAGGTTTTGAAGCGTATGATCCCTGATCCCCCTGCTTTTACCTCTCTCTAACTGTGAGAAGATGAGACCCGTGACAGGGTATGACCCATGTGAGTTCTAGAGACGGGGCCAGTGTGACAACACCGTACAGCGCCTCAGCATGTCTTTGTGTGTTGCACTGTGACATTCACAGGAACACCATTGTCACTGACAAAAGCTCTGCTGCTGGTGTGGCCATGGTTTATTTCGGGACCTTTCTGTGTGCTGTCAATGGATGATGTCATGCAGGAAAAAGGTCAAAGGTGATATAGCCTATCCAGGTTGTTGTAAAACTCTTTCTATGTTTCTGCAGTAAATGTTCTCCCTAATATTTGATATGACTATGAAATATGATTTTTATATGTATTTATCACCCTTCCCCCTGTTATTATAACTTTATAACTCAGCATTAGGCCTGACAGCATCCATATGTGTGTGTGTGTGGTGTGTGTGTGTGTGGTGTGTGTGTGTATGGACTCTGGTGGGGACGTGAAGACTGCTAACCCTCCTGGGGAAGTCCCCTATAGTGTGTGTAGCTCTCTTCCTCCCAGCGGTGGTGAACTGGGTCATGCCTCACTGAATCACTGAATCCTTTCATTGTACTGCAGCCTGACTGTAAGACCATGGACCGTAAAGGATCAAGGGCAATGGATCTGATAGGGATCTCTTTCTAGAAATGCTATAATGACGTATGACATCATCAGCATCAGTCACAGATTTAAGGAGTGCGTTGTCTTTATTCTTTTTTACTTGACTCAAATATGCCGTTGCCAACTGCTTTAAATAAAAAATGAAGACAAGGCTAGCCATTCTCCATTCCATAATGCAATGTAATGTATTTAAATGCAGTATAATATAAGGTCCCTAACCCTGCTGGTTTGTTTCTCTGTGTTGCAGACCCAGTGTGGACAGTAATGACCTCACGCTCCCGGTTGCCAGCTGGCAGTAACCACAATGTCCGAGCATCGGAGCTGGCACAAGACAGGCAGCACACAGAGGTGGTCTGTAATGTTCTTCTGCTGGATAACACAATTCAAGCCTTCAAAGTTAACGTAAGTACTGTACTATACTAACCCCAGCACCTACACTGACTGTACAGCCCTACATATCACCATAGAGAATGACACAGTTAGGGCCTTCTCTCAAGACTAGTTGTCTATCAATAGGCTACACAGTAACCAAGTAGGCCTATAAAGATACATTAGACTTTGTTTAAAGGGCAATTCTGCCACTTTTCAACCTCATATTCATTACCTCCAGCACCATACAGTTTCTAAATATGTGAAAACGGCACGTTTCTATGATCTGTGGTTAAAAAGATAAGAAAGGTCCTAAAAAATGCTTCTCTGTGACATCACAGGGTAGGATTAAAACGAAGAAAAACAGAGGGAGGGTATTTTCTTGCTCCCCACAAATCTTATAGTGTTTGAAAATGATGTCATTGGGTAGAACCTTTTAACTTTATATATTTTTCTAGAAAATGTAGAAAGGCACCATTTTCACATATGTATACACTGGTATTGTGCTGGAGATAATGCAAATGAGGTTGAAAAGTGGTGGAGTTGCCCTTTAAAGTACAGATGCATTGCAGTAGTAGGGACCGAAGGAGCCTGGGTAATTTTAGATATCTGTCATTAATAGCAGCACAGCAGAGACATAGCAGAATGTCTGGCATTTTGGTTTAAAAGGAGTCTCCGGGGGTTACTAGCCAATGGAGTAAACACTTACACCAGGACTGAACTGCACACATCACAATGGCTTTTCCGAGCCAAGTGTGGGGGCTATCTGGCCCGTGTGGTGTACCGTGGGTAAGGGGGGCAGAGAGGAACAATGTTAGTGCAGTCCCCTCTGTGAGGTACTCTTAATTACAACACACACACAGCACCTCAGTCTAACCCCCGACCATCTCCGTTGCCCCGATACTCTTTGTTCTGTTCTGGGGCAAATAAATCTGCTCAGCTACTGCCCTCTAATCCCATGGTCATGAATTAAGATGAGTCCATTTCTGGGACTACAGAGCTGCCATTATGGAGTCCTTTGTCTTTACTAGTGCCATGCGGGGGTAAACCAGGTCAATGCTTCACTGCCAGTCAGGATTAGGTGAATACAGGCCTATATCTCGGGTTGTGTGCATCACGTTTGTGTGCATATGTGTTTCATATGCTTTGTTGGCGTTGATGTCGGTTCTATCCTCTGGGAACCATCCAGTGTGCACAGACACATCATGTACCCACAGGGGAAGTCAGTACTGAATGACAACTGACAGCTCCATCATCATGTCCTCTGGCATTCTACTGCCACGCGTGCACCACCTCCAATACTTGCACTGCACAGGGAATCTACAAGAAGGCTTCTAACAGGCGTCTGTTGAACTTCTAGAGCTGTAGAGCTTCATTGTTTCAGTTTTCATCTCCTGCCTTTAAAGCCCCTCGTTAGCTGGTAGTTTGATTCCCAACGTGGCTGCTGTGCATTAGCCTAGTGGCTGGAGAGAGTATGACTTGATTGCTGTTGACCGCTATGGTTAAAGCTCATCTCCAGGTTGACGCACAGCACTCTGATTTAACCCGTTGGTTCCACATAGACTTGTGTGTGGGGTTTAGGGCTGTTGCGGTTACCGTATTACCGCCACACCGGCAGTCATGAGTCATGACCGCAGTAAAATTCCACGTGACTCGTAATCTCCTCTTATGCACTCTGGACATGTTGTGGTAGTGCCCAACTCGCTAACGATCAGGTCGCTAATGGCCTGGTACTCAGGGCTCTGTTGTCCCTCTAACCACTCTCACATCAATGCAAATGCAATCAAAAATCACATCAAACACTTTTCATCAAAACAATATCATGCTTTTAAAACTCACATCGCTGTGATGATCAATTTGAAGAATGAAGTTCAACAGCAGGTTGAAACTGAGTGTAAAACATGGTTGTTGTGGATGTTGTTTCAAAGACTAAAACAAAGAAATGGACAGCGCTTTCTAAGGTGATGATTCATTCATATTACGCATGGCAAATAAACAAAACTGCTTTAAGATGTCTTTGGTACATAATTGATCTAGCCTATACTCCATAATTAAACACATTCGAGTAAACGCCTTTGAGTGTGGACTGTATTATTTTGCATACTGGATGGACTGGTTACCTTATGCTACGCTCCAAAATGTCTATCCACGAGTCTGGGAGAGAACTTATAACCCTGGGCGATGCTGTTGGTTCATTGATTGTGCAGGGCTGCTTACGGTTAGCCTACAATTATAGTGAATTTGATTTTGAATGGGCTAGTAATAGTGCTTTTTAAAATGTGTTTTTATTAATTGGGTGACACATGACCTTTTGCTACAGAATATCTCACAACTGTGTATTTCCATCTCCTCCACTCTCTCCTTTATTACTTTCTTCAGCACACAGAGGGGCTGTCAACAATTTAGTGAAATATGTTTCATATTGATGTTCCTGAACAGATTTCACTTGGTTTCTTGGGTAGTGGCAGGAACAGGGTTTGAGAGCCCATGGCATACAGAGTTTGGGCGGAATATCACCATCTCGCAGCGAGAGCGTGCGCTTCAAACAGTGGTTGATGCGTGGAGTGAAATAAGTGTTCTATTTATTTCTCAGCTGCTCATATTAAGCACAGCTCCGCTATAAAACCGAGTAACCTATTCGCGTGCATACGGATGTCTTTTTTTCCCCTGCCCCTGTTCCTGCCCAGTTGATAATGGGCCAATCTAAATCCAAACTCATTTTACATATTAGTAAAGACAAGAATACATTGAAAATAGTCTGATGGGTGAAAATAGGATCACTTGATGAGAGAACAGCTGTGCAGCCTGAGGCAAGGAACAGAGCGCAAACTTTTTTTTGCGACTTTCTCAAATCATCAATAGCCTATAGTGGCATCATGCAGCCCATATATGTTTTGATTTCTAAGACATTCTAAGGTTTGTATCATTCACAACTAAAGTTGCCAAATAACTCTACATTTAGCGTATATTATCACTTTTACACTCAACATAGCGCACTTGCTCCGTAATGGGAAAAATATCCTTTCTATTTTATTCAGCTAAAGTTCAATTACATCCTTTTTACTATTGCACGACAATAACCGGCTGACAAAATGTCATGACTGCCACAGCCCTAGTGGTGTTTACTTATTTATAAAGATACTTAATTATTTCAGTTTTTATTCATTTCCTCTACATTATTGATCACCTAATGTCAGTGACACAGTCAAACACAGTCATGAAAGTACATCTGTTTCAGGGCATGGGGGTCATAGTGAAGCTCCATGGAAATCACTGTTTCAATGAAACATACCAGTCAACTGGTTGGTCCGGCTTCTTTACATTACTGAGAGATTGGGCGTATGTAGTTAGGTGATTGAAACATGCCTTTTCTGCTTTCCTGCTTTCCTGCCTGGTTGGCATTACAAGGTAGACTGTGGATTTAATGGCAGGATATGATTGTGGAGCCTCAGTTGAGATTGAGAAGTATGGTGTTCCTCAAGGCTCAATGTTCGGACCAATGGTCGTCCTACCACTAGTAGCCTAGTGGGTAGCCTATATGACATGGGCCAATCAAATCAGGCAAAGAGAAGTCACTGTGTGTAGTATAGTTTGTGTTCCTTCCTTCTCCCATCTCTCTGTAAATAATACATGGTCTGGTTCTGTGTTCCGGAAGCCTGTGGTTGCACATTGCCCTGACACTTCTAGAAAGCAGGCTGTGAGGCCTTGTTATGAAAAGCTTACAATGCCCAACCTCCAGTTAGAAATACTTGTGTGATAGTTTTGCAATAACCCTCTATCAATTAAGTATTTTTAGGCTACTCTGTATTGGAGGTGTCAATCGCTTTATGGCCAACACACTTCCCAGTCCTACGTTGCTTCAGTGATCTGTATTATGAGATAGCCATATGTCTGTCTGGTTTCTCTCCTTGCAGAAGCACGATCAAGGACAGGTCCTGCTGGATGTAGTGTTCAAACACCTGGAGCTGACGGAGAGAGACTACTTCGGCCTAGAGCTGGCCGACGACTCCTCAGACAGTCAGGTGAGGCATCTTATCAGAACCCAGAACCAAATCTTGCCTACGCTAGGTAACTAGCTAGCTCCTCGATTTACTCGTTTATTTCAACAGTCTGTCACGAGATTAGGTGAGGCCTTGAGATTGTGCATGTTAGACTACATTGCAGTCGGACGGCGCAGAATCACTGATCTACAAATCAACTGGCTTCCGAAATTACTAATTATTATGTGATCAGGATTAGTGGATCTACGCAGGGCCTTGCTCTGGCTGATCCCCTCAAACACGCTGATTGGCAGCATTGCAGCATCTCATGAATAGGCTCTCTCCAGCCCTGTCAGCAAACTGTGGCGTTTCTACAGCAAACGGATTGAGATGCTAAGAAGATTATGGGTCATGATCCGCAAACAATAGAGTTGAAACAGCGGCTAGAATAGTATGTAGAGGCTACCGATTTGTGTTTCTGAAAGTTCACCAATAACAATGCAATTATTCAGTTGTGACTGCTGAAATTCAGACTTTTATACAATGTATATTTTGGATGATGCTGTCTCGCAAAACCGTTAGAGTTCTATTCTAAACTTGCTCTAATGTTATGAGTAGAAATGTATCTTCCATTTTGTATTTTGCCTATTTTCCCTCTTGTCCCCTGCTGTGTCTGAGGTTGTCTTCATCCATATTTTACAGAGGTGGCTGGATCCAACCAAACCGATTAGAAAGCAATTAAAAAGTATGTTTGATACATTTGGAATATTCTCTAGTATTTTGAATATTATATTTATAGCTAGTTTTAGTTCCATTAATCTGCTTGTTTGTTTTTACTTCAGGGGGGTCTGCACACAGTTTGAACTTTAGGGTTAAATTCTTTGTAACCGACCCCAATAAACTTCAGGAGGAGTATACACGGTAAGTGCTTAATGGTGTGACATAAAATGTAAATGTAAATAAAAAGGCAATACACTATAGGCCTTCCTCTATGCTATCTAGGCTATTCTCCATACAGTTTGATTATAAGTGGACTTAAAAGCCTATATTGATCTTGTTGTTCTGGGTCCCCTTTAGGTACCAGTACTTTTTGCAGATTAAACAGGACATACTTAGTGGAAGGTGAGTGTGAATTTGATAAACACACAGCTCCTTATTTGATTGGTTTATTCAAACGTTTGAATAATCTTCTTGTGATGAATTTGAGTAATAACAGAATCCTCGGCTTGCAGGCTGCCGTGTCCATACACCACAGCCGCTCTTCTTGCTTCATACGCTGTTCAATGTAAGTACTTAAATACTTCCTCTTAGCTATTCAACTATACTACTGACCTATGGTCTTATACATTCTGCCTCAAACCTAGTAACTAACTGAATGAATGATAGAACATGTTCAGTAGTGTATGTTCTCTGTTTCCCTCCAATATCCACCATGTGATTTCAAGCGTTGAGAGTATGGGGGATCAGAGTATTACAGTAGCTTGGAAACCCCAGACCAAAACACAACCATAATACTACTTCATACTGTACTTGGCTTGTAATGATGCTGCTTTCATGTAGCCTGGCTGCTGCGGGTCCTTGTTTACTCATTGACCCCAATACGCTGCTGAGAGGGAGGAGGAGCAGCACAATCACCACAACCAGGCTGGCAGGAGGGCAGAAGAACACTGCCCATTGGTTGTTAGCTTAATAGGCTGGCTGACTGGATGGCTGGGATAACTGGCTGGCTGGCTGACTGGCTGGCTCCCTCGTGGGGTTGTAGTAAACGTATCATGCTATGTGGGAGGTATAGAGGTCGCATGAGGAAATGGGAAGTGGCCATGGTGGTCTCACCGAAATAACTGTAATAACAATAATAGCATGGAGGGTATTTCACATGTGCCAGTCAATTCTGACCAGGATAGTTAGTGTATATTGGGCTATTACTGTCCATTTTTCCCATTGTTTTCACATACTGATGTAGTTTCTATTAAAATGAAAGAGCAAGGCTATTTATTAATTTATTCACATTATTGAGCTACATATTTTTCTTAAAGTGCTTTCGGAAACGGATGCACTTAACCCCCAACTTCCTCATGTCTGCTCCCTTTTCATTACGGAAGACAGGGTTTGTGTCCCAAATGGCACCCTGTTCCATATATAGTGCACTATTTTTGACCAGAGCCCTATGAGCTAAGTAGTGCACTATAAAGGGAATAGGGTACCATTTGGGACGCAGACAGACTGTTTATACAGTATGGAAACACTGAGACACTCAGCAGGAGGACTCGTCTCTCTGTCTCTCTTTTCAAAACATTGACAAAAAAAGGCAAGTGTTTGGCTCCTCACAAGCTGCAAAAGTCCTGCTTCTTTCCGTTTGCACACAAAGGAGAAGTTTGACCAGAAAATGAGTGAATGAATGGGAGCTGTACAGGAGGAAGAGAAGGAGAGGCGTGAAGGCCTCATTGTGCTCTGTGTCACACACACACACACACACACTTACACACTCACACACTGTGTGCTTTGTGTTGTGTTGCAGCTGAGCTAGGGGACTACAGTCATGACGAGAACTTGCCCGGCTACCTCTCAGAATACTCTTTCATCCCCAATGCACCACAAGACTTTGAGAACGAGATTGCCAAACAGCATCAGCAACGCAAGTAAGATGCAATCTCTCAACTGATATTGTGTGAGTGTGTGGATACATCGGAGTAAAACAGGAAATGCACAAAAAAGATCAAGTAACTTATAGATTAAACAGGAATGGACTGCTCATTCACTGCAGCTGAGGCTGAGGCGGCTCAGACCTTGTGCCCAGGTCAGAACAAGGGCTGTCATTGTTTAGCCTCTCACAGAGATGGTAGGGTGGCCTACTCTGCTCTCTGAATGGCCTGTGTGGAGCCAACTTAGGTCTCTCTCTCTCTTGCTCTCTCTCCCTATCTCACACTCTCTCTGTCTTTCTTTTCAGGGGACTGTCTCCTGCCCAGTCAGAGTTCAACTATCTAAACACAGCACGGACACTAGAGCTCTATGGAGTCCAATTGCACTATGCAAGGGTAAGTGTTCAGGTGTGCAATGGAGTGATGCATGCCTACTATGCTTCCCAATTAACCTTCTTCAATGTGGTTTCATTAGACAGTGTGGTGGTTAGCACCCTCCTCCATTGCCCAACTATCGGGTTTCTGTTAAGTAGATCCCATCCATAGGAAGTCAGAAAGCTGGGCACTTTTCAATCCTCCGTGTCCCCTTTTTCCCTCCTCCGTTACAGGATCAAAGCAACACTGAGATTTTAATCGGAGTGATGTCAACTGGGATTGTCATCTATAAGAACAGGGTACGAATCAACTGCTTTCCATGGTGAGTCAAATCAATTGAGTTTGTTTCCACATTCATCCACGGTCTCCATATAGGGGAGCCATTGGATGGGACACACAGAACCTAAAGAGTATTATAAACTGGGTGGTTCGAGCCCTTAATGCTGATTGGCTGACAGCTGTGGTATATCAGACCGTATATCACGGGTATGACAAAATATGTATTTTTACTGCTCTAATTACGTTGGTAACCAGTTTATAATAGCAATAAGGCACCTCGGGGGTTTGTGGTATATGGCCAATATACCACACCTCCTCTGGCCTTATTGCTTAAGTAACAAACAGTAGTAGCAAACGTAGCATGAAAGCGATAATGAACCAATAGCGTTTTACGATGCTCTACTCCTTTCCATGGTCCAGATTCAGCCATAACTTCTATTGAGGCTAACTCTACTGTAAAGTGACAACATGAGCCCTCTCCCCACTGTTTGATCTTGCCCTACTCCCTTTGATGGTACAGTACAGTGAGAGTTTATCTTCATGAAAAGAGACTTCTGAAGAAATGAGTAATAGTGTAATTGTGTCAGGTTGTGACAATGCGTTCTATATTTAGATTCTCTCTCTGAGTCATGCTTTAAGGAACCAGGGAAATAGGCCAGCAGGCAGAATGGAACTATAGAACACTGAACATAGAACACTGAAAATGATTGGTTTCTGATGAAAGAATGGCGGAGATTCTTATGGATGATAACATGGGTGGCAAAGAGGAATATGTATTCTATACGCTTATCCAGTGGCTTCAGAACACTGGATATGGTCTCTGTTATCTATGAAATAAAGGAGAGATTCCTTCCTATGGGTGATAATAGCTTCTCTTTCTTTCTTTCTTTCTTTCAGGCTACAGATTGTAAAGATCTCGTTTAAATGTAGACAATTTTTTATTCAACTCAGAAGAGAATTGGTAAGTATGTCCTGATTTCAACTGTGATTACATCCCTACTATTGTGAGAGCTCAAATTCTCTCTCATCATTATTAATATTGGAGAATACATAATGCACCTTGTGTGTGCTAGGCTGGTCATATGAAACTAAATCTAAAATCATTTGATCCCAACTAGGGCTTCTAGTAGTGGAAGACACACAAAAACACTTTAAAAGCTGTTGTACAGTACTTAACATCTAGATGAAATGATGTCATGCGCTATAATTCATGTATCCGAGTAGAGAAGTACTACAGAAAACCCTAGTGTCTAGCCTAGAAGAAGCTATCTCATGGCCGCTATGCAAGTCGAAGGGTGATTTCTTCCTCTGTATCCATGTTCTTTTAGCTAGATCTGTGTGACATCAGTTGATCATATGTGATAATCACACACACCGACTGTGCCATGCTTCATGCTGTACTGTACGCCTAAGTGTGCTGAGCCCACCACTGACCTCTCTCTCTCCCTCCCTCCCTCGCCCTCTCTCTTCCTCCCTCCCTCCCTCGCCCTCTCTCTCGTCCTCTCTCCCTCGCCCTCGCCCTCTCTCTTCCTCCCTCCCTCCCTCGCCCTCTCTCTCTCTGTCTCTCTCTCTCTCCCTTCCTCCCTCGCCCTCGCCCTCTCTCCCTCCCTCCCTCGCCCTCTCTCTCTCTCCCTCCCTCCCTCTCCAGAATGAGAGCCGCGAGGCGCTGTTAACCTTTAACATGGTGAACTACCGAGCCTGTAAGAACCTATGGAAGGCCTGTGTAGAGTACCACACCTTCTTCAGACTGGACCGACCCTTACCACCACAGAAGAACTTCTTTGCACATGTCTTCCAACTGGGCTCCAAGTACCGCTACTGGTGAGTGGGCCAGGGGAATGTGTCATTGTGTCCCAAATTACACCCTATCCCTTATATTGTGCACTACTTTTGACCAGGCCCTGTGTAGGGAATATGGTGCCATTTTGGACTCTGCCTGGAAGTGCATAGTCTCTGGTGCATATTAATATGTGTTTTGAAAGAGAGTCCGTGATCAAGTTGTGATCCCAGCAGGCAGAACTGGCTGTAATGATGGCATTTCAACCCACTTTTCCCACTAAGATTATGTTTGTTTGTCAATGTTTACATGAGTCTTGTCAATGATAGTGTGTGTAACTGTATAGCTACTGTCTAAAGGTGTGTAAACCTCACAAGAGAAAACAGTACACTCTTAGAAAAAAGGGTTATGTGGTTGTCCCCATAGGATAACCCTTTTTGGTTCCAGGTAGAACCCTCTGTGGAAAGGGTTCTACATGAAACCCTAAAAGTTTCTACCTGGAACCAAAAGGGTTTCTTCAAAGGGTTTTCTTATGGGGAAAGCCGAAGAACCCTTTTTGGTTCTAGATAGCACCTTTTTTTCTAAGAGTGTAGGCTACACATTACCTAATCCTTTCAATTTCCCCTGACTCACTCAGTTCAGATCCAGTCCTTCCTAATTCGTGTTACCCTCAGGATAACACATCATCATTTTGTTGAAGCATATTTACATTTTTGGACCAATCACGGCGGTGCCATTTGACCTATTGTGCCGCGTATCACAGAAATCGTGTGGGCTGGTTTGCATAACACAGGAATATGTTTACTGTGCCTCCTACAACTGCCAGTAGAGACCCAAAGCTCCAGTCCTCTCAGCTTTGCCAATGCCATATCATGCCGTATGAGCGACTGACAAATAATGTGACAGAGTAAAGAGAACTATGGTTTCACACTGGGGTGTGTCCTTCTTAACACTTCCTGCTGGCTCACTACACACACTTGTAAAATGTCTAAAGAAAGCAGGCGGTGCAACACTAGTTTGGTCCCCTCTTACTCCAGGAAATGAAAGTGTGAGGGCAGAGGTTGGTGGTGAGTGTTTTCCATTTAAATGTTAAAAAATATAATATTTCTGTGTTCTATGCAGTGGGAGGACAGAGGTGCAGTCTGTCCAGTACGGCAAGGAGAAGGGCATCAAGGACAGGGTGTTCGCCAGGTAAGACACATTCTGAAACCCAAATGAAGTGACGCTATTGCGCACTAATAGTAAGAGAATGACATCAGAAATGTGAGAACATGAAGAGACAGGGATGGCGGAATCTTCCACTGAATAATGACCAAAAATCTAGTTGTAAACAGTTTTCATCCTGCTAAATTGAAATACGATGACTGTTTTACCTGCTGCAGTCCAATCTATCAATAACAATGACCTCCATATCATCAACCCATCAGGTCTCCCAGTAAGCCCTTGGTGCGCAGGCTGATGGGTGGAGGGATGGACTGGGAGTCAGTCAGCCGGACCTCCAGAGCCTCTCTGTCTGACGACCGTCTGGAGACCCAGAGCCTGCCCACACGCTCCCCACCAGGCACCCCCAACCAGTGAGTAGCCCTAACCCTAAGTGTAAGCAAACAGTACATTCCTTCGTTTCAAATCCATGAGCTGGACTGAACAAGTGCACACTTCGGGGAGACGGAGGGGTAAGGAAATTGGGCTATAGATGTAATCTACTGTTGAGGAGGAGGAGCGATGTCAAGTAACTCTAAATATAATAATAAAATAGTACACACGGGTACCTTACATGTTCCTCCCTCCTCTCTCTCCTCTTGTCTCAGCAGGAACTCCAAGTTTGCACAAGAGCACCTGCGGCCGTCCTCCGTGGGACACCTGCTGGACCATGTGATCTACCACGACCATGCCTCGCCCTGCCAAACCTTCACCAATCACAAGTCAGCCTCCTCAACCCAGGCCAACTCCATCAGCCTAGATTCTACCCCGTAAGTCTGTCTGACAGACACGCCCACGCGCACACACACACACACACACACACACACACACACACACACACACACACACACACACACACAGCCATTTCAAACCAAAAGAACAGGCCATGAGCAACTCTTTTATCGAGACTTGATCTGGTTGAATGTCCTTATACCGTACACACACACACACATACACACACCGCCCTCTAATTTCTATGTCTTTACAAACCATTTGTTTTTATTATGTAAATACCCCGGGGCTGTAGCACCAAGCTCTGCCTGCCTGAAGACTACAAAATAGGCCTCTTTCATGGCTGTCATTTAAGCGTCCATAATGAGGTTGGAACTTGGCAGGCAGGCTGAAGCCAAAGAGCTGCAGCAGTAGGTTGAGGCTGCAGGCACATCACAATGGTGAATGCTTGTTATGTTAATAAGACAGACAGTGTGGGCTGAACCATTGCAAATCTTCTCATAAGAGCAAGGAAATATGCCATTAGTCAGTTTCTCTTTCCCTCTTGTAAAATGAAGGATGGTGACACACAGACAGTATTCTCTGCATGTATTCTCTCTCTCTCTCTCTGCAGACTCGAGGAGAGAGAGCGAGAGGAAGAAAGCGAGAGAGAGAGCGGGGAGCGAGCGGAGAGAGGCGCGCAGAGCGGAGAGAGAGAGAGCGGAGAGAGAGAGAGGAGCGGAGAGGGCGGGCGGGGCAGGGGAGGGAGGGAGAGGCGAGAGGAGGGAGAGGGGTCGCTGGGCGTCTAGAGGAGCGCGCTCTCTCGGGAGAGCAGAAGGGAGGTGCCGTCTCGCTCGTTTTCTCTTCTTCTTCGGTCTTTCTTTCTTTCTTTCTCTCTATCGTCGTTCTCTCTCTCTATCTATTCTCTCTCTCTCTCTCTCTCTCTCTCTCTCACACACTCTCTCTCTCTCTCGCTCTCTCTCTCTCACACACTCTCTCTCTCTCTCGCTCTCGCTCTTTCCCTCTTTCTTTGGATAGGCGCTTCTCCAGTGTACCTGTGCGTGTCATTTTTGACCTTATCACTCTCTGTGGTCCTCTGTGTATCTCTGTGTAGACTCCTTTTGAGGAGTCTGTAGCACTAGACGCTGTTTGTTTTGGTGAGTGCTGTCCCAACCAGTTAACCTCCACCAGGGTCTGTGCTCAGGGCTGCTCCGAGGCAGACAGCAGGCTAAACAACATGGATGCTCTCTGACTGGGGGGGAAGTACATGAACACATCAAGCTGAGGGTAATATGCTGGTAGGACACACAGCGCCTCTCCAAGAGCTAGTAAGCTGTTCTAGTACACAGGCTGAGGCTATAGCACTGAGCAATGATAGGAAATAGGGGGAAGACTTCCTATGAACTGAGAACCCTCTGCTCTGACTGAGCCCTGTAATGATTCAGTGTACACAGAAGATGATTATTACCTTCTGAGAAATGGGTTACGTGAAAGGAAAGTATTCCATGGAGAGGTTAAGCTCTGGAACATGACAGTTTCCACTGTGTAGTTAATGTTGAGTCAGAGAGCTCTCGACTAAGTGTGTGTGTGTGTGTGTTTCCAGGTTCATATATAACGCTCAAAAGGGGGAAAGCACACGCAATAATACGCATAATTTATGTATTAATTTACTTATTCTCAATAAAGCCTGCACTAGGTTGATGTTTGGATATATGCTGTATTAGAATTTTGCTGCAAGGACTCATTTGGATTTGTCTGTGTCCAGGTCACCAGACTCGACCATCGACGGCCAGCCGCCCGCTCTGCCCCCTAAGCAGACCAGGAGGCCTCTGTCCAGCCAGTCCCAGTCCCACTCTCAGCAGGAGTTGGACAACCACATCAATGAGCTGTATGACACACCTCTGTCAGAAGACAAGACTATGGTAGGAGAGAGACCTACGCACACACAGACACACACTCACGCACACACACACAGTGATTGCTAGTTAGTAAAACCAACGAGAGGCATCTTTGTACATCAGTTTTATCCTACATTTCGTTTTACTAAAACGTTGTTTTGTGCTTTGCTTTGTACTTTTTTCTTCTCTCCCTCACAGCCCAATGGAGTGGTTCCTCATGACAATCTGGTGTTAATTAAAATGTGCCCCGATGAACAAGGACGATTTGGATTCAATGTGAAGGGTGGGCTGGACCAGAAGATGCCTGTGATCGTGTCCCGAGTGGCCCCAGGAACAGCGGTACGTGTCGTACTACCTGGGCCACCGTCACTGCCAAACCCCTGAACTTCTCAAATGACTTTCACAGATAATGAATAATGAAAAATACACACTGTTCTCTTCTATTCTGATTTAATGCCCTCCCCAGGCTGACCTGTGTGTTCCCCGGTTGAACGAGGGGGACCAGGTGGTTCTGATCAATGGTCAGGACATCTCGGAGCACACCCACGACCAGGTGGTCATGTTCATCAAGGCCAGCTGTGAGGAGAGCGACTCAGGAGAGCTGAACCTGCTGGTCAGACCCAACGGTGAGGAGAGAACAGAACAGCCCTCTAACATGCCTTGTGGTCCTTTATGGTCCTTTATGATCCTTTGCGGTCCTCTGTAGCTCAGTTGGTAGAGCATGGCAACGCCAGGATAGTGGGTTTAATTCCCGGGACCACCCATACATAAGTAAAAGTATGCACGCATGACTGTAATTCACTTTGGATAAAACCTTCTGCTAAATGGCATGTATTATTATTAGATTTTTTACAGCAGTGTCCCTGAAACAAGAGGAAGTGAGGGACCATAGCTTGCCTGTCCCTGAAACAAGAGGGAGTGAGGGACCATAGCTTGCCTGTCCCTGAAACAAGAGGGAGTGAGGGACCATAGCTTGCCTGTCCCTGAAACAAGAGGGAGTGAGGGACCATAGCTTGCCTGTCCCTGAAACAAGAGGGGGTGAGGGACCATAGCTTGTCTGTCCCCGAAACAAGAGGGAGTGAGGGACCATAGCTTGCCTGTCCCTGAAACAAGAGGGAGTGAGGGACCATAGCTTGCCTGTCCCTGAAACAAGAGGGAGTGAGGGACCATAGCATGCCTGTCCTATATTGGGTCAATACAGATCCACTATACTATAGGCATTGGTTTGATTAAAGTTGGAATCCTTTGCGGTGAAACTGCCACGTCCGTTTGTGATATTACAACAACAAAGACAGTACTTCAAACAACAAACACTGTTTTATTCCCTCGGACATCACTGCATTCTACGATTTTTTTAAATTAAGTTTCTGGAAGCTCATCTCCTCCTTTTCAAAAGCAAAACCAAAACAACATCAAATGCGCCTGGGGCAGCTATTGGTACTGTCTCGCCTAATGCGGATCTCAGCTTTAAGGCAAAGCATCAGTCTGACAGTGTCATCACTTAGGAGGGACGTTTTTAATTTGACTGCTGCCTTTTTGCCACACCCTTTCTTTGTTTTGCTGTTGTTGTTGCTTAGTTTTTCTGAGTGCCTGTCACCTGCAATGGATGTGCAATGTTCAACCATGCTGTCATCCTTCCTGTTGTTCCTCCAGCCATGTATGACCTGGTGGAGGAGGAGAAGCTGGAGGATGGAGATACAGAGTCTAACTACCAGTACTCCCCAGAGAGGGCTCCCCAGGACCAGCCCCAGCCAGACCACCACCCATCCTGCTGGAGAGACTCCATACTACAGCTGAAAGAAGGCTTGAGCACTGGGGCCGTACAGCAACAGTTTGATGTTAGTCCACATATACTACATATGATGTATAATATATACTACAATATATAGTTTATGTTTAGCTGAAGGAGGGCCTGAGTACTTGGAAGGTTGACGTTTATTGGGATGAATCTTGTCCTGGAGGCAGAGCTGAGCGATTTCCGCTAGATGGGCCAGTTGCAAAGTCAAAATTGTCTATATTGTAAAAATTCATGAAAACAAAAATTCTATTTTTTGGACTTCATGTATAGGGTTATGCATAAGGTTAGCAGTGTGGTATATATTTTTGTTGTTGTTGTTGTTGTTTTTTTTGGGGGGGGGGGGGGGTTAGGTTTAAAATCAGATTTTATGACTTTGTTGCTGTGCCAGCTGGTGACTTCGCTGCAGAGCTGCCTCCAATACATGAGTCATCCCAATAAGGGATTTCATTAATGAGGGTGGCAGGTAGCCTAATGGTTAGAGCAACAAAGTGAAAAATCTGTAGATTTGCCCATGAGCAATGCACTTAACCCTAATTGCTCCAGGATCGCCGTTGACAATGGCTGACCCTGGACGTGACCCCACTCTCCGAGGGGTGTCTCAGAGGGAGTTGGGATATGCAAGAAAACACATGGAATAGGACAAATATAAGCACCCACCAAATTATATTATAATGAAATGCCAACCTGCGAGTACTGGGTCCGTACAGGCACAGTCTGATCAAAGATTTTTATAACTAACCCAAGATACACCACAGGTGTTGTTTCCAGTGGGAGCAAATGAAGCATAGTGGGTAGAACAAGCAAGGAGGTGGGCAGAGCCAAGCACGAGCTAGTGCGTTCCTATTGGTGTATTTTAGCATGTATTTGCATAATTCCGTTAGGGAACGCCTACTCTGGGAAGTGCTAGTGTGCAATAACTCAATTCGCCCTTGCACTCCTTCTAAACAACGCAATTTTGGGAAACGTTGGCAAAGGGTAAAGTTCACAAAACAGTCCACTCTGTCCGTAAACAGATTCTTGTTTTGGGAACAGAATACTGTATTGAGATCAAATGTTTCTTTGATGAGGAATTCGACAGAATGTAGGCCCAGTTCCATCTCACGCCATACTCTCCCACTGCCGGCCACCAAGCTTCCTCTCCTCACTATATTTGGTGTGGAGTGGAAATTCCAATGGGATGCTTCAGATTTATACATCCAGTGTAACATCTGGCTCCTTGCTCTGTCTGTTGTGGGATGTTAGTCCACTCATACTAACTACAGTATTATGCTTGTTGTTCACATGGGCCAAATAACTAGTGCTACTTCTGTGGCCCCATGGCCCTTGTGTCTCTAAACTGCTCCCAGTCCACTTTGATATTATCATGCAGTTGGTTATTCAAAGTTTCCACTGGTTCTAGAATGTATTTCACATTGCACATGGCTAAGACTGATCAGATAGCATCTAAGTCATTAACCAGAAAGAGAGAGAGGGAAGAGAGTGAAATAGAGAGAGGAAAGGAAATATTGAAAGTTTATTGCTTCCTGTTATTGTTCCACACTGCCTCAAACGTTTCCTGTTTGTGTTCCACTGATGGGTTATCAGTGAGAATTGTGGTTTAGAGTAACCTAGAAACCAAGCTCATGTCAAGGCCCAGTCTGAACTTCAGTTAACTTATGACAAATGTTAACCATTGTTTTTTGTTTTGATGTTTCTCAGCAACTCTACCGGAAAAGGCCTGGATTGACAATGTCATGTGCGAAATTACCTCAGAACATTTCCAAAAATCGATATCGAGACATTTCACCATGTGAGTATACTGAACCATCAGAACTGACGTCTTCTGTCGCATATGCTGTACTTCCTCATACAATGATGTACGTAAATGCCCTCTGTCTCACCTGCCACCCCTTTCACACTCTTCCTGTATCTGCTGTCTCACAGATGATGCAACCAGGGTTATTCTGAAGGGCGAGGATGGGGACTATATCAATGCAAATTACATCAATGTGAGGGCCTTCTCCCTTCTTATTTTCTTGATACTCAACACTCTTTGATATATACGCCACAATCTTTGATTTTATTACCAAGACCGCACACCTTCCTTCGACTAGGTAATGAATATCTCACACAGACACAAACACCCCCGGAAAGAGACATTGACTAACTTTGCTTGATAGATACTCAACGCTGTCAATGCCTAAATCACATCAGAAGACCATTTTTAGACTGAAACATGGATTATGCTTACATATATGAATGTTCCAATATGCAGCTATACATATGTGTATATTTGCCAACCCATGCCATTCTCCTGGCCCATAGATGGTGATCCCAGCGTCCAGTGCTGTAAACCGCTACATCGCGTGCCAGGGCCCTCTGCCAGCCACCTGCTCTGACTTCTGGAGGATGACTTGGGAACAGGGCTCCAACATGGTGGTCATGCTCACCACGCAGGTGGAGAGAGGACGGGTATGTCACGTCCCCAACCAGGGTTTCAGGGTTTGCTCTCTCCATTTCAGCCCCTTCCCAATGCTTTTGGTCTTGTTTTGGAATTTCTAGTGGTAACATATGAGGTGGAAATTAAAGACATTTCCATTCCCCACAAAGAAAATAGACAAACTATACTTCCTCTTATATCCAATTATCCTTTTGTTTCATTCCCAGGTGAAGTGTCATCAGTATTGGCCCAACCCTGGTGCCATCGCTACCCATGGGGACTTCCAGGTGTCCTGTGTGACAGAAGAAGGGAAATCAGCATTTCTGGTCAGAGAGATAACTCTCACACACCTGGAGGTAAGGACCATTTCTTGTATAATCTCTTATGGACAGACTAAAATTACTTGAGATTTTATTTCTGGGTTAACCGACATTACTTTTTGCACTTAGTGAAAACTGTATGAAAAAAGTATAAAAACATAATAATACATTTGAATGATTGATTGATTCTATTCAGAGTGAGGAGAGCAGGCCGCTGACTCAGATCCAGTACATGGCCTGGCCTGACCACGGTGTCCCAGACGACTACACTGACTTCCTGGACTTTGTCAGTCTGGTCCGAGGCAAGAGGGAGGGCAAGGAGGAGCCGGTGATAGTACACTGCAGGTAAGGCCTTGTTCTCACACAAACACTGCACTCACTAACAAGTAAGCTCTTATCCCCTCAACTAACATCTGTAAGCCATCTCACTGTTGATACAGCTTTGAAGTAGGTCTAAGGCCTTTTACACAACATCTTTAAAGAATATAAGCCTTTGTACATCTGCCTCATAACCTGACTTAAAGAAAATCATTTTCCCTTTTACTTTGAATCAGACGATAAGACACTTTGCATGTTGTTGTAGCAACAGTGATTGATTACAGTGTAATTGGGGATTGAGGATTTGAATCCTCTTCTATCATTGCTGCCATCTTCAGCCTCATCTCACTCTCCTCGTCCTCTGTGCAGCGCTGGGATTGGTCGGACGGGGGTGCTCATCACCATGGAAACAGCCATGTGTTTGATTGAGTGGAATCAGCCCGTGTATCCGTTGGATATCGTGAGGACAATGAGAGACCAGAGGGCCATGATGATCCAGACACCGGTAATCTAATCTGTGATGCATAGATGCATAGCAATGAGACTTTAAGAGAACAGCGGAGGCTCTATCCTCAATAGACGGGTTGGTTGTTTAGTAACAAAGCCGACGCGTGTGCAACTATGGGGCAAGATGGGGTTGGCTTAGATCAGGGGCCTCCAAACTTTTCTAGCATGAGAGCTACTTTCCAAAAATTCAACATGTCGCGAGCTACATATTTTTTTTTAGCTTTCAAATCAGTATTTTATTGTCCTCTACCCTGCAACTCTTCCCCGGGTCCTTGGTGTACAATATATTTATTTTCTGTCAATATACCTAGTAAAGTAATGCTTTAATAAACAATTCTAATTTGTATTTTCCCGAATTCCGTTATCTCCGTAAAAGTTGTGTCTGGTTTAGCTTCTTGACACAAATAATCATGATATACAGTACCAGTCAAAAGTTTGGACACACCTACTCATTCCAGGCTTTTTCTTAATTTTTACTTTTTTCTACATTGTAGAATAATAGTGAAGACATCAAAACTATGAAATAACACATATGGAATCATGTAGTAACCAAAAAAAGTGTTAAACAAATCAAAATATATTTTATATGTGAGATTCTTCAAAGTAGCCACCCTTTGCCTTGATGACAGCTTTGCACACTCTTGGTCAAATAAGACTGTAAAATCACCAGGAATTCAGCCAAAAATGTGTTTAATTTAGGAAATCTGTTCCCAAGCATTCCAACGAATAAAAAGAGATGTGATCATGTCGCAATGTAATCAAGGTATGAAATTATTGTTATTTTTAATTACAGTCTCTTATTGGGCTTAGTTGTGGTCAATTTGTAGTCCCCTGTAGCTCAGTTGGTAGAGCATGGCGCTTGCAACGCCAGGGTTGTGGGTTCGTTTCCCACGGGGGGCCAGTATGAAAAATGTATGCACTGTAAGTCGCTCTGGATAAGAGCGTCTGCTAAATGACTAAAATGTAAATGTAAATTTGCAGTGTACATATTATTATAATTATGTTCTGGCCCCCCGACCATCCGCTCCGACAAAATCGTCCCGCGGCTGAATCTAGTTACTCTATGACCTTGGTGTCAAATGCTACAGTTATCACTGTGTAACTACTGTACACACTCCTGACTGTGCCATGAATACATGAAGTGATCATTTTCATCAGTACTGGTCACTCTCATTTAACCTCAGTCTCTTTGCTCTGTTTTCTTCCAGAGCCAGTACAGGTTTGTCTGTGAGGCGATCCTCAAGGTGTATGAGGAGGAACTCGTCAAACCCCTGACGCCCACAAAGCCCCTGACATCCATAGAGTCTCTGACACCTACAAAGCCCCTGACATCCATAGAGTCTCTGACACCTACAAAGCCCCTGACATCCATAGAGTCTCTGACACCTACAAAGCCCCTGACATCCATAGAGTCTCTGACACCTACAAAGCCCCTGACATCCATAGAGTCTCTGACACCCACAAAGCCCTTGACACCCATAGAGTCTCTGACACCCACAAAGCCAGAGGTAGAGACAGACAGAGTCGGCTTTAGCCCTGCTGGGACTGACTGACTGATTGACTGACTGACACAGGGCTGCATTTGCCTAAGCACCACCCTCTTCTTCCACAGCCTGTCTGTCTATCTGTCTGTCTGGAGCCTGTCTGTCTGACTCCCTCAGTCTCAGTCACAATAGTCTCTTCCCACATCCGCCACCTTGAGTCTGGCAAGAGAGACTACAGTCACAACCATGGAGACGACTACCGACAACCACTCGAACTGGCCTGTGAGGGGAAACAAAGCACTGTTGCACTTTATGACGACAAAACGTGATACTTTGGAGAATTATTGGAAGAAGGTTCAATGATCAACTGGAATTGGGGATATTAGCAAGGGTCCAGGATCAAGAAAGAAGTGAGAAACAGAACAGTAGATGGATTGGATAATATTGCTAATAGTGTCATTACTTTGACAAACTTTAATAATGAACCTGGCAACTCAAAGGAAAGTGGACTGATGTTTGTTTTCAACCCATCAGTGCATCATCACAATGTGTCATATCAGTGGCTTCTTTACAGACTAGTCTTTCTGTCTTTCATTACTCCATAGACTTAATAAGAGAGTCAATTTCTTTTCAATCAAAACTATTCGTCATTAAACTCCATTCTATGTAAGGTCCTAGTAAAGCGCTCTGACTTCTACACTATGCTACTACTCATCTTATCATCCCCTCCTTCCTCTCATTGAGGCTATAGGTTGTCTGATTGTTTCAATCAGATGGGTACTTTGGGCTTTTTATATGTATTTGTCTACAGATTAGAATCATCTCCAGTGCAAGTTCTTACAACTCAAAGTCCTTGTGAAGGTGTTCCAAACCAGGGTAAGGGCAGGGTAGGTTAGGAGCAGTGGAGGCTGCTGAGGGGAGGACGGCTTATAATAATGGCTGGAATGGAGTCATTGGCATGGCAACAACCATGTGTTTGATACCATTCCATTGACTCCATTCCAGCCATTATTATGAGCCGTCCTCCCCTCAGCAGCCTCCACTGCCTCCCTCCTTCTTTACCATCATCTCATTAGCTGATGACCTGTCATTGAGCTCGGCACTTGGTGGCGGTGTTGTTGTTATTTTTGAGGCAGCTATTCAACTTTGATTCAGATGGTACATCAGTCTCTCGAAGATGCTAAACCACTATCCCAAAAAGGGTAGTATTTTTATGCAGGTTTTGTTATCGCTAGTCACATAAAATGACCTTGTCATGCAGGATTTTGTTGGTACAGTACATAGTGGTTGATCAAGTGTCATTGTACCAGATTTTGAAATTGAATATGAGGTATTCAGATCTCTCTGAATAAGAGCATCTGGGTTTTTGGCAAATGGTGCATAAAGAGTACCATGGTACTGTACATTAGGATTTTAGGCAGTTGGTATACAGTACATACAGACGGTACATACATTACATAAAAAGACTGAGCTTTCAGGACCAATAGGTTTTTAGCCTTGTGAGTAAAACAACATGTTTTCAAATTAACCAAGTGTTGAAAAGCTATAAGGCTCAAGCTATAGATTTGCTTAAGATATTTTTATAAGAGACCCTTTTTGCTTCTTGGGAATGGACAGCACTTTTCAGCTGAACATGTAGCCTATTCACTGCTATGTATGATTCGACCCCCTATAGACACCACTATGGGAAATTTAAGCTATATGGTGTCATCTAGATTTGTGTAATTTAACTAGTGTACATTTACTATGTCGTAAATTAAGGTTTAATGAAATTTAAATGAGTTATTTTTATAAGAGCAGAAAAGTTCAAGAAAACGTTTCCCCTTGTGTAAAGTCCTGCTGGAATTAGAAATGATTGTTATGGGAAAGCATTGCAATAGATATATGCTGTATAAAAGTGCTCTCCATAAGTCCAGTGGCAATGCAAATAATTGGGACGAGCAACATGAAGCTCTGTACACTGACAAATAGATTAATTAATCACCATCAATACTGTTCTTTTTTTACAATTGAAACCCACATAGTGATTTTATTCCCATGATTTCAGGTTGAATCAATAGATGTGATTGTTCTTTTGAAATCAGAAAGCTGGCTTGGTTGGCTTGGTCAAACTTGATTTTGCTGAGACTTCTGCTGTGGGTTTATGCAGTACTATGCTGACAATGTTTACAATGTTTCATGAGTTAGTTTTGTGATTTTAAAGGATGTGTATCTACTGAAAGTCGGTGTGTTTACAAAAGCTGTTATGCAATGGGGAACTTTGGTCCAATCAGATCACTCACGATTGTGTCCCAAATGGCACCCTATTCCTTATATAGTGCGCTACCTTTGACCAGGCTCTGGCCAAAAGTAGTGCACTAAATAGGGAGCCATTTGGGACTTAAACAGTATATAACTTCACCATGAAATAGACTGAAGCGCTGGAATTTTTATTTTATTTTACCAGGTTATCCCTTTAAGGTCAAACACCTATTTTTCAAGGGAGACCTGGATTGTGTGTTTTTTGTTTTTATTGCACAGTGCATTTATACCTTATCATCATCATCATCATCATCATCACTTAGTAATAGTATCAGACATTCTCCACAACTGTGATGTAAATATATGCTTCATCTGTGAACTAGTGAAATATGTTTAAAGATCAATCAGATGATGTACAAATGTAAAGTTTGTTGATGTGAAGCTGTACAGAAATTGAATGTATCGATCTCAATCTTTTAGTTGTTCGAAAAACTTAAGGGATGTACCATTTGACTTTTGAGGGGAAATATTTTTCATACTACTGTACTTGTAAATGCAGGTAAATATCAGATTCTCAATTGTCTCAATGGGCTCTGCCTGGTCTGTGACATGCTGTGTTTGTTGTAAATAGGAGCAATATCATGTCATTGAAGTGCCAATGTTCTGTAAGTAAAGTCTAATTTCTGCTGAAACATTTGATTTAATGTGGTATGATTTTGTTGACATGGTCCTTTCTTTCTATGCCTTGACTGTGAATATGAACACAGCAACAACACTGAGCCTAATTTGCCTTTCCACATTCACCATTCTAGAATCAACAGCCATTGAATCAGAATTCTAGTCATTTTAATTTCTACAACCACCATAGAATCAGAATTCTAGCCATTCTATTTCTACTGTATACACAGTATTTTCTATGACATGACTGTGAATACAGTATGTATACAGTAACACTAATAACCAGGTCAGGTAAGGGCAGTCAGCTGGAAGGAGTGGAGTCAGGCTGTATAAGTCACACGCTCAGCACCTCCCTCTACTGCTGACAAAGACAGGCCTAGTTGTACATGTTCAGCAGAAGGAAACTAAATAATTCTCTCTTACCTTTCAAGATTCTCTGCCTCCACCTAGTGTTCAATTTCAGACTGCTGTGGCTGATGAACCCGAGGCAAACAACTCAACTATGTTACAGCAAAGATGTTGTATTATATTCTGACTGCAGGAGGACATGATATTGCAAAATCCTGCTGTCTACAGAGAGGCTATAGGTCAGATGGTGGCAGGTAGCTTAGTGGTTAAGAACGTTTTGCCAGTAACCGAAAGGTCGCTGGTTCTAATCCCCGATCCGACTAGGTGAAAAATCTCGATGTGCCCTTGAGCAAGGCACTTAACCCTAATTGCTCCTGTAAGTCGCTCTGGATAAGAGTGTCTGCTAAATGACTAAAATGGAAAAATGGATGAAGCTGTGGCTAGTCTCTTATTCTGTGTTTAGTGACTGAACGACTTGAGCCAGTAGAGGGCTGTCTTGCCAAGCTAAAAGGGTCTTCAGAACTTGAAGTTTCTCAGGCCATAGGTGTTGTAGTGTCAGTGAGATAGGATGTACTTGGGCGTGGGAAGAGGTTAACCAGCTGCCAATGGGACATGCCATCTGTGTGCTACTGGATCTAAGGCTGACCTGGATCGTATTCATTAAGCAGCAAATGGAAGAAAACAGGCTAAAACAGGGAGGAACTACCTGGACTTGTCCAATAAGAAACACTTTAGTTTGGTTTAGTTTTATGCAGCAAAAATGTTTTGCTACAATGTGCCCTAATGAATATGACCCTGTCCTGCCGCTTTACACCAGAGTGTTAACAGACTGAAGGCCACATAAGGCCTCTTTCGTCCATTCATTCAAAGTCAAGTTGAACAGCACCAGAATGGTGTTTTATGACACTCATAAACATAAAACCTTTTGGTGCTCTGCTGCCCTCAAACACATCAAAGGCACTAGTCAAACCACACCAGCAACAAATAGTCCAGCACATCCGACAAGGCCGCAATTCTTTAACGCACTTTCATGCAAATTTTGAACAGCACCTTTGACCTTGAATGACTGGCAACTGATAGACAGACTCTCAGGAGTTGACAGACCCAGAAGCTGGACAGCAGGGTTGGGGTCAATTCCATTTCAATTAAGGATGTACGGGGGCGTCTTTTAAATACTGAGACACTGCAAATTCATTACAAAGAGGAGAATAAGTTTATTTGGCAACACAGAAACAGTTTGTATATAACCCGTAATAAGTGTACATACAAACAGTAATTTAGTTTAATGCTTCAGTTTCAAGTTTAGAATTAGAAAGACAACACTGAAACGTTGACATTTTTGCGGAGAAAAAGTGCTGTCAGCCAAATTTGTAAAAAAAAAAAAAAACATGATATGGATATAGTACATGTTGGATTGTACATGTGGATAATGTTGGATTATGAATAAAGTGACTTAATTATGACAGATTTTCATGCAGTGCACCATAAATAAAAAAGTAAAAATAGTGTAGTGGAAGTAGGAATATAAAATTGATTGCAGTGCAAACAGTAAGACATCAAACAGCATAGGATACTTATTCCTACAAGTAACAAACCAAGGCCATATTTAAGTAGTGTGCGAGTGAGTGATTGTCTGCGATCATAATCTATATATTCATGATCAATGTTCAGGCACTTCATCTAAAGAGTACCCTCTGGACCTGTCCCCAACAGTGGCATAAAGGATGGTTTGCATAACTAAGATCGGTTAGTGATAAGGTCACCCCTCTGACTGCCACAATGTGAGAGTTACTGTATATGGATAAGATATGCGTGTTAAAGGCTAAAGTCTCAGTTCAGTGGGAAGGAGCTGTAGATCTAGGTTGTGTTCAGTAGGCAAGAAACTGAAGAAAATGCTCCAAAGGAAGAAATAATATATTGTCCAATAAGAAACGCTCATTTTTGTTTTCCGTTGCAAAAGGTTTCGAAATATTTTGCTACAGTATGTCCTAATGAACATGTCCCGGTCTAATTCCACTGTGCTGTGGAGGCTCTTGTCTGGTTTGGCTCGTGTGTCTGACTGAAAGGTCTGGTCTAGTTCAAAGCAGACAGCATTTGAAAGCCTTCTTGATCTTGCCTTCTTTTCCACCCTTATCCTTGCTCTCTGACATTTTCTTTTTTCGCACCTCCCTCATGAGATCAAAGAATACCTGAAAAGAAAGGACGGTTATTATTTCAACCCTATATTTACATTGACAATGGATGTTGATTTACTGTAAAGGTTGTTTTTAAATCATGCTTGCTTGTTGCTTCTGATATCTCATGTCTTAAAACATATTTCTATAACCTAATCCCCCATCTAAATGTAGAAATCCTAAGTAAGAAATTACATGAAGGTGTATTGTTCCTAGTCCTACTGTAGCAAAATGCACAGTATGTTTAGGTTTGGTTACATACCTTGTCAACGTTGGCTCGTGTCTTGGCTGAGGTCTCCACGTACTGCACCCCCCACTCCTCTGCCTTGGCCCTGACCTCGTCCAGCGACACCTGCCTGCGGTCCTCCAGATCCGATTTGTTCCCCACCACCAACAGAGGGATGGTATCGTTTTCTGCTTTCACCCGCATAATCTGCTCCCTGGGAAGACAATACATTAGTCCTGATGAAGACCCAGTTGGATCTAAACACTGTCCTAATAAACTTAGCACTGGGGTGTGCAGATGTATTTTTTGTTCTGGGCATTTCCATTGAAAAAGGACCCATGAGCACCAACATCAAGTTCATAGGAGCACATCAAATGAGGTGTCAAATGAAAGCTAAGGTCTATATTTTTTGGAAATGAAGGCATATATACATATTTTTTAAACAATTTTCCTTTTTTTATGGCATAGGTAAAGGCTTTGATTTCTGGATAAACAGATGGAAAAAGTATTTTAAAAAGTTTCAGAAATACATCAAAACACAATGTTGACGTAAAGACCCCTGCCAATTAATATCAATACATTTATTGCCTTGTGAATACGTTACCAAAAACGCATATCTTTAAGGTATTTTCTAATTTCCCTCCCTCATAAGGAGGGAGGAGAATGAACGTTCACAGAAGTAACAAGTAACCAATTAGTTAGTGATTTTACTGATATACATTTTGTTTGAATTATTAAGTGATTAAAACTCAAATTGTTAACAGAATTACCACAAAAAACATTATCAGTAACTGAACTACTGCAACTGAATTGGCTACAATGGGAAATCATAATAGTCACCAACCACAGTTGGGTAACCTGCTACTATCCTCCACTCCACTGGCATACTGTTACAGAATGTTCAGCTCATAACTGTTTCCTATGTTGTCTGGTGGTCAAACCAAGAGTCTAAAACAGTCATTCTGGACAATCCCTCCCTGCCTCTCTCTCACTCTCCAGTTAAAGTAACCTCTCCCAGCTCTTACTGACACCTACCCTTGAACCACCTCTCCATTTAATCTAATCAGCATCCTCACCCACTGAGAACCGACTGACACAGGATGTCCATGGACGTTGAAAGTAGTTTAAATTTAGTTAATCCACACTGGCCTTTACAGTGACTTCAGAAAGTATTCACACCCCTTGATTTACAGCCTGAATTGAACATTTATTAAATTGAGATTTAATGTCACTGGCCTACACACAATACCCCATAAATGTGAAAGTGGAATTATATTTTTCAAAATTTTAACTAATTAATTCAAAATGAAAAGCTGAAATGTCTTGAGTCAAGAAGTAGTGGCGGCAGGTAGCTTAGTGGTTAAGAGCGTTGTGCCAGTAACCGAAAGGTCTCTGGTTCTAATCCCCGAGACGACTAGGTGAAAAATCTGTCGATGTGCCCTTGAGCAAGGCACTTAACCCTAATTGCTCCTGTAAGTCGCTCTGGATAAGAGCGTCTGCTAAATGACTAATTATTTATTTTATTTATTTTATTTATAAGTATTCAACCCCTTTGTTATGGCGAGCATAAATAAAGTGTGGGGGGGAGCAGACATTGACTACCCCTTTGAGCATGGTGAAGTTATTAATTATACTTTGGATGGTGTATCAATACACCCAGTCACTAAAGATACAGGCGTCCTTCCTAACTCAGTTGCCAGAGAGGAAGGAAACTGCTTAAGGATTTCACCATGAGGCCAATAGTGACGTTAATGGCTGTGATAGGAGAAAACTGAGGATGGATCAACAACATTGTAGTTACTCCACAATACTAACCTAATTGGCAGAGTGAAAAGGAGGAAGCCTGTACAGAATACAAATGCTTGTTTGCAACAAGGCACTAAAGTAATACTGAAAAAAATGTGGCAAAGCAATTCACTTTTTGTCCTGAATATAGTGGCTTGTGAAAGTATTCAACCCCCTTGGCATTTTTCCTATTTTGTTGCCTTACAACCAGGAATTAAAATGGATTTTGGGGGGGGTTGTATCATTTGATTTACACACATTTGCCTACCACTTTGAAGATGCAAAATATTTTTTCTTGTGAAAGAAACAAGAGCAAGAACTTGAGCGTGCATAACTATTCACCCCCCCATGCTTCACTGTGGGGATGGTGTTCTCAGGGTGATGAGAGGTGTTGGGTTTGCACCAGACATAGCATTTTCCTTGATGGCCAAAAAGCTCAATTTTAGTCTAATCTGACCAGAGTACCTTCTTCCATATGTTTGGGGAGTCTCCCACATGCCTTTTGGCGAACACCAAACGTGTTTGCTTATTTTTTTCTTTAAGCAATGGTTTTTTTCTGGCCACTCTTCCGTAAAGCCCAGCTCTGTGGAGTGTACGGCTTAAAGTGGTCCTATGGACAGATACTCCAATCTCCGCTGTGGAGCTTTGCAGCTCCTTCAGGGTTATCTTTGGTGTCTTTGTTGCCTCTCTGATTAATGTCCTCCTTGCCTGGTCTGTGAGTTTTGGTGGGCGGCCCTCTCTTGGCAGGTTTGTTGTGGTGCCATATTCTTTCCATTTTTTAATAATGGACTTAATGGTGCTCCGTGGGATGTTCAAAATGTCTGATATTTTTTTATAACCCAACCCTGATCTGTACCTCTCCACAACTTTGTCCCTGACCTGTTTGGAGAGCTCCTTGGTCTTCATGGTGCTGCCCCTTGCTTAGTGGTGTTGCAGACTCTGGGGCCTTTCAAAACAGGTGTATATATACTGAGATCATGTGACAGATCATGTGACACTTAGATTGCACACAAGTGGACTTTATTTAACTAATTATGTGACTTCTGAAGGTAATTGGTTGCTCCAGATCTTATTTAGGGGCTTCATAGCAAAGGGGGTGAATACATATACACGCACCACTTTTCCGTTATTTATATTTCAGACTTTTTTGTTTTGAAACACGTTATTTTTTTCATTCCACTTCACCAATTTTTACTATTCTGTGTATATCCATTACATGAAATCCAAATAAAAATCAATTTAAATTACAGGTTGTAATGCAACAAAATAGGATAAATGAATACTTTTGCAAGGCACTGTATTTGGGGAAAATCCAATACAACACATTACTGAGTACCACTCTCCATATTTTCAAGCATAGTGGTGGCTGCATCATGTTATGGGTTTGCTTGTAACGTTAAGGACTGGGGAGTTGTTCAGGATTTTTTTTAAACGGAATGGAGCTAAGCACAGGCAAAATCCTAGAGGAAAACCGGTCTCAGTCTGCTTTCCACCAGACACTGGGAGATTAATTCACCTTTCAGCAGGACAATAACCTCAAACACAAGGTCAAAGCTACACTGGAGTTGCTCATCAAGAAGACAGTGGATGTTCCTGAGTGGCTGAGTTACAGTTGACTTAAATGGTTGAACTGAAAATGGTTGTCTAGCAATGATCAGCAACCAATTTGACAGAACTTGAAGAATTTTGGGCACAATCCAGCTGTGGAAAGCTCTTAGACTAACCCAGAAAGACTCACAGCTGTAATCACTGCCAAATGTGCTTCTACAAAGTATTGACTCAGGGGTGTGAATAAATTTGATATTTCAAATTATAAAAACATATTTTCACTTTGTCATTATGGGTATTGTGTGTAGATGGGTGAGAAAAAAATATATTTAATCAATTTTGAATTCAGGCAGTAACAACAAAATGTGGAATAAGTCAAGGGGTATTAATACTTTTTGAAGGCACTGTATGTTCACGTCCACAGACGGACCGGACCAAATCTGAACCTATCATAGTTGTATGTTTCACAAGTTTGGATAGCATAGTACAGTGAGTAAAGTACAATGAGTAGAGCGTACAGTACAGTGAGTAGAGTACAGAAGAGTACAGTTGTAGTACAATACCAGGGGTCACATTAGCTTTCAGAAATCAGCATTTTCAAAACACAGACCATCAAAAAAAATCTGTGTTTTAAACCATTTCAACTGCATTTCATATTGAAAGTCAATGTTCGTTTGCTTCAATAGAGTGATAAGGGGCTTGCAACTCTTTTTATTCACAAAAAAATACATTAATGCAACACATTCGCCAGAATTGCAACAGATGACAACAGAATTGCAACGCTATTTGGCTAGCAGCCACACAAGTAAATCAGTAAATCAGCTTTTTTGCATAAACGTTTCTAATGTTTATCATAGAAAGAATGTAGCCAGCTACATTTCCTAATGTTTTGCTTGAAGTTAATCTTGCATTTTAACTTGGTACCATAGAAAAACTACCCCGTAGGAAAGTACTGTAGAAAAGTAGCCTACACATCAGTCAGAGCGCTGTCTGGTGATCCAATGACGAGAGCAATATTCATCCGAGTGGAGAAGTGCAACTGAAGCACAGAATTTGTCATTTTACATTCATGATTTGGAGAGAACCCTGACTGAAGCCAAGCAGAATTTACAATAAAAAGCAGATCTGCATTTACAAAACGCAGCAAGATATTTTTCCTGCGTTTTAGATTTCCTTTTCTGTGTGAAAAATGCAGAATCCTGCGTTAACGCGACCCCTGCAGTACAGTACAATACAGTAAAGAAAAGTAGAGTACAGTGCAGTAGAGTATATTGTACTGTACTGTTACTGAACTCTACTGTAATGTACTCTACTGCACTGAACTCTACCCTACTGTATTATACTGCACTCTACTCTACTGTACTCTACTGTGCTGCACTGTGATGTCCAAACTTGTAAAACATGAGGAGAATGACATTCATATCTATAATTATGCATTTCTGTGTAGTACAGATCAAGGACCCATGATGTAATTCCTTTACCGTAATTATGGTACCGGGTGTAAATCCACTTCACTTACTGTAGTTCAATAAACAAAAAGAGATGTATTGAAACGCAAGGTACCATGTCATAGCTGACCCCACATTCTTTCTGCAGACATCTTTGAATCTTAATTCTGAGCAGATATTCAACTGTTTTTGGAAAACGTGGTCGCATAAAAACCTGAGGGAGATTTTACCATAATTCCATTACCAAAGTTTGCATCTGCACAGTTCTTCCACTCGTTTTTGTACATGTTTCAGTGGAAATTGTTCAAAATAGTCCTTCTGCATAGAGTTCTATCGTTTCTTAAACGTTTTAATGTTTTTTGTTTGGCATACATTTTTAAGTGAAAAAACTTAGTCAAAGCCTAATTCCGTTACCATGGAATTGCCCTTCTACATACAATACACACATCTCTTGTGAAATGTGGATCACTCACTGATAACATATATAAAGCACTAAATGTTCTAACTAAATACATATATATACATATATACGTATATAGCCAGAATATTTCCTGGTCAGGTCATGTGGTCCTGGCCATATACTGTACATGGGTAAGGCATAGCCTGTCATTGGTCAGTTGATCATGTGTTTGATGTACTATAATCGGCCTATCAGTGGACGTACCTGAACTCTGAGGTGGCGGTGAACGACTCGTGTTCGGTGATGGAGAAGACTAGCAGGAAGCCCTCTCCACTCCTGAAGTAGTTGTCTCTGATGGCAGCATAGTCCTCCTGTCCAGCTGTGTCCAGGATGTCGATCTGGACCTCCTCTCCATCCAGCACCACCTTCTTCCTGTAGCTGTCTGCCTTGGTGGGCTCGTAATCCTCCACAAACTAGGAGGAGGGAGGGAGTGAAGGAGGGAATTATTTTATTTACAGAATCGTAAACTCTTTTCATTGGTAAAGCAGTAATGGAGGTTTGAGTGGCAGCTTGCCCAAGTCTCTCTTTAGCCTGGGCGTCCAGACCACATGCTACAAAGGGAGCAATGTACGGAGTCTGGTAAGGACCAAACTTTTCGCTCTTACCTCGTCATACATGAACTGCAGAGTGAGAGCTGACTTCCCAACACCTCCACTTCCCACCATGATCACCTTGTGCAGCACCAGAGAGCTCTGGTTCTTACTCTTTCCAGTAGCCATCTTTGGATTTGGACACTGTCCGCAGCTACTACACTAACGGAAACCGCCTCCACCAACACCAGAACTTCCTACAGTTGGACACAAACATGTAAATTAGCCTACAAAACTAACACACTCAAACATGACAGAAAATTGTTCAGAGAAAGAAGGCAGGTTTTTGTATACGTATGTACGTCTGATGTTAAAACAGATCCACATGGACCTAAATGATTGACAAAACAGCCAATCTCAAAATGGCAGCTGTCTGAAACATAGGCTGTGGAAATATCCTATTCAACTGACCCTTATAATTTAATTCATGAGGGCAGCAGTGCTGTGGCAGCCTTCAAGGACAAAATGATGTGGGTTACAATGATAAAACAGGAATGTTGTAGGCCTAGCCTACTGCACTTTCAGTACACACCTTCACAGCCAATAGGTTGGGAAACAAAGCAAACCTGTGCCTAGCCAAGTACATCCTCCACGGAGTTGAGTGCGGACAACAGTTTTTTTTTTTTTTATGAACCTCCGACTAGCTATGCAGTCGATACGTATAAAATGTAAATTCTTAAACCCATACCGTGTACCTATGTCCTCTGTTGAAGCGTGCCTTTCTTTGTTTGCTGAAATCCATACAAATACAACTACCGACTGTTTCCTCATTGAGATCCAATTGGCATTCATGTTGAGTTGTCATCTTAGAGAAACAGCAATGAGCAAACAGGCGGTGGTTGTATTTGATTCACATTTTATTTAAAAAACAATGGATTTCAGCAAACAAAGAAAGGCACACAACAACAGAGGACAAACATACAGTGGGGAGAACAAGTATTTGATACACTGTCGATTTTGCAGGTTTTCCTACTTACAAAGCATGTAGAGGTCTGTAATTGTTATCATAGGTACACTTCAACTGTGAGAGATGGAATCTAAAACAAAAATCCAGAAAATCACATTGTATGATTTTTAAGTAATTCATTTGCATTTTATTGCATGACATAAGTATTTGATCACCTACCAACCAGTAAGAATTCCGGCTCTCACAGACCTGTTAGTTTTTCTTTAAGAAGCCCTCCTGTTCTCCACTCATTACCTGTATTAACTGCACCTGTTTGAACTCGTTACCTCTATAAAAGACACCTGTCCAAACACTCAATCAAACAGACTCCAACCTCTCCACAATGGCCAAGACCAGAGAGCTGTGTAAGGACATCAGGGATAACATTGTAGACCTGCACAAGGCTGGGATGGGCTACAGGACAATAGGCAAGCAGCTTGGTGGGAAGGCAACAACTGTTGGCGCAATTATTAGAAAATGGAAGAAGTTCAAGATGACGGTCAATCACCCTCGGTCTGGGGCTTCATGCAAGATCTCACCTCGTGGGGCATCAATGATCATGAGGAAGGTGAGGGATCAGCCCAGAAATACACGGCAGGACCTGGTCAATGACCTGAAGAGAGCTGGGACCACAGTCTCAAAGAAAACCATTAGTAACACACTACGCCGTCATGGATTAAAATCCTGCAGCGCACGCAAGGTCCCCCTGCTCAAGCCAGCGCATGTCCAGGCCCGTCTGAAGTTTGCCAATGACCATCTGGATGATCCAGAGGAGGAATGGGAGAAGGTCATGTGGTCTGATGAGACAAAAATATAGCTTTTTGGTCTAAACTCAACTCACCGTGTTTGGAGGAAGAAGAAGGATGAGTACAACCCCAAGAACACCATCCCAACCGTGAAGCATGGAGGTGGAAACATCATTCTTTGGGGATGCTTTTCTGCAAAGGGGACAGGACGACTGCACCGTATTGAGGGGAGGATGGATGGGGCCATGTATCGCGAGATCTTGGCCAACAACCTCTTTCCCTCAGTAAAAGCATTGAAGATGGGTCGTGGCTGGGTCTTCCAGCATGACAACGACCCGAATCACACAGCCAGGGCAACTAAGGAGTGGCTCCGTAAGAAGCATCTCAAGGTCCTGGAGTGGCCTAGCCAGTCTCCAGACCTGAACCCAATAGAAAATCTTTGGAGGGAGCTGAAAGTCCGTATTGCCCAGCGACAGCCCAGAAACCTGAAGGATCTGGAGATGGTCTGTATGGAGGAGTGGGCCAAAATCCCTGCTGCAGTGTGTGCAAACCTGGTCAAGACCTACAGGAAACGTATGATCTCTGTAATTGCAAACAAAGGTTTATGTACCAAATATTAAGTTCTGCTTTTCTGATGTATCAAATACTTATGTCATGCAACAAAATGCAAATTAATTACTTAAAAATCATATAATGTCATTTTCTGGATTTTTGTTTTAGATTCCGTCTCTCACAGTTGAAGTGTACCTATGATAAAAATTACAGACCTCTACATGCTTTGTAAGTAGGAAAACCTGAAAAATCGGCAGTGTATCAAATACTTGTTCTCCCCACTGTAGGTACATGGTAAGGGTTTAAGAATTTACATTTTTAAAGTATCGACTGCATATCGACTCGAAGGAGTCAGACGTTCATTTCAAAAACTCTAGTGTGCGCTCAACTCCATGGAGGAGTTGAGGTACTTGGCTAACCTGAGCCTAGTTAAAAGGATAGTGCTATCCGGGATCCTTGAGAGGTCCCTAACCTTAACAATAACCCTTACCTCAGGGGTGTCAAACGTCCAGCCCGCGGGCCGGATCAGGCCCACAAACGGGTTTAATCCGGCCCGCGAGATGATTTAAAAAATAAAAAAAATAAAAAAATTGTAAAGTATAAAAATGCGCTGCAATTTGTCAATAAAATAAACTGCTGTTCCAATTGCGTCCATTGGATGGCGCAATAGCAATTGTGTTAAGCAAGCAAACCGTTTATACCGGGGCAGAGCAAGTAGGTCAAGCACGTGCAGCCAATGAGCTACTTTGTTTTGCCCGCGATATTTATTACGGCTTCTACTTTTAACATTATGTGCTTTGGCACCCTCATTGCCCCAATATGTCTCTGTCAAAAAAGAGAAAAGTGGACGCAGAGTGCAGAGTGTTCCAAGAAAAATGGTCATCCTATTTATTCACGGAATTGAATGGGAAAGCTGTATGTTTGGTGTGTTCAGAGCATGTTGCAGTGCTGAAAGAATATAACCTTCGTCGCCACTATGTGAGTCTTCATGCCGACAAATATGACAACTTTCAAGGACAGCGGAGATGAGAGAAGGTGAATGAACTGTTGGCGGGTCTGAAGAAACAGCAGTCTGTGTTTACTCACAGCCGAGACATCAGTGACGCTGCAGTGAAAGCTAGCTACCTCATTGCTAATGAAATCGCAGTGGCTTCAAAACCATTTAGTGAGGGTGAATTTGTAAAAACATGCATGATGAAGGCAGCAGAGATTGTGTGCCCTGAAAAGCGGCAGGCTTTTGCAAATATCAGCCTGACAAGAAACACAGTTGCAGACAGGATTTCCGATCTTTCAGTGGATTTGGACAGCCTGTTGAAGCAAAAAGTAAAGTCATTTATTGCGTTTTCGGTTGCAATTGATGAAAGCACGGACATTACAGATGTTGCACAACTGGCCATTTTCATCCGCGGAGTTGATGACACATTGACCGTCACCGAGGAGTTCGTGGAGTTGGTGCCGATGACAGATACAACGACAGCAGCTGATATTTTTACCGCACTCGTCGGCGCGCTGGACAGGGTCGGAGTGGACTGGTCCCGCGCTGTCAGCCTGGCTACAGATGGTGCGCCCTCAATGATCGGGAAAAAAAAGCAGGCGTTGTGACAAAGTTCAGAGAGAAAGTGCAATCTGCAAATGGAGGACGTGATTTTTTGACTTTTCACTGTATTTTGCACCAGGAGGCTTTGTGTTGCAAGTCATTAAAGATGGATAACGTCATGAAGGTGGTCATCCAAACTGTTAATTTCATCCGATCCAGAAGCCTGAATCACCGTCAGTTTGACAGCCTTCTCAGAGAGAAAGACCACATCTATGGCCTGCCATACCACACTGAGGTAAGATGGTTAAGCCGAGGTGCTGTGCTGAGGCGTTTCTTTGATTTACGAGAAGAAATTGAACAGTTCATGGAAGAAAAGGGCAAACCAGTGTTAGAATTTCATTCCGCAGAATGGATGCAGGACCTTGCATTTATGGTGGATGTTACAGAGCACTTGAATAACTTGAACAAACAGCTGCAAGGGCGCAACAAAGTTGTCACGCAGTATTATGACAGCATACGTTCTTTCAAGTTGAAGCTGTCATTGTGGGAGACGCAAATTGCCGGTGGTGATGCAGCTCACTTCCCCTGTCTGAAAAATGTGTGCGCGACCCAACATGTGGCAGACATGAAGCGGTTCAAAGATAAAATAACGGGACTGTTACGGGAGTTTGAGCAACGCTTTCAGATTTATGTTTATATGTTTTTATGTTGATGTGCTATTGTTTTTAATTGATTTTATTTGTATATTTAACCTATTCTTGACTCTGTGGTTCTTGCACTTGTTTGGGGAACAGGATTTCATTATTTTTATCTACATTTCTGCCTGAGAAATGACACCCTGATATAGTTCTGTGATCTGTGAAACAGTTCTGTTAATCACTGAGGCATTGTGTGTTTGTGTGTTCTTTGTCCTCAGAACTTTCAAATAACTTGAGGTGTTTTATGATTAATAGTGATGTTGTGCTTTTGGACACTCTCCTCAGGCTCCAGCTTTATGTTTATATGTTTTTATGTTGATGTGCTATTGTTTTTATTTTATTTTATTTTATTTGTATATTTAACCTATTCTTGACTCTGTGGTTCTTGCACTTGTTTGGGGAACAGGATTTCATTATTTTTATCTACATTTCTGCCTGAGAAATGACACCCTGATATAGTTCTGTGATCTGTGAAACAGTTCTGTTAATCACTGAGGCATTGTGTGTTTGTGTTCTTTTTCTTTAGAATTTTCAAATAAACTTGACGTGTTTTATGATTAATAGTGATGTTGTGCTTGTACTATTTTGGACACACTGTCCTCAGGCTCCAGCTTTATGTTGTATGTTGATCGTATTAAAACAAAGAAAACAATCTGAAGTTGTTGTTTTTAAGTTATATACCATGATTTTTCCGGTCCGGCCCACTTGGGAATAGATTTTCCTCCATGTGGCCCCTGAGCTAAAATGAGTTTGACACCCCTGCCTTACCTAATCCTAACCTTAACCATTTTAAATTTCAATGGAGTAGAGACATCCCAAGGATACCGTATAGCAATGATCCTAGTTAAAATAATCTGAAGGAATGATATCAGTAGATCATGCAATTAAATTATAATAATGAGGCATACAACAAGAAAAGGAGAAAGCAGAAGAAGAAAGTGTGAGAGAACCTCTTGTAAGTGTCATCAAGTAGGCATCATGTCTAGTGTAGCTGCTGCTTCTGCAAAAGCTAATGGGAATCCCAAAAAAAAAAAATATAATAATAATAATAACGTATTGCAACATGGTATGATAGCAAGACTCGAGAAACATTCCCACAATGTAATAGGCCTTATTGTCGGTTCCAAAACAGGAACTAAAACCATAACAAACACTGTTCTCAGGAACTAAGACCATAACTTCCCCATAACTTTTGGCTATTTTAAAAACTATGCAGCTAAACGTGTATGTCCCTTTTAAGTGCCCTAACTACTGCCCCAAAATCAAAACAGATCCCAAAAAATTGATTTGAGACTTCTGATACTTTCTTCCTGCTACTTTTCTAGACCCGCCACGTTCTTTCAAGGAGCAGCTCTCGATTGGATAGATACAAATTAGAAAGCTGTCGTCAGCCGACTATTGGCTGAGAATCTGTCAATCAACAGACGTGCGCGCAAACAGCGGTATGTTTGACCAAGATAAAAGATCAATCAAAACCCGCTTCTGATATCGATTTCCACTTGTACATACTTCTACAAAAGTGTATAGAGATAGCAAACGTCTCACCTCGTAATGAGTTTGGTGTCTTTCTTGGCTGTTATCCGGTATACAGCATGGGAACGCTAAAATAGAGGGCAAGTTCCACTTATCAGCTGCAAAGACGATATTTTGACCACTCCCGGACGTCGTGTGAAAAAAAAAAAATATTAACAGGATGTGATGTCATATGGAATTGTGCCACCAAAGATAGTACAATAAGAACAAGATAGGCTGAGACTGCTTCTCCCCGATCACACACACGCCATTGTGGAGAGGTTGGAGTCTGTTTGATTGAGTGTGTGGACAGGTGTCTTTTATACAGGTAACGAGTTCAAACAGGTGCAGTTAATACAGGTAATGAGTGGAGAACAGGAGGGCTTCTTAAAGAAAAACTAACAGGTCTGTGAGAGCCGGAATTCTTACTGTTTGGTAGGTGATCAAATACTTATGTCATGCAATAAAATGCAAATTAATTACTTAAAAATCATACAATGTGATTTTCAGGATTTTTGTTTTAGATTCCGTCTCTCACAGTTTAAGTGTACCTATGATAAAAATTACAGACCTCTACATGCTTCGTAAGTAGGAAAACCTGCAAAATCGGCAGTGTATCAAATAGTTGTTCTCCCCACTGTATATATATATATATATATATAAATTTTTTAATTATTATTATTATTTTTATTTTTTATTTTTTTGTGAGTGTAGTGTTAGATGGTAGGGTATATATATATATTTTTTTTTTCAAGCAAAATATAAGGGAGTTGTACTCCAGTCTAGTAGGTGGCGGTAATGTAACATATTGGATGCCAACCGCCGTTAAACCTCATCGAAGAAGAAGAAGAAGGATAACTAATACAACTGGGAAGTTGAGAAAATATGCGGTCAAATCGTGATGTCAGTGATCTTCAGGTCTGAAAGTCAGAGCTCTAGAAAGAGGCCCAAATTCCAGAGTTGGAATTCCGAGTTGGATGACCATTCAAATGTACAAAAATATTGAGATTTAGAAACTTGGTGCATGCCATACATTTGCATGTTTCCCTTTATAAATCAGACCGGTCCTGAAACTGTGCCAATGTACTTTGGATGTATAGAGTACCACAGTATAAGTCATAATACCCATAAAACCTAGCGGTCAAACAGGGAAATGGTTCCAACAGTTTAACTGCTAATGTGGCTATCATAAAGAACTACAAATGCCATGATGATCTGGACGAGTGTGCCGAATCGAGGCAAATGAAATAATCTCTGGATTAACTATCTAATGTAGTTAGCTAAATGTAGTAATTAATAAATTGCCTAAATCTCTTTAAATTGACAATTCTGTGAACTGTCTTGTGCACGTTTTAAATTGACACAATACCTGTTATCAAAGGTGTCAGCTAGAAATGACGTGCAGGACCTTGCAGGGATTTGTAGTCTTGCATGTCTACGTTGATACTAATTAGCATTTTCAAATCTGAGAGTAAATAGAGCCGAATATATTGATAAAAGTCACCTTGTCCAAGAGAGATTTACATGGTTATCAAAACGTCACGCCAGGGTAAGCCTACACGAAACACAGCCCTTATTTTAAGTGTTTCTAAAATCCGCTATGGGAAAAATAAATGGTGGAAAAACGATTGGAACCATTTCCCCGTTGACCACTTGCCAGCTTGTAGTCCTAAAACCCAGAAATGAGTTACCTCTGGTTCATTCAGCCATCCCTGGGGAAAGATGAATAGGGAAAGATGTAAATGTAAATGAATAGGGTTTTAGAATAAATTATGAAAATAAGGTCTGATGTTAACACAGGCTTAGGAGATCTTATACGTTTTGTTCTATGAGATCATAGCAATCAGTTATCATGACCTTTATGAATTATGAAGCCTTTATGTGCTTTTTTTATAACATCAATTCTTAAAAATTCAAAAAAAGTGAAGTTATCTGATAAAGATTATCTCATAGAACAAAATGTATAAGATCTCATAAGCCTGTGTTTACCACAGACCTTATTTTCGGGGTTTATCCAAAAACCCTCCTAAAACACCATTCATTTTCCTCATAGGTTATGTCCAACGAACCATGGCGGAGTTAGTGCCTACAAAAAGACTCCATTAGGCTACTATTTCTCTCTGTTGCAATTATGCCAGGCAGTTTCTAAAGGAAATAGCAATGGCGAACTTCATCAAATGTCTCTGGAGGTGTTGGCAGAATGTTTAAAACGTTTACAGTGACATTTGCTGTATCTGACAGTTTCAGAAAGAAAAAAACAATTGCAAATTGTTGTGGACCTGTAAACAGATCGTTTGAATTCAATAATGTTTTTCATTTACTTTTTCCCAAACTTAAACATGCTGCACTGCCCGCGAATTCTGGCACGTTGTCTAGTATGCTTGACAAAATGTAAAACCTAGTAGGCCTACTTACAGTGGTAGCCTACACACTTCAAAGCAAAATATCAACTGTCTGTTCATCTGTTAAATTCTACTGTAGGCTATATTATAAACCGCTCTCCCTTTTGGATGCATAGAGCAAAATACTTGAAATAATAGCTTATCTAATAGGCCCTATTAAATGAGAGATGTGTATGGTAATTTGTTGTAGGTTAAAGCTTCTTCTGTAATATGAACCTATCATGGCCAGAAAAGGTGGTGAGGAATTTATTCTACAATGGCTATGAAAATATGTATTACTGTATGTATTATGTTTATAAATGAAGTATTGTTTACTTGAGACATTTGAAATTACAGTACAAACAGTAGCCTAGCCTAAAAAAACGTAAATGGAAAAGGTGAACCGCCTGTTCTACCATTAAACTGCGCTCCGGATCAGATCGCATGGAGCAAAATTGGCTACTTGAAATCTATTTACTACTGTAAAGTGGGTCCAATTAAATGAGATATAGAACGTTGTAGACCAAATAGGCCTATGGGATACTTCGCGAGCATGAAACCATCACAGTCAGAAAAGGTGAGGAATTTATTCTGAAATGATCATAGGAAATCAAATCAAATCAAATTTTATTGGCCACATGCGCCGAATACAACAGGTGCAGACATTACAGTGAAATGCTTAGTTACAGCCCTTAACCAACAGTGCATTAATTTTTAATAAAAAAGTACAATAAAACAACAAAAAAGTGTTGAGAAAAAAAGAGCAGAAGTAAAATAAAATAACAATAGGGAGGCTATATACAGTGAGGGAAAAAAGTATGTGATCCCCTGCTGATTTTGTACGTTTGCCCACTGACAAAGAAATGATCAGTCTATAATTTTAATGGTAGGTTTATTTGAACAGTGAGAGACAGAATAACAACAAAAAAATCCAGAAAAACGCATGTCAAAAATGTTATACATTGATTTGCATTTTAATGAGGGAAATAAGTATTTGACCCCCTCTCAATCAGAAAGATTTCTGGCTCCCAGGTGTCTTTTATACAGGTAACGAGCTGAGATTAGGAGCACACTCTTAAAGGGAGTGCTCCTAATCTCAGTTTGTTACCTGTATAAAAGACACCTGTCCAAAGAAGCAATAAATCAATCAGATTCCAAACTCTCCACCATGGCCAAGACCAAAGAGCTCTACAAGGATGTCAGGGACAAGATTGTAGACCTACACAAGGCTGGAATGGGCTACATGACCATCGCCAAGCAGCTTGGTGAGAAGGTGACAACAGGTGGTGCGATTATTCGCAAATGGAAGAAACACAAAAGAACTGTCAATCTCCCTCGGCCCGGGGCTCCATGCATAGATCTCACCTCGTGGAGTTGCAATGATCATGAGAACGGTGAGGAATCAGCTCAGAACTACACGGGAGGATCTTGTCAATGATCTCAAGGCAGCCGGGACCATAGTCACCAAGAAAACAATTGGTAACACACTACGCCGTGAAGGACTGAAATCCTGCAGCCCCCGCAAGGTCCCCCTGCTCAAGAAAGCACATATACAAGCCTGTCTGAAGTTTGCCAAAGAACATCTGAATGATTCAAGAGGAGAACTGGGTGAAAGTGTTGTGGTCAGATGAGACCAAAATCGAGCTCTTTGGCATCAACTCAACTTGACGTGTTTGGAGGAGGAGGAATGATGCCTATGACCCCAAGAACACCATCCCCACCGTCAAACATGGAGGTGGAAACATTATGCTTTGGGGGTGTTTTTCTGCTAAGGGGACAGGACAACTTCACCGAATCAAAGGGACGATGGACGGGGCCATGTACCGTCAAATCTTGGGTGAGAACCTCCTTCCCTCAGCCAGGGCATTGAAAATGGGTCGTGGATGGGTATTCCAGCATGACAATGACCCAAAACACACGGCCAAGGCAACAAAGGAGTGGCTCAAGAAGAAGCACATTAAAGGTCCTGGAGTGGCCTAGCCAGTCTCCAGACCTTAATCCCATAGAAAATATGTGGTGGGAGCTGAAGGTTCGAGTTGCCAAACGTCAGTGTGGGACAAAATCCCTCCTGAGATGTGTGCAAACCTGGTGGCCAACTACAAGAAACGTATGACCTCTGTGATTGCCAACAAGGGTTTTGCCACCAAGTACTAAGTCATGTTTTGCAGAGGGGTCAAATACTTATTTCCCTCATTAAAATGCAAATCAATTTATAACATTTTTGACATGCGTTTTTCTGGATTTTTTTGTTGTTATTCTGTCTCTCACTGTTCAAATAAACCTACCATAGACTGATCATGTCTTTGTCAGTAGGCAAACGTACAAAATCAGCAGGGGATCAAATACTTTTTTCCCTCACTGTATACAGGGGGGTACCGGTGCAGAGTCAATGTGCGGGGGCACCTGCTAGTTGAGGTAGTTGAAATAATGTGGGTAGAGTTAAAGTTAAAGTGACTATGCATAAATAATTAACAGAGTAGCAGCAGCGTAAAAATATGGGGTGGGGGGGCAGTGCAAATAGTCTGGGTAGCCATGATTAGCTGTTCAGGAGTCTTATGGCTTGGGGGTAGAAGCTGTTGAGAAGTCTTTTGGACCTAGACTTGGCACTCCGGTACCGCTTGCCGTGCGGTAGCAGAGAGAACAGTCTATGACTAGGGTGGCTGGAGTCTTTGACAATTTTGAGGGCCTTCCTCTGACACCGCCTGGTATAGAGGTCCTGGATGGCAGGAAGCTTGGCCCCAGTGATGTACTGGGCCATACGCACTACCCTCTGTAGTGCCTTGCGGTCGGAGGCCAAGCAGTTGCCATACCAGGCGGTGATGCAACCAGTCAGGATGCTCTCGATGGTGCAGCTGTATAATTTTTTGAGGATCTGAGGACCCATGCCAAATCTTTTCAGTCTCCTGAGGGGGAATAGGCTTTGTCGTGCCCTCTTCACGACTGTCTTGGTGTGTTTGGACCATGATAGTTCGTTGGTGATGTGGACACCAAGGAACTTGAAGCTCTCAACCTGTTCCACTACAGCCCCGTCGATGAGAATGGGGGCGTGCTCAGTCCTCTTTTTTTTTCCTGTAGTCCACAATCATCTCCTTTGTCTTGGTCACGTTGAGGGAGAGGTTGTTATCCTGGCACCACACGGCCAGGTCTCTGACCTCCTCCCTATAGGCTCTCATCGTTGTCGGTGATCAGGCCTACCACTGTTGTGTCGTCAGCAAACTTAATGATGGTGTTGGAGTCGTGCCTGGCCATGCAGTCATGGGTGAACAGGGAGTACAAGAGGGAACTGAGCACGCACCCCTGAGGGGCCCCCGTGTTGAGGATCAGTGTGGCAGATGTGTTGTTACCTACCCTTACCACCTGGGGTCGGCCCGTCAGGAAGTCCAGGATCCAGTTGCAGAGGGAGGTGTTTAGTCCCAGGATCCTTAGCTTAGTGATGAGCCTATTTCTAACTATTATTTCTAACTATTTTAGAATGCAAAGATGCAAAGATGCAAAAACAAATGATATTCCCTCTTCTCACTAACAGCAAATAATTTAATCATATATATTACATTCTTTTTTTAAATATTATTTTTTAGAAATAAGCGTGTCATTATATGCGCCATTTGTACAAAATACTAGGCTGCTTGCCTGCTTGCAATGTAATACTTCAACCACTAGAAACTGAGCTAAGCGCATTCTCATGTCAAGTTCAATTTTTATAAATGCCAACTTTTGCGTGAAAACTGGTGCAAGCGTGTTTTTGCGTAGCCTATATTTTGTATGTAGGCCTACGCAACGTTTATAAATGAGGCCCAATGGGTGATTGCAATTAACTAAAGGTAAAAACAAAATCTAGAAGTGTTTCTGCCCTCCAGGACAGGAATTGAACAGCCCTGCGTTTGACAAATACATCGGCTATAGTAACAGTGCAGAAGTTTTAATTTATCACATCTAATTATCTATAGTAGCCTACACAGTCATTGTATGTCCCATGTTATCCCTCAATATTTTCCAGCATATTTCATGATTTATGCTGTAAATAAAACATTTATTTTTCAACTGTTAGATAGATATGCCTTTATAGGCTATATGGCTACGACCTATCGGTTTATTGCCTGGCTGCAGATTGTAAAAAATTTGTGCGGTTCATGCAATGTGTAGTTGCAATATTTAGAAGAAGGGTGGCAGCATTTAACAACTTTCAACTTGATCTGATCTGTTACAGTATTGGGAGAGCGCACATTAAAAAAATAGTATTAAAATATGTTGGGCATTCACCTAGTACTGTTTTGCCAATGTTAGGTCAAATGTATTATGTGATATTTATTAGGCTTATATTTCACTCATATTTGAGTGACGACAAAACAGAGCTCTGACTTGAATTGGTCACTGTTTTTGTGTCACTTCAAATATAAAAAGTGGTGCACGCACCTACAGTGTCACCTTTGGCGCTTAAATCTGTATTACCTTGTTGTTTCCAGTACATCCAGTCTGGTTTAGGAGATGCTTATGATCACCATGCAGTCATGGTTGAGCCGCAACAAGAAAGGCCTGTCAAGAATCTGTCGGTACCATTTATTTTCTATTTTATTCATTTTTCTTTGGAGCATCTATATGGGACACGTTTTCTGTTTGTTTGAAGCATGAAAATGCAAAAAAAAAAATACATTTGGATAGCACGTGTTGATGAAAATGTTTTATATTAAAACATGGCCAGGCCTTGTCTAGGCTATTAGACCTACAGGCTTTATACGGAACATATGAAATGTTAATTAATTATATAATGGAAGTTTATTGATGTAATCCTCGTTCTTATTTCTAAAGTAGATAGTTTCCACTGTAAAGATAGCCTATGCTAATGATGCTCTATATTGTGCGCAAATCAACGCATTATGCACAAGTCACCAGTCAGTCTGGTAAATAATTGGTTACTCGAATTCTTAAGTCATTTTTTATCTCTCCTAATTCGTTTTCCATAGGTTATAAGTATTTTCTCTGGACAGGACAGCTAAGGAGGATAGTTTACCTTAAGCCTATGCATAATCTCCTACCAAATACTAGGAGTCTGTTTAGTTGGTGGGACGTCCCACGTGGTTTCCTTGTATAAAAACTTTCAGTCTATGGAGGACTCCTAAATCGACATAGCAAGGGAAAGGTTCGTCCGATCATTAGACCTCTTTGTGCTCAAGTACATCAGGGCAATTTCATATCGGGAATTCAAATCCAATTAAGGTGCATTTCAATAAGGATATACAGGAACAAAAACTGAAGGAGTAAGTCAAAGCAAATGAAAAACTGGATGCTACAATATGCGATAAGTTATTATTTGACCGACCCTTCAGCTTTTTCCCTTCTATGGAATATCCTGACTTGTGTTTATCAACCAATGGGTGATTTTCTATTCGTTTAGTTTGTCCTCTTCTATTAGTTTCTAAATAATGATTATTGCGGATTGCAGATCAATTAAACCATGGCATGATACGTCAGGCATTGAACTGAAACTCAATTGACGGATAAATGGTAGCCTACTGGTTTTTAAATTGTGTTACCTTGAAATGGTGAAGCAAAGTCTTTGAGACAGGCAGAACGGACTTGACTCCCACTGTGCCCCTGAAGTGAAGTCAGCTGAGTGACAGACATCGGGAATGAACACAGACACGAAATAAGGGGAATATTTCAAGTTACGGTGAATTGAATATTTAATTCCATCAAAATGCGTCTGAATTGAGTGGAATATTTCTTCTTGCATGGACTCCTTGCAACTTTATACGGACTAACGGGATTTTACAACTTTATCTTTCTTTTCATTCGAAATCGTATTTTCTTAATAACGCCAAGTGAATAGCCTACATTTGACAGCAATATTCTGCATACCTTTTTATAGTAGAAAACGAATTATAGGCATATGGCACTTCAAATATCACGACTTTTTTTCTTCATAAAGAAAATGATTAACTGTATAATCAAAGTGGCATTATTTATGGCTTGCGTGCAGTCTGTCCTCTGCAAAGAAGCGGCGCCGGGATCCTTGAACCCTTTGCCGGGAACGGAGACGCACACCGTAGCTCAGGAAACTTGCACTTCGTGTGGCATCGGTCAGCCCGAGGAATCGGGACGGGTGGACATTGACTTTCTGGAGGTGGTGAAAAGGCATATCCTGAGCAGGTTACAGATGAGGGTAAGACCCAACATCACCCATTCTATCCCGAAGGCGGCGATGGTGACTGCGCTTCGGAAACTCCACGCCGGTAAAGTGCGCGAGGATGGGAGAGTAGAAATCCCGAATCTGGATGGACACGCGACCAGCAATGCCAACGAAGTGCTGGAGGAGAGCTCGGAGATAATCAGTTTCGCAGAGACAGGTGTGTAATTATTGTATCTTATAGGCAGGCTACCGTTTACTCTATTGTATTAGAAAAAAACAAAAATAAAACCACTTTTACGCACAGACCAAGCTGGGTCCGGTGCGTAACGTTTGGACTACACAGTTGATCAAGGTGATGCAGCGCATCATCCCCCGCCCCGCTAAGAGCAGAAAGTGTCTGTGATTTCAAAACAATACATTCACAAATTCCTTAAAGTAGGCACAGTTTTTTTTAAATATTGTGTATTTGTATTTAAAGGGTAGGGAGCATGAAACCAGAAATCAACTGATGCGGGTTCAATGCATACAGGAAAAGTCAGTCAAATAGCTTGAAATATAATAATTATTAGTATTATTTGAAATATAAAACTAAACAAAACCAAATGTTGCTTGTGTTTATCATTTATAGATGTTTTACATGATTATTTTCCCCCCAACTGTTCTGCAAACACTTTTGGTTATTTGGTAACCCATTGCTGGTTAACTAGTGGACAGAACACATGTTGGGTTGTTTTGACCCAGCCAGTTGGTTTGGGTGAATAACCCAACATGTTGGTTTGTTGGGATTACACAAACATGGGTTAATTTAACAATCAGTTGGGTATTTTTTACACTCATGCTGAGTGGACCTAGCAGCTGGGCCATTTTTAATGTAATCCTCAGGTTATTTTCAGGAGGCCTGTTTTATTAGGGGCGTGGCTTTCAGCTAGATCTTATTGGCCACCCTTGAGTTTAGTTTATTAGGATCCCCATTAGCTATAGTCATGGCTAGAAGGGATCAAGGTTTTGTCAAATTAACAGTTGCCTTTTTTGGCGTTTTAGCTAACCATAACCCTTTTCCTAACCTTAACCTAATTGTCTTAATCTGCTACATACATTCTCCTAACCAGCTGCGTAAATTCTCCTAACTTCCTACGAAAAGTCAAATCTGACTTTAATTAGACAAAAGCTGGATCCCTTCTAGCCATGGCCATTAGCTACTGCACATGCAGCAGCTACTCTTCCTGGGGTCCACATCAGTGGAGGCTGCTGAGGGGAGGACGGCTCACATAATGGCTGGAACGGAGCAAATGGAATGGCATCAAGCACATGGAAACCATGTGTTTGTTGTATTTGATACCATCCCACCAATACCGCTCCAGCCATTACTAAGAGCCCATCCTCCCCAATTATGGTGCCACCAACCTCCTGTGGTCCACATAAAACCTACAAATACATGACAAAGTACAGAACAGTAATAGACAAGAACAACATAAAATATTATATTACATTCAAAATAAAAATAGTTGTGTATATAGGAAAGACACCAAGATTCAACAAAAATACTATTTACACACTATTCACATATACATATTCATTTTCTTGTATACAGTACAGTTAAATTAGATCTTTAGAAATAGGAGAGGTGCTGTGATACAATATGTTTTTTTTAAATCTGTGTTTTAAAGCTAGACTTGCATTTTGCCTGAGTAACCTCTGGTGGAAGAGCATTCCACGATGACATGGCTCTATACATAACTGAGCGACGCATTCAATCTGTTTTTGGTTTGGGTACCGTGAAGAGACTTATAGTGGCATGTCCGGTGCGGTATGTCTGTTTGAAGTGTATGCAAATAGATTATCCAAGTGGTTAGGCATTTCCAACACACAAATGTTTCTTAAAAAGACTAGAAGAGAAGTAGTCAATTTCTCCTCAACCTTCAACCATGAAAGACTATCATGCATGTTGTTGATGTTAGTTCTGTGTGTGCAGTTAAGGGCAAGGTGTGCTGCTTTGTTTAGAGCCAGCTGCAGTTTTTCTAGGTCTTTCTTTGCTGCACCTGACCATATTACCGGACAATAATCAAGATGGGACAAGATCAAAGCCTGAACAACTAGTACAGTTGATCTTTGTTTAAAAAACGCAGAACATATTTTTATAACAGACATACCTCTCCCCAACAACAACTTTGTCAATATGACTTGACCATGATAACTGACCATCCAATGTTAGGAGTTCAGCTTCTTCAACTTGTTCAATGGTCACACCCTTCATGCACAACTCCAGTTGAGGTTTAGATCTAAGATAATACTTTGAACCCAATACAATGCTTTTGGTTTTAGATTTATTTAAGACCAGTTTGTTGTTAATTACCCATTCTAGCACTGACTGTAACTCCTTGCTAAGAGTCTCAGTGAACTCCCTGGCTGTAGGTGCTGATGTGTAGAGTGTGCAATCATCAGCATACATAGTAATTTTAGTTTCTTGTAAGACAAGTGGCAAATCATTTGTAAAAAATAGAGAAGAGTAACAGCCCAAGGCAACTGCCCTGAGGGATACCACACTGTACATATCTGATGTTAGAGAAGCTTCCATTGAAGAATCCTCTCTGAGTTCTATTGGATAAGTAACTCTCCAACCATGTGATGGCAGGTGATGTAAAGCCATAACAATTGAGTTTTTTCAATAACAATTTATGATCAATAACATCAAAGGCTGCACTGAAATCTAATAATACAGCTCCAACTATCATATTATTATCCATTTATTTTAGCCAATCATCAGTCATCTGAGTCAGTCCAGCACAAGTTGAGTGCCCTTCCCTATATGCATTCTGAAAGTCAGTAGTTAACTTGTGCTTTAAAAAAGAGCTTTGTATTTGTTCAAACACAATTCTCTCCATCAGTTTACTAAGAACAGGCAGCAAACTGATTGGGCGGCTGTTAGAACCAGCAAAGGGATCTTTACTATTTTTAGGTAGTGGAATTACTTTAGCTTCCTTCAACGCCTGTGGACACACTCCTTTAGGCTTTGGTTAAAGACATGGCAAATAGGGGCGGCAATACAGTCTGCTACCATTCTCAATAGTTTCCCATCTAGGTTGTCTGTACCTGGTGGCTTATCATTATTGATGGATAACAATCGTTTTTCAATCTCTTCCACACAAATTTGACCAGATTTAACATTGCAATCCTTCTTTTTCATTATTAGATCTTCAATACACAAATATGATGGTTCACTGTTCAATGTTGTCATTTCACTTCTCAGTTTGTCTACTTTACTGGTGAAATAGCCATTGAAATGATTGGCTATATCAAAAGGTTTCGTTATAAATGACCCATCAACTTCAATGTTAAGTTGCTAAGTTTAGTCACAAAATGTCTCAATTTACAGTATGTCGACCAATCAGCTGAGCTGCCTGACTTGTTTGCCACTCTATTTGCATAATTTCTTTGAACCATAAAATTCTTCAATTCATCATCGATCCAGGGGGCTCTAACAGTTCTCACAGTTAGTTTCTTAACAGGTGCATGTTTGGCAACAATTGACAAGAATAATCCTCCAGGTGTTGCATCTGCGTTCTCCTCCTTATACACATCAGACCAACATACATTTTTCAACAAAAGAGTCCTCAGAAAACATTTAGTATGATCTCTTATAAATAACTTTAGGCCCTGCCTTTGGTACTTTGGCTTTCCTTGTTATTGCCACAATGTTATGGTCACTACAGCCAATGGGAACTGATATTGCTTTGGAGCAAAGCTCTGTAGCATTAGTGAAGATATGATCAATACAAGTGGATGTCACAGATCCAACACTATTGGTAAACACTCTAGTTGGTTGAGTGATAACCTGAGTCATGCTACAGGTATTATTCACATGAAGAAGCTTCATCTTGAGAGGACAACTGTTAGTATCAGAGACCTTATCTAACATCATAAATGTCATTCCTGTTCATCATGTTACGTTTACATACTACAAATAACATTTGTCCTTTTTTTTCTCTTCACATTCTTCTATAATATTAAGATTATTTATTACATATTATAATAAGGTATACCACCTTATTCTATCCCAACAACAGATGAACAGGAATGACATTTACTCAGGTGGCTAAAAATAACTATCTGAATGTCACGCCCCGACTAAACTATGCCTCCAGTCTTCTGATCTGACCTGCTAGGTCATATCTCAGTAACCCAGCATCAATAACCAGCAGTTTTTAAAGAAAACAACCCAACTAAGTGACCCAACACCTGCAACCCAGCAGTTGGGTCAACCAAACAACCAAGCATTTGTTAGTGTGAGCATAGAACAAGTGTGTCCTCAGGCTGAGGTTCCCACCCCCAGAGACTCATAAATAATGTCACTATAACAGCCTCATAGCATTCATCTTCAAAACAACACACAAAATCCATAGTTTGCATAGAAAAGATTAAGGGTATGTATAATATCACATTCACATTCAAAAGAATGATATGGGCAATCCCAAAAAGATTTGAAAAGCCCATAATATTTTCACATTATTCACAAAAAGCTCTGTAACTTTGTACTGTACATTTGTGTAGATTCAGTTGGGTTGCCTTCCTTGTGCCTCATTGCCCTCCTTGCCAGTTGGCAGTATTACCCAGGGTGGTAGCTGCAGCCAGCTGGTCGTGGCACTGAGAAGAGCTCACACAACAATTTGCTTAGAGATGCTTAAAGGGGGACTGGAAATGATCAATGATGCCACCTGCTTAGGCCCACATGTATTCAGATCAAACCTCTTATTGCCTCTTATTCTTATAGCAGTTGAAGTCACCCCAGATTTTCTCTAACCAGCTGTGCATCTCTCCAACACAATTAGTGTCAGTGATTCGGTTAGCTGATCAGAGAAATGTTCAAAACCAACCCTGTTCTGCTTCTCAAATACACTTAGAAAAAAAGGTGCTATCTAGAACCTAAAGGGGTTATTCGGCTGTTCCCATAGGAGAACCCTTTTTGGATCCAGGTAGAACCCTTTTGGTTCCATGTAGAACCCTTTTGGGTTCCGCTAGTCCCCTGTAGCTCAGTTGGTAGAGCGTGGCACTTGCAACACCAGGGTTGTAGGTTCGTTTCCCACGGGGGGCCAGTATGAAAAATGTATGCACTCACTAACTGTAAGTCGCTCTGGATAAGAGCGTCTGCTAAATGACTAAAATGTAAATGTAGAACTCCTTTCACAGAGGGTTCTATATGGAACCCAAAAGGGTTCTTCTACCTGAAACCAAAAAGGGTTCTACCTGGAACCAAAAAGGGTTCTCCTATGGGGACAGCTGAAGAACCCTTTGGAACCCTTTTTTCTAAGAGTGTACAGTCAATCTAAGACACCTGATGAAAATCTAATGTTCACCCATGCTGAGTATTTCATCTGAATGCCACCCATATACAATGATTCTACTGTGATCTTCTGTTGAGAATCCTGGTACCAGCTATAAGATGACCTGAAAGCAGGGCTGCTTTAGAATGGCTCTACATCTACATAAGGTCAGCGCTTTGTGTCAGGACCATGCATGCTGAATGTAGAGTGAACTGGAATGGTGAACTCACTGCCACTCACTGTTCCGTATTAGAATGCATGGTGTGAGGGACCATCTCCCTTATATAGTCCTAGAGTGGGACTTGGTTGCTGCCTGCACAGTACTTATGGACTTCATCATGCTTGTATGTTAGACCTTGTATTTGCCGTTGTTGTGTACGGTTACTAAAGCAGTTGCCTGACAAAGATGATATCACTATCGCTGACGTGGCATCTAAAGACACTTTCTCTGCAACTCTATTTCTGTTCCTGAGAAAGATTTTTTAAAAAGACTCCTGCACACTGCATTGGTGCTCTCATAAGTTCACCTGACAAATCACTTTCTAATTGGATGTGTCTTTTTGGGGAGTATTCTGTTGTTGAGTATCCTGTTCCATCTGAGACAATTGCCCTCTTTACTCACAGAGTGAAAAATGGCTCCCTTAGGTTTGTTTCACAAAGCCCCCCCTCTTCCCCTGTCCCGTTGAAAGAATAAATAACTGATACAGTAATATATCAAAGTCATCCATCCATAAACAGAAGATAGAATAGAACATCCATTTCAACCAGGAGACATTAGGTCTTAGCTTTTTGCTTATTGTTGGTCATAGGGATGTAGCTCAGTTGGTAGAGCGTGGCGTTTGCAACGCCAGGGTTGTGGGTTCGATTCCCACGGGGGGTATGAAAAAAGAAAAAAAGAATGTATGCACTCACTAACTGTAAGTCGCTCTGGATAAGAGCGTCTGCTAAATGACTAAAATGTAATGTAATGTCTTGACAGCTGTGCTGCCACCCATGGCCTAGTGCTAGGACAGTCAGAGTGTGGTCTATAGCTGTCTGTTGACTAAGTCTTTGAGTTGAGAAGTAACATGGAGATTACCTGTCTTGTGTTGTGTGAGGCAGTGCAGATGGAGACTGGCTGGGCAGGCCAGGGCGGCCTCCATTGTAGCTGATCCATGATGATGAGGCCCAGGTAGGGTCCCATCGCTTTGGGCGGCAGACAAGCAAACAGGCAGGCAGATAGGCAGGCAGCACAGCTCAGTGTTCAGGTTGGAGAGGTGTCCCTTGACGTGTGTGTTTTCCCACTTTCCTTCACCTGACAGCTGCATGTTGCTCAGTCAGTCACAGAGTATTCATGTAGAGTGTTGCTGATGGGCTCTCAGGTTTAGACGTTTTTACTCTCACTGGAGGACTGGGAAGAAACCATATATTTCAGTTACTGCCTTAGCTACTGAAGATGTTACTGTCTCTTAGGTTTCTTTAGGTAGTTCAAGGTTCAGGTCTTGTCTTGATCAACAAACTGCATAGTGGTGCAGGGAGCCTGACCAGGCAAAGTCAGTGAGTGTGTAAGAGTAGGAGTTGTTTTGGTCATGTCATGTTTTGGGCACTGACAAGTGCAAGTTCAATTTGAATTTGACTTTTGACCCTGACTCTACGCTACCCTACCCTAACCCGAACCTGAACCTACCCACACATGAAAACAATATGGCACAAACCAAAAATAAGTAAACATTGGCACGCACTGTACAGCCAGACACAGTTTCTGTGGTGATAGTTGGGTTGTTGGAAAGGCCAGCTAGTTTCATGTAAATTGCTTTTTTTGCTTGATCATTAATCCACTGTGAAGCTGTGCTCCTCTTCACTCAATGTGCCTGGCTTTACTGTGCATTTTCTTCCTTTACATCACATTACTGTGCATTGTGTAAGCAGTTAGGCTCAGTAAGCTCTTGTTTTTCTGCAGTATTCACAGCAAAGCCTTTGAGCCTTTGTACTTGGCTCTGATAAGCCCTCTTCCCCATACCCAGCCTGACTCAGGGCCAGAGGCAACTTCAAGTGGGCCTGATCCCAGATCTGTACTGTCATTGTCACTGTCGAGGCTCTCTATAGGCAAGGGCCAGATGGAACTGATTCCAGACCTGCTGATGCTGCACTGTCATTGCAGTCCCCATGTAGGCCTACGTGACAAGACCAGGGCCTGTATTCATAAAGCGTCTCAGAGTAGGAGTGCTGATCTAGGATCAGGTCCCCCCTCTTATTCATTATGATCTAAAATACAAAACCGATCCTGGATCAGCACCGTGAGACGCTTTGTGAATACGGGCCCTGGATCAAGAGGAGGCTGGTGTCTCTGTTAGAGCTGTCTACCAGTGTACACCCATCCACCAAATCCCTTTAGTACCAGTCCAAACTCTGTTTACATCCCAGGCCAGATAGAGATGACAGTAAGACAGGCCATAACAAGGGAAGCCATAGTAACCGTCTATCTCAATTTAATCCCAAATTGTTGAACTGTTCCCTATGTGCCCAGTTCTTGTCCAGCTATTCATCCAACAGTCCAAGCTTGGGACCACCCAGTGTGGTAGTATCTTCTTGAAGCTTTGTCCAATATCAGTAAGGTTTTTGAAAGATGGGTATTTTTGTTAATTAATAGCCAATGAATCTGTGTGTTTGTCTCCTCTTTTAGCATTGCCACACTGACCTTTTAAAGGTTTAAAATTACTTTTAAACTGACCCTTCCCTATTCTGTTCCTGTCTTTCCCAGATGAGCTGGTATCATCCAAATCCAGCCTGTTCTTCCTGATCTCCAACGAGGGAAACCAGCACCTGTACGTGACCCAGGCCACCCTGTGGCTGTACTTCAGGCTGCTTCCTAACACCCTGGACAAGGGTCCGCGGAGGAAGGTCACAGTCAAGGTGTACTACCAAGAGCCTGGCCTGGGCAGCAAGTGGAACCTGGTGGAGAAGCGTGTGGAGCTGAAGAGGAGCGGCTGGCACACCTTCCCCCTGACCAATGCTATCCAGATGGGGTTCGAGAAGGGCGACCGGCGGCAAAACCTGGACGTGCGCTGCGAGGGCTGCGAGGACCTGGCGGTCTTACCGATCCTCATGAACCAGAACGACGAGTCCCACAGGCCGTTTCTAGTCGTACAGGCCCGGCAAGCGGACAACAAGCACCGCATCAGGAAGAGGGGGCTGGAGTGTGACGGGAGTAGTAGTCTGTGCTGCAGACAGCAGTTCTACATAGACTTCCGCCTCATCGGCTGGAACGACTGGATCATTGCGCCGTCGGGGTACTTTGGGAACTACTGCGAGGGGAACTGTCCGGCGTACATGGCGGGAGTGCCAGGGTCGGCGTCGTCCTTCCACACGGCAGTGGTCAATCAGTATCGGATGAGAGGCATGAGCCCTGGCTCCATGAACTCCTGTTGCATCCCCACCAAGCTCAGCACCATGTCAATGCTCTACTTCGACGATGAATACAACATCGTCAAGAGAGACGTACCCAATATGATCGTGGAGGAGTGTGGATGTGCTTGAGTTGAGACTATGTACTTCAAGTGGACTTTTATGGACATTTGTAAAGAAGAAAAGGATATTACAAAATTAATTATAGAAATCAAAGTGATATTTATGGACAATTATAAGGCATACGCACATGCACACACAACTTAATTCATTCACGCATATCCTACACACTCATTCTCACATATGCCTGAACAAACACTTGTATATATATTTATGTTTGTTAATAATATTCTCTGATATTCTTTTGCCAACATATGAATATATGATTCAATCCCATTTTTTGTAAACGTGTTTGCAAATTCATGTAGGTGTCATTATCAGAGGGATTTGAACTAAATGGTACTTATCGCATTATATATTTTCCAAGATTGCCATTTCTATTCTGAAAATGGAGAGTTCTATTTCTATACTCTGACAAAGGTGGAAAGAGCCTGAGATTATGAAGGAGGTTCACTTGCTGATAGACAATTCCAAACCATGCCTCTTTCAAGAAAGTATAACTGCAAAACCTATAGTGAAAGCACTGACAACTCACCTCTTGTACAACTTCAGCACTTCTAACAAGAAATACATCTTGTTGATGTGTCACAAGATTAACATTTTATATAAAACCGTTTTTATTTTACGGCCAGCATCCAGAAATCAAAATTAATCTGTTTTCAAAATGGCTTCCATGTCAGAAGAGTGAGCAGAAAATTAAAATACATTCCAACACACCATGCGAACGCTGAAGCTGTCATCAAAACTTGGGAGTTTAGGCTGTGATATGAAACAGAGACAATAGGGAAAAACATTGACCTTCTGTTACTTCCTTCTGAATCCTTCCTTCTTTCATTCACACTTTTAACGGGAAGAGTCTAATTTCTTCAACAGCTGAAGCACAACAAGTTTCCCTCTCATTTCAGTCAGCGAAACAAAAGCGATGAGTTGCCATATTGCTCGGTTAAAGTCTTGGTGCTGCATAGCACTTCCTAATGCACATTAAATAGCACTTGCAGATTGAAATGCCTTTAAAGAGTACAATGTGGTGCACTGACCCTTGCTCACAATCCTTTTAAATATAAGTGCCGCATGAGCTATGCAATGTATAGTATTGACCCACAGACACCAGACAAACTGAACTTTTAGTTATAGTTATTAACTATTACCAGTACTTGAAATGTAATCTTTTGCTTCTTCTTCAAAGTGAATGATAGTTACAATATTTGCACTGAAAAGTTGCGTGATTAGTTAAAAAATAAAGAAACTGCCATTGGAAAAAGTTATTTTTATAGAAAGCAAATTAAGTTCTGTTCAAATGTATTATACCTAATCATGGAACCAAAGAGGCCAATTTTTTTTTTTAGCAATTATAAGAGGCCATCGTATTATTTTGTAAAATGCTTTGGGACCAGTTAAGAGGCCTAAACACTGCATCAGGGTACAATATTATGGATTCCATTTTCAGTTCAATGTCTTTTTTTCTATTTTGTATAGACAAATATTTTTTCATCGACTTAAATACTCCTAGTTTTCTAGTTCAGTTCTTGTTCCAGAATCATTTAGAATGAACACGTCATCTCTGTACAGCTGATGTAAGATATAAATATGATTTTAAAATATTTTGTTCTTTGTAATTGTTGAAAAATAAATGTCTTATTCTGCATTAGGTTGGAACTCTCTTGAGTCTTTCTGGAAGCTACTTCAATATGTAAGATATGGCAGGAGTGGCCGACTTTAATCTACTCATTAAACGTGTGACCACTCAAAATCACACACACACACACACACACACACACACACACACACACACACACACACACACACACACACACACACACACACACACACACACACAATAATTAGTGCAGAGTGAATCTGGGCAGGGCTCCAGGGCTCAAGTGGTTGGCCCTAGGTCACACTCTCAGTGATTGGTAAACAGAAGCAATCGACAGCATTAGCTGATAGCAGATCTGGTTACCTATAGGCTCCTGTTTGTTTTGCAGTAGTGATTTTAAAGACCGCCACTCAGTGTCAACCTGAGGGTGAACAAAATACCTCACACGCCAGAATCAGTGAGAGAGACAGACAGGGCAGGACTGCACACGCACACACACGCGCACACACACTCACCCATGCCAAGAGACCACACATGACAGCCCAGGCCTCTTGAAAACACGATGCTGTGTCTCTCACATCCATCAGCAAGATAATCACTTTAAATATATCTATCACTGTCTGCCAAGGGAATGAAGTGTTTTTGTCAGCTGGGTGAAATAATATGTTTCAGATAAAAACAGACTGTCTCTCAATCTGGCAGTGAAGGGATGTCAGTGTTGTAATCTTGTGTTGTGAGAGAGTGAGAGAGAGATGGGGGGGGGGGGGGGGGGGGGCAGCGATAGAAAAGTGTGAAAAAACAGAGAGAGAGAGAGAGAGAGAGAGAGAGAGAGAGAGAGAGAGAGACAGAGAGAGACAGAGAGAGAGAGAGAGAGAAAGAAAGACAGAGAGAGATGTTTCCTAAATTACTGGCAGCACAAGCTAGTTGTTATTGTTGAGTGTTGAGAGGTGCAGGTACAGGAACAGTTCAACAAGGAGGGAAGGGGACAAGGAGGGGCGTATGGAGTGTGCCGCTCAGATCCCAGGTGACAGGCCGAGCTGTTTTATCATGTAGCAGAACATTCAGAACATTAAAGGAGCCACCTCTCCTCAGCTACAGGAATGTTAATGACACAACAGAGCTTCAGGCTACGATAGCTTGCTGCACAACACTGACTGACTGAACAGCCACATGCTTTTAGCTAAATCTTGTTGCGAAGTGAGGACAGGCAGGCTGAGCTAGGCCAGCTATGTGTTTTGGCACTAACTGACAGCATGATCATATTAGAATCACATGGCATGAATACAGCTAAAGCCAAGCATATGCTGCTACAGATATATTGATTTATAGTATGGGTGATTTGCTAATCTCATTTTCAGATCATATATTCATAAGAGCATGAATTCCTATGACAGTGTACGCACCAGCTCATACCAGTCAAGAAAACTTTATTTATTTATTGTTTAAGTCAGGTGTTCCATTTTCCAAGAACTTTTGAAGATATATTAGTTAGAAGTTATTATCCATAACTTATGCAATTGATCTGTGGGCACTCTGTGAGTTGGTTATACAGTGCCTTCGGAAAGTATTCAGACCCCTTGACCTTTTCCAAATTTTGTTAGGTTACAGCTTATTCTAAAATTGATTAAATTGCTTTTTTACCTCATCAATCTACACACAATACCCCATATTGACAAAGCAAAAACAGGTTTTTAGACATTTTTGCTATTTTATCAAATAAAAAAAAGGAAATATCACATTTACATAAGTATTCAGACCCTTTACACAGTACTTTGTTGAAGCACCTTTGGCAGCAATTACAGCCTTGAGTCTTCTTGGGTATGACGCTACAAGCTTGGCTCACCTGTATTTTGGGAGTTTCTCCCATTCTTCTCTGAAGATCCTCTCAAGCTCTGTCAGGTTGGATGGGGAGCGTTGCTGCACAGCTATTTTCTGGTCTCTCTAGAGATGTTAGATCGGGTTCAAGTCTGAGCTCTGGCTGGGCTACTCAAGGACATTCAAAGACTTTTCCCAAAGCCACTCCTGTGTTGTCTTGGCTGTGTGCTTAGGGTCGTTGTCCTGTTGGAAGGTGAACCTTTGCCCCAGTCTGAGGTCCTGAGCACTCTGGAGCAGGTTTTCATCAAGGATCTCTCTGTACTTTGCTCCGTTCATCTTTGCCTTGATCCTGACTAGTCTCCCAGTCACTGCCGCTGAAAAACATCCCCACAGCATGATGCTGCCACCACCATGCTTCACCGTAGAGATGGTGCCAGGTTTCCTCCAGACGTGGCGCTTGGTATTCAGGCCAAAGAGTTCAATCTTGGTTTCATCAAACCAGAGAATCTTGTTTCTTATGGTCTGAGAGTCTTTAGGTGCCTTTTGGCATACTCCAAGTGGGCTGTCATTTGCCTTTTACTGAGGAGTGGCTTCCGTCTCACCACTCTACCATAAAGGCCTGTTTGGTGGAGTGCTGCAGAGATGGTCGTCCTTCTGGAAGGTCCTCCCATCTCCACAGAGGAACTCTAGATGTCTGTCAGTGTGACCATCGGGTTCTTGGTCACCTCCCTGACCAAGGTCCTTCTCCCCCGACTGCTCAGTTTGGCCGGGCGGCCAGCTCTAGGAAGAGTCTTGGTGGTTCCAAACTTCTTCCATTTAAGAATGATGGAGGCCACCGTGTTCTTGAAGACCTTCAATGCTGCAGACATTTTTTGGTACCCTTCCCCAGATCTGTGCCTCGACACAATCCTGTCTCGGCGCTCTACGGACAATTCCTTCGACCTCATGGCTTGGTTTGTTCTCTGACATGCATTGTCAACTGTGGGACCTTATATAGACAGGTGTGTGCCTTTCCAAATCATGTCCAATCAATTGAATTTACCACAGGTGGACTCCAATCAAGTTGTAGAAACATCTCAAGGATGATCAATGGAAACAGGATGCACCTGAGCTCAATTTCGAGTCTCATAGCATAGGGTCTGGATACTTATATAAATAAGGTATTTCTGTTTTTTCTGTTTTAATAAATTTGCAAACATTTCTAAAAACCTGTTTTCACGTTGTCATTATGGGATATTGTGTGTAGATTGCTGAGGATTAAAAAATCAAGGGGTCTGAATACTTTCCGAAGGCACTGTAGGTTCAGCTGTGGTTGAACAAATAGCTGCTGGTTTTCATTTAGCTGAACCCATCAAACCATATACCAGTCATAACCTACAGATCATCTTATTACATGTACATGCCCATCAACCCTGGAAAGGTTGTCCTGCATAAAGGTGTGAATGTCTCCCTCACTGTTAGATCGAACTGTTAGATGTATTGGTTTTTGACTGTCAGAATGCCAAATTGAAAAACGTACCTACTAAAGACAAATATTTGATTTTCACTCAGAAAAACCTTGCATGCCCAAAGACCCTTCTACCCCAGTACTATAAACTAC